TTGATTGAGTGATTGAGTGATTGAGTGATTGAGTATGTTAGTGTTTGTCAATGTTGTTTGATCGAGTTGCGTTGAGTTGAGTTGAATGAATTCGTGATCATGTGATCACACGAGTGATGATTGATTGATCAAACGATGATTGAGTGAATGTACATACAGCAGTGAGAGCATTGGCCAAACAACCGATTGAGCATGCTGCTTGAATGGAGGCAGCGAGCTTGTTATCAGAGACACCGAGGATGGCACCAGAGGCCTTCTTGAGGTTTTGAGTGAGGAAGGTCTCGAGAGAGTCTGTGACGATGCCTTCAGAGATCGAGTTGATGTTGTCGAGTGCGTCATGTGCCGACTTGAATGGCAAGCTACCAATGAACTTGGCACACTTGGAGAACTTCTCAAAGTCCATCATCGACTTTTGCACCTGAGCATTCTGGATCTGTTCCACACCACTGACGGTGAACAAGTTGTAACCAGTTGATGTTTCAAACAGAATGTGAGTTGCCATATTTAATTATATATATATTGTTTATGTATAAAGATATAAATATATATGTCTATCTGTCTGTTTGTATGTAGCACTCTTGTTTGTTTACCGAGAGACCTCTTCACACGAAACATGCATGCACTCAGACACACTCGCTTTCAGGCCACCCATCCTCGTTCGTTCCTGCAATCAGAAATTAAAATTAAATCAACAAAAATAAAAAAATTCGAGTGTGGTGTTTGACAAAGTGATAGTTTATGGGTCATTTCTACTCAATGAAACAGATACTGATTAATGGATAATAATGATGTCAATTATTATATATTTATTAGAGTGGAATACATTATATGATTGAATACAATCAATCACTGGCGGTCTAGAGTGTGGCAACAAAGTTCTTGATACAGATTAGATTCAATAAACGAAGACTTGGTGCTTCAATTCTAAAAGATAGATTATTAGAGGTTTGATTGTTGGCATCAATGCTGGTAACAGATGATACTGAAGAGTGGTCCACTATTGATGTAGTGTTGGTCAACTTGGAGATGGAAGAGATTGATTCTAATAAGTAGATAGTTTAATAATGTTAGGTTCGGTAATAATATTAATTGATGGAATGATACCATCATACTTACTATATAGCATTCTTTAAAGTTGTTATGATGGTTATGTTTGAATTGTATTGTGTACTCTTAAAAGTGATAATGGACTCCTTTAAATACATTATATTATTATATTATCAAAGAATTACTTGTTGTCGAAACGTTGTAGTTGTTCACTCATTCTCACAAACACACCAACACACTTTATCATTGACGTCAGCAATCATAAAGACGGATGTGGACAAAGGGGTGATCGGTCGATGTAGTAGGATTTATCGTTGACAATTACCATGCTTGTTGGTGGATTCATTTGATTGACCGAATGTATCAATCAAAGGAAGGAAGAATAATGACCATTTCCATCATCGATTGAGCCATTGTAAGAATAAATGAATGAATGAATGAAAATAATGATCTGACCAATCATATAATGATTGATTGATTGATTAAAAGATTAATATTATTGGGTTGTATGACTATCTATAGATTAGGTTGCCAAATTCTATCCCATTGATTTATTTGTCAATCAATGTGTACGCAATTTATCTGCAATTCCCTGACAGCCAACTGGACATTTGTCGCCAGTTGTGTCTGGGCAAATTCGACTCCCTATTTTTGACAAATAGGTCATATAGGTGATTGGTAGGTGGAGGAGGATCGGCTAGAAATGCTCCAAGGCTTGACTTAGGATAGTCTGCCTCACAGCTTTAAATACAAACTTAATGTTCTCAGTGTCGACGGCACATGTTGCATGTGTGTAAATTGTTCGGGGGGATGGTGCCTGTGCTAGATATTGTGATTGGATGAACATGGCGGCGTCCTTGTACTTGTTGGGACCGGTGTACTCGCTGAAGCACGACTGCAGTGGCACTCTCTTCAACTTCTCCTTGAACAGATCTTTCTTGTTCAGGAAGAGTACGATTGGTGTGTCCTTGAAGTAGTCACAGTTGACAATCTCTTTAAACAGGGCAAGTGACTCACGAGTACGGTTGACAGTCTCGTCCTCGCGCAGGACTTGGTCATAGTCACTCATGGCGGCAACAAAGATCACGGCAGTCACACAGTCGAAGCAGTGAATCCACTTGCGACGCTGTGAACGCTGACCACCGACATCGACAATCTTCAATCTGATCTTCTCGAATGTGAACTCTGACTCCTGAATACCAGTCGTCCTGACACGGCATCTCAGGACATCCTGCTCGTTGGGGATGAAATCCTCCTTCATGTATCTCTCTATATTATCAAAGAAGCTGTAATTGTTGTTGTTGTTTGTATGAATGTGTCAATATTTGTTACATTGTTGTCCGCGGAATAATAATTCACCACTTGTATACATACTAGGATGCAGAGTCATTCAGTTGGAAATGTTTATCCTTCTGAGCGTATGTGTCTTTGATTCCCCGGTCGTCCCATAAGTGTTTGATGTCCTCCGCCAGCAATAACCATGGTTCATTACCAATCGTCCTTCTTAATATATTGGCTGCTCTTTGCTGTTTGATTGGATTGATATGTTAGAATGTTATCAATCATATTTGTTTGTTCGGAAATATGTGACATACCTTGTTCTCTGGTTTCTCCAGTTCAATATTTAACTTTGCAGAGGCAGTAAGCAATGCCTCCATTTGGCTTATACAGTTTGAATATACAAAGGCGCGATACTCCATCAGCTCCTCTCTTGAGTATCCTCCATCTTCTTGGATGATCTTCATCTGTTTGAAAATGGTCGACTTGCCCGACTCACCAGGACCGAGGAGCAGCAACTTTACAAACTTTCTCGACTTTCTCCTGTCAGTCTCAATCATCCTGTCGATCTTGGAGGATGCCTCCGTCTCTTCTGAACCAAAGCATTTGAATCTCATTTTTTGATTGATTTGTTATGCTTTGCTTTGCTTTGTCTGTTGTTTGTTTTGTAAGTTTTGTTGAAAGAAAATAATAATCTAATTATAACAAGTATGTTAATATTATATATAATATAAATATATAATGTATAATGTATAATAATCTAGGTATGTAGATATATGTATGTTGTTGATGAAGAGGACCGATCAAAATAAAAAACCGAGCTTAACTGTACTGTCTCTCTCTTTGTTGTAGCTACAGGTGGTTATTAAATATATATATATATTTTGAATGAATAATTGATGTTGTTGTGTGTATCTTTATGTGTGTAAGTGTTAAGTGTAAGAGAGAGTGAGAGGTGTTGCAAAGAAGGAGTTAGCTTTGTTTGTTTGTTTGCTTGTTCTCAAGGACACTGTACGGTCGTGTGTGTGTTTGAATGAATGAATGAATGAATGTGTTTGGTAGTGGTAGTGGTTTGTGTTGTTGAGTGGTGAGAGGGAGTGAGTGAGTTAAGTTGAATTGAGATGTGTGTATGTGGTTGTCAAGTAAGTGGGTTGGCTAGCTTTTTGGACAACAATGGTGTGTATGTTGTTATGTGTATATCTTGTGTGCGTATGTCTTTGTCTTTGTGTTTGTGTGAGATAAGTAGATGTTGAAAGGAATGTGTTTGCAAACCAAACAATCTGGAGTCTCAAACCTTTAAAACTATAAGAACACAAACAAAGATGAAGTGTGCAGAGTGAATGTTTTGTTGTTGAGAGTGCGTGAGCTTACAAATAGTATCGGGGCCAAGGTAATTTGCAAGGCAGTAGTGTACAGGGAGGGCAAGAAAAAGATTGTTGTTGTTGATGATGTTGTGGATATTGGGGGTTGTCGACCAAGATTTGAATCTTGGTCAAAGGGAGTGGAGGTGGAAGTGAAAGAGATAGAGTTGGTTGTGAGCAATGCTTTGATGTTGATGTTGATTGAATGAATGAATAAATGGAATGAATGAATCAGAGTGAAGTGAGTAAGGTCAGTCCAACAAGTGACCAAGACTGTTAAATCACCGTTTGTTGTTGTTGGTGCATTATTGGTGTATTTGACGTTGTTGTTGATGATGTACACACACAGACACACATAAAGAGAGAGAAAATGAGAAAGAGACAACCAAAGAGGTCCTTGGTTGTTTGTGATTATGATGGTCTTTGGGCTGTTTGGTTGTTGGCTCCAATGAGGTCTCAGTGATGGCCTGGGATTGGTGGTGGTGCATAACGAGATACAGTGATCATTTGTTGTGTGTGTGTTGATCCACCCCCAATCATCTTCCCAAACACTGGACCCACGACAATCGTCAATAAAGGTTAGCCTGATCAAGTGCACCCCTTTGTGGTTGATCGTGATGGTAGCGTTGACCGTACGCAGCCGAAGCGATGGGAATTGGTGTAAACAGTGAGAGAATGATTGGAATGATTGTTGTTGAGCGGTAGTGAATGATTGGGTCTCACTTCCTACTTTCAAAGTAAGGTGAGACCTCAACTCAATCTATGAGTGGATGGATGGAAGTGAAGTGTGATAGACGACGGGCGATGTAAAGAATTGATTGACTGACTGATTGAACGAATGATGGATATGTTGGATGGATGTGAGGTGAGGTCTTTTGTCAACTTACAATACAAGCTAAATGTTATATATATTTGGTATTATTGGAGATGATTGTTGTCGTTCTAGAGTGCGATGTGAACAACAAGAGTCTTCTACTTGGGGGGGTTGATTGATTGTACTGTTACTTCTTTAGTATTGGTATTATTATTGGTTGGTAATGAGTTATGATTGATTGATGTGTTTAGTTGTTACAGTTGTTTGAGTGAGTGAATGCGGTGAGGTGAGTTGCGGTTCGTTCAAAGACAACAAATGTTTGTTTGTTTGTATGTTCTGTTTCTGTTTAGTTCTGGTCTTGGCTATGGAATGAATGAATGAAGGCTGTGGACGAGGTTGAGGGTTGTGGTTATTGGTGGTTGTTCTCGTGTTGTGTGTGTCAGTCTCTCTTTCTCTTTCTCTCTCTAACTCAGCTGTATATCACAATGCGAAAGATGTCGTTGTAAGCGTGTACCTTAACACACACTCCCTCACACACGCGCTCTCCAGACTGGTTTCATCACCTCTCACGAACCAAGTGGTAGGCGCTGCACCGCCATTCCATAGGCAGCCAGACACCAAGTAAGGTCCTCTTAGTCGCCAGGGTACTCAAACACACACATGACCCACGCCTCACACATACATGGCTATTAGCCATCACACACAATCAATCGATCAGCTGATTGTTGTTGAGTGTTTGGTGTATGAGTGATCAGTCTACTTAAACGAAAATAGGCTGGTAAACAATGAGATTCAACCAGCTGACGACTATTCTTAGATGATTCACCTTGGATCTGGATCATTCTGATGGACAGATAATTTGATAAATTTAGAGTTGTTTTTACTTTTGAACGAAAAAAGTGATCAGAACTGGGCCACTCAGCACCTGTTTGGGTCTTGCCAAATCAAATCACCCACCTGTTTTGGTGTTCATCATCGCTCATCGCGATTGAGCTTTTAAATGTTAGGCACTTTCCTGCTTTCATTGTGTTGTTTTATTGACTTTAGTTGTTGTAGCCGTTACTTCCAACCATCATCTCTAAAACACATGATTTAATATGTTCTGTTTGGAGATTTGGATAGAGGTGGGTCTGGACGAGATCAAGGGTTTGGATTGTCATCTTGTGACCAGACCTTGAGAGACCACCCATCATCTCCAACCATGGCCTCTGGTCTCCATTTGCAAGTGATTTGCATCACAAACGGTGTGCGCATCCCACCAACTTGTCAATGGGAGAATGACAGCTGAGTACCAACATGGGTGCCGCGGCAAGGCGTGTTTAGAATTAGGCCGAGTTGACGGACAGGGCTTGCAAAGTGATTGGTGGAAGGCCTTCCGATTCGAACCACCACACGCAACTTATACTACTTCCATTGCTAGTCCGTCTGAGTTGTTCAATGAACAATTGAGTGATCACTCTAACGCCACCAATATTGGATGGTCTGCACTATTGTAAATTTACTACTTTTGAGATTGAGTTCTGTAGGTCTGGATTGAGAACTTGGAGAGATGATCGATCAAGTCTGTATCTGAATACTTATAACGTGATCAAGTGTTGAGGCAATGGTCCTTGTGTTTGTATGAAGTGACAACTTGAATATAGGAGTTGGATCATTCATTGATCTTGTCGGGAGGGTGTAGAATAAAGAGAATGATCACAAATAATTGCAGGGCACTTAATCAAAGATTTTATCACCATTTTATTTAAACTCGAGTCGGCAACTCTAAAGAGACAAATAACGAAGAAGTTCCAAATATGGAAATTAATACCCCACATACACCAACAACAATGCAGACATCAACCACATACTTTCTAAAAAAGGATAACTTTTGAGATAACTATTGGGAAGGGTCCACTCCATTAATGAGACTTGTCCCTCTTATCCTTACTCCACATATTATTACATGTTAATTCTATATATTTCCTTTTTTGAACCATTTCCATTATCAGAATCAGAGTAGAGTGCCAACCTAATAACAACTCTATCAACTTTATTTAAACTTACAAATTAGGACATTTTTATCCTTTCCACAAGGAGTAATAATATGAAGTAATTTTTTGAAGTCATAGGGGAAGGTGAAGTGTAGACGAGTGGAATTAGGTGTATTGGCATTGCAAGTCAACTGTTGGCAGGGGACGAGAGACATAAATTTATTGACAGCGAGATGGATCATTAATTATTTTCAAGCAATCATACAATCAATTAGTAAATAGAAATAAAAAATAATAATAATAATGTCAACTCAAGTACATTCAGATCAGCATGCCAGGACTATGCTTCAGAGGTCGGGCTCTGGTACCTCTTTGAATAGTCCTCCAGATTTGTTATTATCAATGCCTCTGCATAAGGCAAATATTCAAATGCAGAGTGTAAATATATTGGACCCAAACATGCCAATTGAAGATGGATTCCATATCATTACCAAGGTATTGTCAGCGCCATTATTCGACAAGGATAGGAATCAGTTCATAGGTATACTTGATATTCGCCACTTCCTTGGCTATATCTTGTATAAACTACCATTGCCACCCTCTGGAATGAAGGAGAAGCAAGTCTATCTTCGAGACTTGGATCGTAGTCAATACACTATCTTGGATAGAAATTCAACAATATCCGAGTTGCTCAAGTACTTCAACACTGGTCTTCACTCTGCCTTTGTCCTCAATGAGATGAAGCAGATTGAGGTCATCACTCAAATATCATTCGCCAAATGGATAAAGGATAATGTATGTTAAGTTATGTTATGTTCATGTACCTAGAGAATGAGTTCATACTAATACTTGTTAGATTGAGAGACTGGGATCAATCAAGGAGCAGCCAATCAAGGATATCTTCAAGGGAGAACAACATCATAACTTTGCAAAGGTGCACTCCATCGAGAACTCAAAGTCAGTAGTTGAAGCTTTGAAGGAGTTGTATACCAAGAACATATATGGTATGCCTGTTGTTGACAAGGACCATAGGATTGTCGGCAACTTCTCAATCATTGATATCAAGGAGGCCAATGACAACCTTGACATGTTGATACTGCCGCTGAAGGACTACTTTGGAGAACGTCCCATATTCTCATGTTCTCAAGACGGCAAACTGGCGGAGTTGCTCGACATGTTTGTCCAAAAGAAGATCCATCGTGTCTATTTGACAGAGAAGGGACAGCCAGTCGGCATTGTGACCATCACCGATGTGATCGACATGCTCTATCTCAACCTAACCTACAGAGCAACAGGTGTTGAGAACTAAGATGTCTAATCATGGATGCTCTGTTGGTACCTTACAACGAGCAATTCATTATGGTTAGACAGCAAGTGTATAATAAGTAAACTTAATTAATTAACAACAACGAACCTTCCAAGAGTTCATTGTTGTGATCTATTATTGCTTGCTCCTAAAGTATGACGACAATATGTGAGTCAAAGACGTGTAGTCGGGCATCGATCATCGATTCACTGCAGTTTGTCTGTCGTCATTAACGAATGAGATGTCCATTCATACATCCAAACTATTGTTGACTGCATCCAGTCGATTGATATATGTTTATATGTATATAATTGGATGTTCAAAGTAGCAGAGAGAGGGTAGTAATTCACTTGTATGTATTAATATCGATATCCCGACAGTCATCATCTCAATATATATTCATTGCAATGAACTAGTATAAGTGTGTATGTATGTGTATGAGTGTCGACATGGACAACATTGATTGGATGAGTACTGTTAGTAGTAGTTGAGTTGAATATATGTGTGAATCAATGTGAATGAATGAGTGTGAGTGTTTGTTTAGATGTTGTGGCTGCGTAATCCTGTATCCATGGACACCGCATTAAGGGACGACAATCAAACAACCACCATTAATTAATAGTGGGTCATTGGGGTTGGGTGGTCAGTTGCTCAACACGTTCAATGTGTTGGCGACCATTGATCAAATAAATGTGTGTGAAGGGGGTCATTGGATATCAATCAAACAATCAATCCAGGCCATCTATTTATTGCAATTCATAGGGGATACATAGAGATAAAATACGTCCTTGGATGAATATATATGAGTGTGAATTCATTGATGGTATATTAAGACTCATTCACTCAATCAATCATTCATACATTCATCAATCAATCAATCAATCAATCAATCAATCAATCATAATATATTATAATCGTTGTTGATGCGTTGGTGGACCTAGTGGCGGTTGATTGTCGTTGCAAGCAAATATAACACATTTCCTTTAATGATTGGTGAGAGTAGTGATGGCAAGATGTATGTGTTAGAGAGTGCGGAAGACAGTAGCGTAGAATCCATCGATACTCCATCCTCCACAACCCTAAACCCATTGGTGTACAATTAAGGAAATAGCCATACCAGTCACAACCAGGTGCAATCACCAACAACATTGATCAATCAAACATCGGGCCACACCCCGACTGCCTAGCCATCCATCCATCCATCCCTCCTTCCAACGATCAATATCCTCACTCACTCCAGCAAGTGTTCCACACAGTCAGTCAGCCAATCAATCAATCACTAACTCACCCTTACATATAGCAAGGAAACCAAAGTACTCTATTCCGAACGTACTCCGCATTCCATTCCAACACAACAACTAACTATTCATTCACCAGTTCCCCATCAATCAACATTCATTGTTATCTTTACCTTCTTATACTTATATGTATAAATATATAAATAATCATATACATATATAATTAATAACTAAGTCAGGTAATTAATACTAATTATTATCTAATATATACTACTATTATTTCTATTAATATTATTTATTTATTTATTTATTATTATACCAATTAATTACACAATGGCATCAACGACAGTTGCTAATGGATATAATATCGACAATGTTCCCGCCACCGATAGATACTATGGCGCACAACAACATCAACATCAACATCAACAACCAAAGAAGTTTGGCGGAGTCAATCAAACAAAGAGAATTGGAAACTACTTGCTCGGCAAAACAATTGGTGCAGGAACATCCAGCAAGGTTAAGCTGGGTACCAATATAATCACTGGAAAAAAGGTGGCCGTAAAGATTACAAAACCCAGGAAGACCAAGGAGCGCACTGAGATCGAGCGTGAGATATCCATTCTCAAGGTGCTCAAACATGATCACATAGTCCAATTGATAGATGCTATATATGACGAGGAGAAGGGCAGGATATGTCTGGTCCTGGAATATATCCAGGGTGGAGAGTTGTTTGACTACATTGTCTCACGTGGTCGTCTTTCCGAACGTGATGCTCGCAAGCTTATACGTCAGATCATCGCCGGTCTATCCTACTGCCATTCCAACAATGTATGCCATCGTGATCTAAAGTTGGAGAACATCTTGATCGATGATAATGGAAACATCAAGATTAGTGGTATGTATAGTCATCATCATCATCTGATCATTCCTTCTAACATTGATTCATTGATTGATTGATAGACTTTGGTTATAGTAACTACTTTAAGCCAGGCAACTTGCTTGGTACATTCTGTGGATCGCCTGTCTATGCACCACCAGAGATTTTGTTGGAGAAGAAGTATAATGGAGGCGAGGTTGACATATGGAGCATTGGTGTCATCCTCTATGCAATGGTCACTGGTCAACTGCCATGGACATTGACCGATGGTGTTCAAGTTGAGGGTCTGGACAGGCTACTGAAGGGAGAGTTTAGATTCCCTCCAAGTGTATTGCTGAGCAATGGTAAGTCGATCATTGTGGACATCCAAACATTGTATGACATGTTACTGACTGACACTATCCTTCAAAGAGGTGAAGCAACTGATATGTAGAATGATCGTTGCCAATCCAGGAGATAGAGCAAAGATGTCTGAGATCAAGAGCAATGCATGGATCAATAAGGGTTATGAGTTGGATCCTGAACAAGAGTATTATAAGAAGCATGGCAATGATGACTCGAGAATGGAGGACGCGTATAGGATGATGAGGGAGAATAGGTCACCATTGTATAACAGTGCGCCAAACATACCTTCACCAGCATTATCGTCGCCAACTGCCTCCATGTCCATGAACAACTCGTTCTGTGGCACAACCAGTCTGATGGTTGGTACCTCTCCATCAATGGGCTCGCCTGCACACAGTGGCATGGCTACACCAATGCTCAGTCCAATCTCGTCCAACTCTTCATCGCTGTCTAGCTCTTGTGCCCAGCCCCAGTCACTCCCAGCCACGTCTCCTCTGTCGCTGTCGACACCTTCCTCCGGAAGTAGCAAGGCCAGTTTATTTCATGGACTGTTCAAGAAGAAGCAGAGCAGTTCCAGTGGTGCAAGTAGTAGCAGTGGCCATAGCAGCTGCAATGGCGCTGACCTTGACACATCCGATGCTTGTTCGGCTGTAGAGTGTTCTAAGGAGCACGACCCTGCTGCCTCTGTTGCAACCAAAAGACGTTTCAACCTAGAAGACATGCTAAAGGCTTTGAAGGGCGGGAAGACCAAGCATCAGGCCATCCATGTCAATAAATAGTGGACTAGTACTCCTCCTAAGCATATCTGTATCGGTCTCTATCTGTTTGATGGTCGCCAATCCAAATGAATGGGGCGATCATCACATTGCGTGCACTCGTATGTTTGATCATGGTGACAGCGTGTTCAATTCAGTGTTGTCATCGGTGTCGTCAGTGCTGTTGTTATCGTCGGTGTTGTCTGTGTTGTTATCGTCGGTGGTGATGACGATTTCTTGGTTATTTGTGTCACTGTTGTCGCTGTTGTTGTTGTTGACGTTATGCTCCAGAATAAAGTTGAGCTCTGCTTGAATGTAATCCCTTCCAATGGCATCAAGTTGTAGCTCGAAAATCTCCTTTGCCCTCTCATAGATGATTACATCCATCCAATTGAGCTTGCGTATTGTGTTCTTTGTAGTCTCTGATACCTCTATCTTTGACTTGGCCCTGCCAACATTCTTCCTGACTGGCATCACATGCTCAAAGCCAGTATAATATGAAAGCATAACCATCGACTCATCGAATCGTTCTGTCAGGCCAACAAACTTGATTGAACTATGTAGTTGGATGGGTTGGGGTTGGTGTGAGATTGATTGATTGTTTGGAATCATTCCGCTCACTCACTCAATCAAATTACTTACTACTTCAAATGGTGCATTGCAATCTCGAGGGCATCCTCGCGGAAGGGTACTTGACGACTGGATCCGAGCAATCTTCGTGTCTGTTCGTTGTCCGCCGCTGGCTGACGAACCATCCACTCGGTGATATTGTAGCGCATGGCGGATGCGTGCAGTGGATGTGTCTTGCTGTCACGCAGGAAGTAGTAGTGTGAGATTACACGCTCGACTGGCTCTCGGAACATTGTCAGGTATGAGTACTTATTCAGACCATCAGGGCGGTCTGGTATGGCAATTGGGTCGGCCTCGTGGAAATAATGATGGAGGCCGAAATGGAAGTGGCCAAAGAGCACCGAGGAGTTCATGACTCGCGGGATGTCTTGGATGGGCGGATGGACGACATTGTGATAGAGTGTGTTGTTGGCGTTCAGCTCAAAGATGTCGACGAGACTGGTACCGCCCGTCTTTGGTATGTGGATGAAGATCAGTGGACGGGGCAGGCAGTAGGGGTTGAGCGCGGGGTCACTCTTCCAAGCAGTGTCGGAAAACAGCGCGGGCCATTGGCTGGCTGGCGGCGGACTGTAGTCTGGTAACTTGGGCACAGCGGCGTAGCCGAATCTCTTGATCCAGCCCTCATCGTCCAGCTCCTTGGTGAGGACAGCAATCTTTTCCAAACGATACTCTCTGCGTACTTTATCATAGAGAATCTTCTGCTCCCTATCATTCAATCTCTGTCGCTCTATCTTCTCCTTGTGGCTGGCTTGTCTGGCGGTGGCAAAGTCACTCCTCTTTGGTCGTCCAGGTCCAGGCCTGTATGCCCGTAGAATAGCCAACAAAGGGTCCTCCTGGTCTGATCCGGGCTCGCCCACGTCATTGTCGTTCTTCAACGGTTGGTCATTCATAAGGTTGCCCTTGCTATTACCAGGGTCTTGATCATCGATTTGGAATCCTTGTTTGAGCAGTTGGTCAATGTCTGTGGATGCCGTAGCAGGACGGTGTTGTTTTGGTTTGTTGACTTCGTCGTCATCATAATTCCAACCTGAATGAGTGGCAATGTTGTCCGATGATTCTGATCCAGTAATCTGGAAGCCATTGGCCTCATCCTTACTATCACCACTACTACCCAATACTATAACATGATCATCCAGATGCTTATCACCACCATCATCTGGCTGTCTCAACTGTTTGTTATTATCATTATCATTATTATTATCATTATTATTATTATTATTATTATTATTAATATTATTGTTGTTGTAATTGTGTTGATTGTTGCTTGTTACTGTCGTTTCACTTGTTGTTGGTGTTGATATTGTTGTTGTTGTAATTAATACATTTGCCTTCTCCTGTTGTTGTTGATTGATACTCAACATCCACCAAGTTGAAAGAAGTAGAAGTGAGCACAGTATTATCTTCTTCTCTTTGCTACGCAACAACATTGTTTGTGTGTTATGTACATGTATCTTTCGTGTTAACCGTCGAATGGTTCTAGAGTGTGTGTGCTCGTATGTCTTTGCATTCACTCTCACTCATTGCATCAAGAGTTATCAGATCAGCCCAAGCCCCAGTACCATTGTAGTTTCACAAAATATCTAACAATTATTAGATTTCGTCTTCAAAAAAAAGAGAAAACAAGACATTAACAAGTTCGCCAACTATTTAGTTATTATTATTATTATTACTTCAACAATTAATCAATTAATCAATCAATCAATGATGTAGCTCACACAACTGATTAATCATCACATGGACATGTTATGGGATTCAATCAATCAATCAATCAGTTCACATTTCATGACTTACTGACTGAATGACCAGTTAAAGAAAGGTGTACGAAAGAAGACGAATGTAGTAGCGTATTTGCAAATGTCGTCTTGTTTATATATGTGTCATGTAACCTTATGATAATATAGGTGGGATGAATGATTGTCTGATTGATTTCAAAGGGTCTGGTAAGAATCCCAAACTACAAGATAACGTCAACAAACTACACTTGTACTTAATCAATCAATTCAATCAAACAGATCAATCAGATCAATCAATTACAATCAAACATCGGACGGTTGAGAATGTCGATGATCCATCCATGTAAGTACTGAAGTGACTTCGAAGTCTGCATGCAGAGTACCTTGATTACCTGTTTTAGTGCATAGTCGTTTCCTACCTACTACTACTTCAACAACACTCGCAAGGTCATTTGATTGATTGGTTGATGGTCGATTAACTGAATCGCCCAGTATTCAACTCCAACCTATCTACATACATGCGCCAAGTAAGTATACTTTGGTTAGCAAGGCAATACCGTGATCCAATTCAATCTCAAGATAGACGTGAACGTGCAGAAAGAAGAAGATGTCTATGCTGTGCGCCAATGACAGGTCTCTCGAGAGAAAGAAAGAGGGGCAGCAGCGAGTGGACCACCATCACCACCATATCTGTGGCGTTTCTCCGGCTTCAATCGTAAAGCGGAAGGGGGGCCATAGACAGGACGGTGGCTGGCCACTTATGCAAGGATGTCCTTTTGGTGATTGGGCAATGAATATTAGGTGTGATCTCTATCCTGATCAATCACATCCACGCACTTCCACAGACACAGACTGCATCAAATAACGATTTTGATAATGCGATCGATATACGTTGATAAAGATGGGCACGACTTAGTAACTAGAACGAGTGCACGCCCTTAAATGAACGGTTAGAAATAGACCAAACTCAAACTTATTGGCCACAGCTTCTCCCAGATGGCAGGCAGGATTCATGTGGGACGTTCCAGAGCCATGCCCCCATGCGGACCAGATGATGCTCGACAAGCCGTGATGCAAGTCCAGATTGCCCAGCTTGGTTAATTTATAAAAATATCTCGACCAGACAGTCAGACGGTGGTCAGCTGACCACCACACCCGAATCATCTTATTGGCGGAAGCTGCAACATCACGTGGTGGGGCACGCAATGAATAGACGCACTCGAACTGTCTTTGCCCTTTTTTGAATTCAAACCATTGCGATCATCCATTCACGTCTCATTCAGGCCATGGTGGCCATGTGACGCACAGGGACGTCGCACTCACTCGCTTCCTCTCTACCTCACAAGCCAACTCACATTCATACGCACACTCACACATTTGATTGATTGAATCAAACAAACAAGAACTGAAACAGTCGACATCACTACTTGCAATCTGATTCCTTTCAATAATAATATCAAGGACTCGTGATTGGTTAAGAGTGTGTGAGTGTCTTCTCCCCCCAACCGATCCGTCTTTATTGCATGACACTCGTGTGGCTCCGCGCCTTCTTTGACCAACTCAACAACTATCATCTCATCATCAACCATCATCCGTCCGTCCGTCCTTCTTGTTCTGTACCAATAGGATTGATTGGTTGATTGATTGTTTCATTACACATCACCACCAAACCACCATCATTAAACACAGATAATCTGTCGATCACAAATCATTCAAGACAGTCAACCAGTCAGCCATCCAGTAGCCAATCCAGGTCTGTCATTCAGTGTATTGTACGGTCCAAACCTGTCATCCATTCATTCATTCATTCATTCAGTCCACCACCCTCCCTCTCTCCACCCTCACTCTTGCTCATTCATTAGATATATATATATCTATATGTACTGACGACAATCACAACAATCACACCCTCACATCGATCTTGTCCTCTCACCCCTAACTCCAACCACCCTCGCTGTCTTTCATTCATTCATTCACTTCATTCATTCTTCATTCTATCTATTCATTCAATCCCATTCACACACACTCATACACACACACACTCACACACATACACAAACACTCATCTCACCTCAAAGTGGTCGTTGTCCTTGTTAGTTAGTTGATTGATCCAGCCTTTGGCCCCAGCCAGCCACATAGGGCAGCCACCTCCCAACAACTCCCCACACACAAACAAACGAGACATTTATTCCTCAAGTCCTCCAACCAGAAGCGCTGTTGTAGACAACAATATCCTGATCCCTGTCAACAGCACCCACAACTATCATTCAGTCGGTCGCCAGCCAGTCAAACGGACAATTAATTGTTAACAGTCCAAGGAAGGACAAACATCATAATTACCCCACGCAACATCAATCTTTCCTTTTCTTCTTTGTATCATTACGCCCCTTTACAATCAATCAATCATTCGATCAATCAATCATTCCATTCATCCAATTTCAATCAATCAATCAATTAATCAATCAAATATTTCAAACAAATTATTAATTATTAATTATTTGATATTCCCAAATTAAGAATTAAGAATGTCTATCCGGATGTCACAATTATTTATATATGCCTCGGTGTTGCTCCTTCTGTTGCTGCTGCCCTCGGCCAATGTGGCCCGCCAAACATCCATGAAGGACTCGCTAAAGGCCGCCCTGCTCCTCTCTGGAAACTTTAGAGACGTTGGCTTTAATTATGCATGCAACCAAGCCTTCATGGAGATGGAGAGTGCGCTCCAGCTCAACGGCCGCACCAGGGTCGTCAATGACATTAACTCCTACGAGCAGACGACCGACGCCATCAATGCCCTGATTCGTGATGGTTTCAATTTTATCATTGGAAGCTCGATCGAGCACATGGGTTCCCTCAATGATAACGCACCAAAGAACCCAGACGCATTCTTTTTGGTCAGATGGATGACCACGCCGGCTGCGCCCAACATCAGGAACATTTTCATTGACTTTGGCATAGGTCACTACCTCCAGGGCTACTTTGCCGCCCTGCAGACCAAGACGCAACAGATTGGAATCATCACTCCAGGTCCCCCCGCATTCGGCTACGTCACAGCCAACTCCTTCTACCTGGGAGCCATGGCCTACAACGATAAGGTCAAGGTGCACTCCATCGAGACTGGCTCCTGGAACCCTGACATCGAGATCGCCGAAGGTGCCACCAACTACCTGATAGACTTGGGTGTCGATGTCTTGACCAACAGCCAGGACGACCTCACCGTGCAACAGGTGGCCTCGCTTCGCAACACGACCTCATTCGGCACATCTGGTGCATCAATCTCCAAACTGCTCGGATCGACCATTCTCACCAGTATCATCACCAACTGGGCTCCATGTTACCTTGCCGCCGCCAAGGACATTGTCGAGGGCAACTGGAACCATCCAACCGGACTCTACAACAATATAGGTGTCTACTTTGGCACACTTGCTGAGGGTGGTATCAAGTTGGACACACCTTACAGTTACATGGTATGTTGATTGATCCATTGATCCATTGATTGATTGCTGACAATTGCCCCTTTCACTTTATAGGTTTCCAATGATACAATCTCCAAGATGGATACACTTATGACCAAGTTAAAGAACATATCACAAGAGGATCAACCATACACTTTCAATCCAATTTACGCAGAGAGTCCATATAATTCCTCAAGATTGAATGAGTTCATTTTACTAAAGAGTGAATTCCTCCTCCCTGGAGTTGTCAACCATCACAGATACGTCATTCCACCAACTGAGGTATGTATGAATGAATGAATGAATCAATGACTGGATGACTGGTTGGACATCACACTAACCAATCCAATCAATCAATCCATGGACCATCCACTAATTCCATCAATTATAGTACAAGGTTACAAACTCAATCAAGTATGGATTCTCAATCACTGCTGGAATTGTTGGATTCTTGGCACTTTTGATTATGATTGCTTTGGTCATCTTCCGCAAGACTAATATTATGCGATCGGCCAGTCCACTGTTCTGTATTCTCATTGTGTTTGGAGGCATGCTCATCTACACTGGTGTCATCCTCTGGGTGCAAGACCCCACGGCCGCATTGTGCCGCGCACGTGTCTGGATGCTGTCGCTCGGCTACACCATCCTGCTGGGCAACATGGTGATCAAGAACTTCCGCATCTGGCTCATCTTTGACAACCCCCACTTGAAGCGCTTGAAGATCACCAACGCCAAGCTGTTCCCATGGTTGTGCGGCATCGTCCTGATCAACTGCACCATCCTGGCCGCCTGGACCGGAGTCGGCGAGATCAATGCCAACCCCTTCTACGGCTTCGAGGGCATCAGGCAATACGACTACCGTACCGTGTGCGACTCTAACCACGACGGCAACACCGTGCTCTACATCCTGCTCATCTACCACGCCGTCCTCCTCGTCATTGGATGTTTCGTCTCGTGGAAGATCCGTGTCGTCGACATCTCCGAGTTCAACGAGTCCAAGCCCATCGCCAACACGCTGTACGCCATCTCCTTCTGTCTGTTCATCATCATCCCGCTGATGGTGGCCCAGCAGAACTACGACGGCAAGATCATCATCATCTGCGCGTCGGCCATCTTCACCACCGCGTCCGCACTGGCCATCCTGTTTGTGCCCAAGTTCTGGCGCCTCTACACCAAGGGACTCGACGCCGATCCCTTCTCATCGTCCAAGTCGCTGTCATTCGGCAACTCCACCATGCAGCGCGGCAACTTTGCCGGCACCCTCGGTGCCTCTGAGATGGAGTCGCTGCCAGCGACCAACACCAACAACAGCAGCGCGGGTTCCACTACCGACCACAAGTCGATCAGCGCCCAGCAGGATCTCGAGTAATCACTCTCTGGTCCTCTGTCCCCACCTGTCCGATATTACACTATCCAATCCTCCACTCTCCCTCATACATCTCTCTCTCTCTCTCTCTCTCTACTCTAATTCTATCCAAAAGAGTACAGCGGTAGTCCGACCCAACTCCGCGTCACTACACTCTTTCTCTCTCTCTCTCTCTCTCTCTCTCCTTCCCTCACTTCCTCATATTCCCGTCGACGGGTATTGTGACATACATCCATCTATCTCAAACAATCAATCAACAAATAATAATAATAATAGTAACAATAACAACAAATAATAATAATAATAACATGCTACTACTACCACAACTACTCAACCTAACCACCTTGTATCGAATACTACCTACCTTACCTACCAACCAAACAACCAACCAACCAAATAATAACAAACCAATTAGAAAAGAGTGAAGAATGTGTCCTCTTTGTATTGTTAACATCAATAATGTCTCAAACAACAATAAAGAATGATACGACACACCATCCCCCTTCATTGTGATAATATATATTATCTCTTTTTGTAGTCCTAGTTATAACAACAATTACGACCTTCTGTTCGACCTTGGACAAGACCACCTTCCCAGGTCCAAACAACACACTTTGTTCTCTTGACCATAAATGTTGATTCGACTTTTCTTGGTGCGCAAAGACAACAACAAGATACTTTCCAATGAACAACAACTTCATCTTAAGTTAAATACCTAACTTTGCTTCATGTTTGTTATGTTGTATTGTGTTGTTGTAGTTGTATATATATATTGTAATAAATAATAATGGAGTCTGTTAAAACAACACCTGTAGAGATAAAGGAAGGACTAAAGTTCAGATTGAGAAGTCGTAAAGGACACAAGAACAGAGATGGTGATTCAGATTGGTATCTGGCTTACTACGATAAAGATGGTCGTATGTATTGTTCATTCATTCATTCAATCAATCAAGTATTCAAACAAACAACTAAACTTACACTGACTGACAATGTAGTTGTCACCAATGGATCAACCAACAAACACTCTGAATGGATTATCAAGTCTGTGGATAAGACAAATGATATAGTGTATATTAAGCATTGTGGAGCTGGTAGTCACTACTTGGGCATTACTGAACAGTTGGAGGCAACGGCCGATGGTGATCCAGAGTTCTCGGCAAAGTTGAGGTTGATCTGGCTCGACTCTGGAAGAGTGTGTATCATGTCCTACACACAACGCGAGAGAAAGAATAGGACTGGCAGTGCAGGTCCACATATTGGAGTGGCACCACGTGGTGATCTGATTGGAAATGCTGGACGTGGAGACTGGGGCCAGTTCGACCTCATCCCCATTCTCCCAGAAGGGGAGGTGGCATCAGCTACATTGTCGCTCACCAGCCTTTCCATCTCGGACCCGGGCAGTCCTGCCATGCGTCTACTCACCGACTTTCCCCGCCATCGCCAGATGTTTGGAGGTGTGTTCTTCATTGAGCAGAAGCCGACCAAACTAGTCAAGGCACAACTAAAGGTGGACATCAAGTTACCACACATGAAAGTTGACCGATGGGCATTGGTCACCGCTGCCCCACCCTCGCCACTACCCATCCAAGACGTGAAGCAGGCTTCACTCAAGGTGTACAATGGTGCTGGCGACCAGCTTGTGTCAGGCGGCGACATGTTACAGACCAAGAACGGACACTTCATGTTCCGTGCGTTGGCCAAGGGACATCAGCACCATGTCCAAGCTCGCTACGAGATCGAGGCACAACTGTTCGCCATCAGCCTCAAGCAGGCCGGTCCCAAAGACCACGTGCCTTCTGTAGTGCCACTGTCAGCAGAGCAGCGTGCCTATCATCTCAAACACACGACATTGATGGACTTTAACAACACCAACTTTGTACAATGGGTCAATGGCAACAACCTACACCCGATACCCTTTGTGGCAGAGGGCGTCGAGCCCCTGCTATGCTTTGCATACCGCGTGTTCCTCTTCCTCAAGATATACTTCTCCTACATCTATGCCCAGGAAGTCAAATCACGCAAAGCATCCGACACCATCGTAGCCCGTGCCACTGACTGCGGTGGCTTCTGCATTCTATTCGCAGCCATCATGCGTATGCATGGCATACCCGCACGTCTCCTATTTGGTAGATGGGCCAGCACACCAGCTGAAGGAGAGCAATGCTTCCATGTCAAGGGAGGTGAGTATCAAACATTCATTCAATCAATCAATCAATCAATCAATCAATCAATGTCTAACATCCAATTAATCAAACATATAATAGAGTTCTACGCTGATGGTATTGGATGGATACCTTATGATCCAGCATCAGCAATATTACATGACCACGCAACTCCACATACCAAGTTCTTTGGTAATGATGGTGGCAACTTCATCACAATGCACTTGGATCATAATATTGATGGAATAGACACGGCAATCATTGGTAACAAGCAGTTGGAGTTCACTCAAGGTGTATCATACTGGGTCACTGGTTCTGGTACGAATGACAAGTCGTCCGTCGTCCAGAAGTGGACTGTACAGTGACAGAGTGGATACTCTCCTGGATGTGCCTCATCACACTCCCACCCAATCAATCAAACAATCAATCAAATTGATTTTTCAGAATTTTTTCTTATTAGATTGAGGGAGTTTGTTTGTGAAGTGCCTTGTTCATCATCTTCATCATTATCATCATCACTTAATAGAGATAGATAGATACAATATACACCAAAATACATACATATATAATATAAAGGATGAGTCAAACAGCTGATGTGTTAACAGATGGTACAGCTTTGAAGCAATACATTGTACTGGCAAAGGGAAACAAGGGAAGAGCTTGTGCTGCCCTCATCGAACAGGTATTGGCCAATCCCAATGTCTTTGTCTTTGGTGAGCTGTTAGATATGCCCAATGTACAAGCTGTATGTTGTCATCATGAATCATTGATCACTCATTCACTCACTCTCACTCACTCATTCATTAGCTGCAACAATCAGAGTTCAAGTCCTCCTATGACTTGCTCAATATATTCGCATTTGGAACCTATAATGAATATCTCAGTATGTTGAATGCTTACCCTGTTGCCAACAACAGGATGTCCTGTCACAGGCGACCCATTACTGACTCACAACAACAACAACAGAGAACAAAGACGCATTGCCAGCACTTACACCAGCGATGATCACAAAGCTAAGACAGCTGACAATTGTATATTTATCCACAGTCTCAAAGGTCATCCCCTACGCCATACTCCAAGAGCAACTCGGAATACAGAGTCTCAGAGAGTTGGAAGACTTGATTATCGAATCCATTTACCAAGTATGATCATCTCATGATGTTGGGGCGGCATGTCAATGATCCAACAATCAATCAATCAATCTAACTCTTCCAATCACTCTCCACAAACAAACAACAGAATGTCATCAAGGGAAAGCTTGACCAGAAGAACAAGCACTTAGAGATAGAGTTTGCCATTGGCAGAGATGTATCGATTGGCCAGATCGACAATGTTATTGCCACGCTGGACAATTGGATTGGAACATCTGATACATTGTTGAACAACATTACCTCGCTTATGGAGCATGCTGATAAGGTGCACCACAAGAACCGTGTCGATAGAGATGAGTTGGCCAGCAGGATCGAGGTGGCCAAGTCACAGATCAAGCCAGAGATGGCCACTGACATGTCCGCACATCCATTCGAGTCACATGAATACATGGATGAGAGAATGAGGAAAGGGTAAGTCTACGTTTAGACGACAGGTTCATCATCAATGGTCAGTCTTGTTAACTAACATTCGAATGTCTAACCCTGCAGAAGCAAGTTGAAGATGAAAGAGTCGTTCAGAAAATAGGTGTATACATAACTTAGTTCATCAATCACTCTTCCTCCTTCCTCCTCCTTATCAACAACTCAACTCAACTCAAGCAATCAATCAACCTCAATCAATGAATGAATGAATGGATGGATTGATTGATGTCAACAATACAATAAAGCAATCAAGCAAGCAAGAAGAGAGGGACCTCTAGTGTATTTCTCAAGAAGGAAGATATGGTTGTTTATGTACATAAGATTGTGTTGGTTATGGTTTGCGACACTCCCAGTAGCGTAGAGTGCCATCGGCAGAGCTGGATAGGATGTTCTTGTTGGTTGGATGTGTGTCTACACAAGTGATCACTCCAGTATGACCTTGTAGACGATTCAGTACTGTAGCATCCACGACGTCCCATAGGAATATATCATTGTTCTCCGATCCACTGACTATCGTTGCATCATCAAACATCGTACAACTATTCATCTTGTATGTGTTGTTGGTATGGCCTGCAAACTCATTCAGCAAGTCGCCAGTCTTCTTCTCCAACAGTCTCACACAGCTGTCCATCGAGCTGACCAACAGACACCTCTTATCATGTGTCAAGTATACAGAGGTCAATGGATCTAGGTGTATGTAATGCATCATTGTGTTAGAGTAGGAGAATGATTATGGGTATGGATTGCTACTTACGATGCAGCTGGTCTGTCCTCAGTTTGCCCATCCTAACGTCATAGGTTCGCACAGACCCGTCTACACTTGTTGATATGATCTCATTGTCTTCGTCATTGATGATGACTGATGTGATACTGTCTTGAGCTTCGTTCAACACTTGGATTGGGTCTGCATTCCTTGACTTCAAGTCCCATATCTTGATCTTCTTGTCATAAGAACCAGATAACAATAGACTGCTATCATTGTTAACTACAATGGTATTGATTGTCTGCATGATGGTGAGAACGAGGTATTATGTTACTTCTGACTGACCTACTTACCTCTGCATGACCTTTGAATCGTCTGACTACCTCGCCAGAGGAGATGTCCCATTGGAATAGTTGTCGCTCGGCACAGCTGAATATTTGTTGATTGTCTGTACAACTTCGTACATCACCAACAGCATAGCCATGTACATCGAATGTATGTATCAGTGTCTGTTTAGCAGGGTTCCATAGTTTGATCGTCCTATCATATCCACCACTGAGACAATAAGTACCCTCACCTGTAGTCGGGTAAGTGTCAATGCTCCAATCATTCGTTCATTCACAATAACATTACATACTATTGAACCTAACTACAAGTACTGAACCTTGATGACCTTGTAACAAGTGATTACTATACATATATGTGTACAAACTTATGCAGTTTGATCGAATGGTTGATTGAATGAATGGAGTCGGGGAGTTGGAGTTGGAGGAAGTTGATTGATTGATGATTTATTGTCAAAGAATGATCAGTTCGCTGACGATGATATGGAAGATACCCTTGAGTTGTTCCTTCACTTGTTGTTCGGATGTACTAATACAATCACTCAATGTCGGTGCCAGGTCAGTTAGGTGAGGTCGATTATGTTTGCTATTGTACCATCCAGGCGATATACTCAGTGATCGTAATTCCTTTAGAAGGAATACTACCTCTGAGAGCTGATGTGTTGGCATTGGTAGTTGTCCACTCTGTCTCTCATCTTTGATAAAGCGTTGGAGAACTTCTTTGGAACGTTTGATCAGTACTGGAAGCACCTCCTTGGCAGTGTCCACACTCTCGGCATTACCAATGTTGGCCTTGGCACACATGAAGAACATGTTTCGATAACAGGCCTGGGACAACGCGATACGTCCTTGACTGCCCATTACCGAGCCTTGATAGAGTATTTCCGACAATCTCTGTTTGACCACTGATGTGTCATCAATCTTGACACCTTTGAATCCAATCATATCGTTGGCGACGATGTCCACAAGGTTGACATCGTACTGGTCCTCCACCCACCTCAAATCGCACGTGGCCAAGTTGTCAACTCTCTCCTTGATTATATAGCGCTGAAGTGAGTCGGCCAGCTTGATCCATATTGCTAGTCTCGTGGGACCGTCCATTCCTGTCGTGTCCTGATTGATTGCAGCCAATCCTTTTGGTATGACCTTGATCAAGTTTGCAGTGGCAACCTTCCACACATTCGATTTGTAGTTGGTGCACTTGATCATCATGGCCATCATATATACATCGATCAAATCACTAAATACCACTGCTCTCATCTCATCACTTGTTGATTGATGTAGGTATAGTTCGCTGGACAACTCTATATATCGCTCGGTAACCAATGCCAGTTGTCCAAGATCCCTGATCATCACATCCGGGTACATTGCCTTTGTTGTTGTACAACTGGCCACATACTTATAGCCAATACCATTGGCAATATGTGTCATTAACAACACCATCACATGTGGATATACATCTGGGTGGATTGGTGGCTGATCGTTTGATTGGGTTAGTTCATAATTATCTCGACTTCCACACGTGATTCCAACCAAACTCACAAGTGATTTAAGAAGTTGTAGTGTCTGTAGTTGAGGGACGGAGAGTGTCTTGGAAGGTGGCTCATTGCAACACAGACCAAGAGGATACAGGATTTGTAGCATCCTTATCAATTGAGCGTTGCTAAGTGATTCTTTGGACTTGTGGTACAGATCCAGGAAGGCCACCACATAGGCATGCAATGACTTGGCATTGGCCACTGATGGATCGGTGAGTTGAGTGGCCAAATTGGTGTACACCCTCCACATTGATTCACACAAGTCTGGTCGAGTGCTCTCTACTATTGGCGAGCCTATCAACTCGTGCAATGAGGCCAGGGCAGACATTGAAACCTCTCGACTTGATGACAATGATTCAGTTTGTAATATGTACAGTAGTCTATCCCATGCCTTGACGAATGTTGGCAGCTGACTCAGCGTCTCAAAGTAAGTCTTGAACAAAATGATCAATCTTCCAAGTGGCAACACCTGTGTCTCATCCCATTGCTTCTGTGCCGTATTCCTGCTATGATGTACAAGTCTGTTGATTGATTGATTGAGTGAGTGAATGGTCCCATTCCAAGGGTTGGGTGTACTTACAACATCACACCTCCACCAAGATCAGAGTCGATTCTTTCTTTGTCAGCTTGAACAGAGTATTGGATGACTTCTTCAATGAGTGGGAATAGTATCTTCCAGAGAATGGTCGAAATGAGATCCTTGCCAAATAGATGGATAGAGTTGGAGAGTGTTTGGAATAGTGCCACGATCACACCATTCCTCACTGCAGCACGGTGATCAATACATAATGACTTCATCGTGGTGAAGGCACACAGCCACATCCTATTGATCACACTCTGATCCTTATCAGTAAAGTATGGTGATGATGCCGCAATGATCGCTCTGGTCTTTGAATCCTCGATGGATGACTCATCCTCTTCATCAACCTCCGCAACAGTACTGTACTTGGATGAGGGTTGCGCTGTCTCGTGGTCCAGGAAGTAGGTCAAGTCGGAGAAGAGTCCAGAGCTGGCCGTCAGACTGATGTTGATGTCGGCCTTTTGAGAGACAAACGCTTTGATGAGCTCGATGCATATCACCAGACATTCCGGGGCCATGTTTGGCAAGAACTCATTGTATATCAACTTGACACTCTCGAATGCCACCAGTATGAGTGACTTGTCGCTGGTCTGTGGTATCTTGAGCAGGATGGAGAGGAGTACGGGCCAGGCAGTCGATAGTATGTGTCCTGATGTGGACAGGATCTGATGTATACACTCCAATATCTTCTGTTTGGTGTCTGGATATTGAGAGAATGATATCTCTTCGATGGCGTTGAAGAACTCAACCTGTAGCTTCTCGATGTTCCATCGACGATATCGTCTCATTGAATCGATTGATGAGATTTGGTGATATTGTGTGTGATCACGTGGATCGTCATCGTCATCCAACTCGTCATCCAAGTCACTCATTGAGTCTGGACTGATGACGCCTGCGTCCAAGGACAGTCCTTCGCCATTGACCATGGGCGGCGAGTCGGTACCATTGCCATTGCCATTGCCATTGCCTGCTCCCGAGTGGATGGGTGGGGGCAGCTGGAGCGCGGTCTTGATGATTGTAAGCATGAGTGACTCGACTCCATAGATACGTATGTAGCTGTTTCGGAAGTTGCACGTCTCCACCAACTGTGTGGAGATAAAGCCCCAGAGTTTGTCGATGCGATAGAGGTTCGAGACGGAAGCCTCCACAAGCTTGGTAATGCTGAACATGTTGATGGGCGTACCTGGCGATTTGGATAGTGCGTTAGAACAAAGCTTGGAGAGTGCGCCAAACAGGAAGCTGATTGATCGCTCGTCCAGTTGACATGTGCGCTTGAAGAGATTGTTCATGGCGTTCATGAGGATCGACAGCTCGGCCTGGCCCACGCGTGGACTGCCGTACCCTGCCACAGGCGATCTATCGTCCTGTTGTTGTTGCTGTTGCAATGTCTGTTGTTGTTGCTGCTTGAGCAGGCGGTCCCAACTCTCCAACGTCTCCAGCACCAATATCCATGCCTCGTCAAGTATGGACCCCATGCAATGCGCGATGTTCATCAGAGTCTTGACGGCCATGATGTTCTTCTGTGTTGGGAGCGCTTGTTGTGGCTGGGGCGAGTACACACCAAACTGGTCAACGCCGCCACGCGCTTGCTGTCCACCTCCAAGTACAGGGGTGAATCCAGATGGTCGTCCATCATACTCTGAAGAAGATACTTCGATTGTTGTTGAGTCACCTGACGCGGGAGACCATGTGAGTGGGGGCACGGTAGCCTTACACAGCGCAGTGAGCAGGGCATCGCGTGGGGCACTCATCTGGAGTCGACCACAGGTGTTTGTGAATGATTGTAATGATTTGAGCGCGATCTGAAGTAGTAGCTCATCGTTGGACCTGCCAAGCAACAGTGAGAGCGATGCCAAGACCGTGGTCCAACACGACTCGACCATCTGTGCGAGTAGCTGGCGCTCGCCACCCACAGTGCTGGTGCTCGCTGAGCCATTGGGTGACTCATTGTTGGTGGAGTCGTCGGTCTGGGAGACAACACTATTGACAATGCCAGCAATGCACTCGGTGCACAGCGTGACGATGAAGCTCTCCTTGATGTCGGGGATGTCTGTGGCCGACAACATGTCCAAGTGTTTGTTCTTGCTCGTGTTGACGTGGACAAAGCAACCGTCGACTGTTGCAAAGCCCTGCATGTAGATACCAATACTGGATGTCAGGCTCCTAAAGATCATCGCAGAGTTTTTTCCGCCACTAATGTCATAATGTTGATAAAAGATGCGTAACAAGGCAGCATCCTCACAATAGACTTTGAATGATTCCAAAGCCAGCACTTGCATCCATTGAGGGTTGTCACTGTCCATCATTCTGATCATCTTTGTCAAGAGTACATCTGTCTCGGCCACCATTATCCTTCCATACTTTGAAATGAACTGTGTGATCACTCGCATCAGTCGCACCGAGTTGGCAAAGCTTAGCTTCATTCTCAATGCCTTGATCAACAATGGACATATCTTATCCTTGAGCAAGTATCTAAACTCCTCAATCTAATTGATTGATTGATTGATTGATTGTGGGGGTGAGTGAGCGATGGATTGATTCCAGATGTCAGAGGATACATACCTCTAAGAAGATGATCTGATGGGCGGAGAGAACCATCTCAATCAGCTCCATGCCAGTGGCATGGGTGAGTGTGGAGAGGGTGCTGGGAGGGAGCCAGACTGGATGGTCACCATCGGTGATGTAGCAGAGATCCTGGAGAAGGAGGAAAGCATCCTTGGCACATGGCTTGAGAAGATAGGGAGTCCGACTTCCAGACCCCATGAGCGGTGATTGGACCGGCATGTCCACCTCACATGACCGCATCAAAGGTGTTATGGTTGTTGTGGTCGATGTGGTTGGTGGAGTGGAGTTGACGGATTGATGCTGTTGTTGCTGTTGACTGGGTGGCGATACACTTCCACCACTCGTTCCATGTCCTTGTCCATTATTATTACTATTCATATTGGTGGATTCGATTGATATATGTGGCGGTATGAGTGATTGGCTGTTGCTCAATGAGCATGGCGACAGTGCACCATTGCGTTCCAGTATGACTCGATCGAATATATGACGTATGATCTGGGGCAGTGTTGCCGCTGATGTATTCTGAATGTGTATGCTTCGGTTGTTGCCATTGAGTCTAAGACACAACACCAGACATTGTGCCAGCAGGTCATCATGCAGACTATTCATTGTCGTTATCAATATGAGCAGACCTTGTAGTACCTTTAGCTGGACAGACTCTTCTCCGACCTCAATCAATGTCGACATCTTTGATATGATCTCTGGTAATGTGCTCTAAAGTTGTATGATTGATTGATTGATTGATTGGGTGTCAGTGCTCATTCATTCATTCTTTGATTGATTGATTGGGTACCAACCATTGATACAGCAGACTGTGATATGAGCTTAAGTATTGATCCAACTGCAAAGGCTATCAACTTCTGATTCTTGGTATCGCATGCCATCAGCAAAGGCTTCAGGACATCGTCTGACTTTGCTAGAGCTATGATGTTTGATTGAGTGATTGAGTGGAGGTCATTGCGTCAATGAATGATAGATTGAATGAACGAGTCCAATCAATTAACTTGAACAAACGTACATTGAATGAGTACATCGATTGAGGTTGATTGTTCCTCGATACTCTTGAGGATGGTGATGCCGCGATCGGAGGCATCTTTGAGTTGGGGGAACCTGACCTTGGCTTCTTGTGAGATGGACCTAAGGTCAGCTTGTAATACAGAGAGTAGGCCAAGTCCAGTAGCCTTTGGTGTCGATGATTTAGGTGTTGTAGTAGTAGGCGTTGATGTTTGTTGTTGGGCGGGGAATGAAGATGTTTTCATTTGGTTTCGTTCGTCGTGGACGACAACACTGGTTCCGTCCTGTTAGGTTATATGTTCTTGTCTCTCGTACGATCGAACAATAATGTATTGTTGTATTGTTGTTGTTGTTGTCAGTTTGTAGGTCTGGGTTGAATTGTCATGCATGTAGTCCAGGCCAAATGAGGGATAATAGTAAAACAAGTTCCAAATTCTCTCTCTTTTTCTGTATCTCTATATTTATATCTATGTATCTATCACTCTCTAAACTAGCCTGACCTTACTTACTTACTAACTTCTTACACTCTCACTCTCACTCTCTGGCTCTCTTACAGTTTGTCTGCCTGTTCCAACAATGCGCTTTGTCAGGTAGCAACACAACAACAAAGCATGGAAACACACCCCACCTCATACAATCATTCAATCAATCCCTTTTGAAGGCAGGCACATGCCCACTCTCTTTCCTCTCTCTCACTCACTCACTTACTTACTTACCCCTCTTCATCAACAACATCCTTCCCAAGCACTCACTCAAACAATCACACACATCATTCATTCAATCATTGTATTAATACTATGATTGATGTAGAGAGAGGAAGAAAGAGGTGGGTGATAGTCAGGAAAGTAATGTCATACCATGATATTATCATATAATGGACAACCAGGGATAGTTGTTATTAGACAACTTGTCACCATGTTACACATGTCTTTCAATGTCGATGTCGAACTGATGGACAACATAGCAGATGTGATTATCGTGAAGTTCACTCTTTGCTGAGTCATCACCAAACCTGGTATTTAATTTTTTATTGAATTGAGCACCCCAAACAACTGAAGGTCATCAAAGTAATCCATCAATCATTATTATTCATTCAATAATTATAATTACTATACTTATATATATATATACATAATAAATAATAAAATATATAAAAGGTAGAAGAAAAATGATGACATATCAAAGAAATCTATGCCTTTTGGCATTGTTGTCAGTGATCTGCTCGGTAGCAATCTCATTCACACCATCACAGAATACAGTATTCTTTGATGACCTTCAGTCAACTACATCCAAATGGGTGAAGAGCAGCAATTCACAGGCTGATTTCGAAATCAAATCGGCTGACGAGCCAGTGGACGCATCGGACAAGGGTCTGGTGCTGCCCCAGTTGGCCAAGCGCTACGCCATCAGCAGCAAGCTGGCCAAGCCCGTCGATAACACTGGTCGCGAGCTCATTGTTCAGTATGAGGTCAAGTTGCAGAACGGTTTGGACTGCGGTGGCGCCTACCTCAAGCTCTACCAGGCCTCTGAGAACTTTGACGTCAACACCGTCTCCACCGACACTGTCTACTCGATCATGTTTGGTCCAGACAAGTGCGGTCACGACAACCGTGTGCACTTCATCGTCAAGCACAGAAACCCAATCACCAAGGAGTTCGAGGAGAAGCTGATCACCGCCAAGCCACCCATCCGCACTGACAAGCTGTCCCATCTCTACACTCTGCACATCTTCCCCAACAACACCTTCAAGCTGTTGGTCGACAGAGTCGTCGTGTTGGAGGGCGACTTCCACAAGGACTTCACCCCAGCCTTCAACCCACCCAAGGAGATCGACGATCCCTCCGACTCCAAGCCAGCCGACTGGGTCGACCAGGCTCAGATCCCAGACCCAGCCGCCTCCAAGCCAGAGGACTGGGACGAGTCTCAGCCCGCCAGAATCGTCGATGAGAGCGCTGTCAAGCCTGACGGATGGTTGGACGACGAGTCCGAGATGATCCCATCTGACGAGCCCAAGCCAGATGAGTGGAATGAGGAGGACGACGGAGATTGGGAGGCCCCAATGATCCCCAACCCCAAGTGCGAGGATGGAATGTGCGGTAAGTGGGAGGCACCAATGATTGCCAACCCATTGTACAAGGGCAAGTGGTCCGCTCCAATGATTGATAACCCAGAATACAAGGGTCCATGGAAGGCTCGCCAGATCGCCAACCCAGGCTACTTCGAGGTCGAGAACCCATACATTGTCGAGAAGATTGGCGCTGTTGGTATCGAGGTCTGGACCATGTCTTCCGGCATTCTGTTTGACAACTTCATCATCACCTACGACGATGAGGAGGCCAAGCGTTTGGCCGACGAGACCTTCTTCCCAAAGAGCGAAGTCGAGAAGCAGCGTCAGGCAGCAAAGGAAGAGGAGGAGGCCAACGCCAACACCAAGAGCGTCGTCGAGAGAGCCCTTGAGTTTGCCGAGATGTTTGCCGCCTACGCACAGGAGAACCCACTCCCAGTCGTTGGAGCCCTCGCCGTAGGTCTCCTGCCAATCCTGGTCTGTCTGATCCGTCCATCGTCGACCCCACAAAAGGTCGTCATCCCAAAGGAGACCGCTGCCAAGCAGTCGGCCCAACAAGAGTCATCCGAGGACGACTCCTCAGACGCCGAGGAGTCTGATGAGGAGCCCGAGGAGAAGAAGCCAGCCGCTACTACCTCCACAACAACAAAGAGAGTCCAAAAGGTTCAATAAATTAGGTTATTATTAGTTAGCTACCTCTTATGTGTATATGTAGGTCCTCTTGAGGCGTCAAGTCTTAACAACAACTGTAATTAATGTGTGAATAGATGGATGGGGAAGATGGGGAGGGAAGGAGGGGAGGCTTATGGTTCTTCATTCTGTCTCAGCAGTGTCTCGCGGTCGTCATTGCTGCGATCGGTGCCAAATATCTTGGACATGCTGGGGAAGCCATACATTGACGTTCTCAATCGGTCTTGACTGGAGATACCTCCAAGTGATGGGCTGGATGAGTTTCGTGATGGACTACCCATTGCATTGTACGTATCATAACGTGATGATCCAATGTTGTCTGGTCCGCCAGTGATGATCGCTCCATTGCTACTGCCCAGACTCGGCGAATACTTATTACTTGTGCCACCATTACTCTTATTTAGCCATGAACTAGACAACGATACCTCGCTATGTCCCGATGTCTTGATCGCAACAGACTTCTTTCTCCTCTCTGTGGTCATAAAGTGAAGTGAAGCGTCAGTATGCATGTAATGATGATGACTGGATTGATTGATTGGTCAAACATACCATGATGTAGTATCATCTTTCCTTCATCTATGAGGTCATGGGAGAAGTCAGAGTCGAATCTAAACATTGTGATGTTGAGCATGTTCATGATCCTAGTGTACAGGTTGAAGGCAGTGGCCAACACGACAACAAGAATTACGATGGGGAAGTAGATGTAAAAGTATTTGCCAAGGAATGGCGTAGAGTTCATCTCGCCCATGACCAATGTGAATGTCGTTTCAATGTTGTTAAATGTAATGAATGTGATGAAGTTGTAGCACAATGGTGCTGCCAATCGACAAAGATAGCTAATCATTCATGTGATTGATGGTGAAAGGAGTTAGACAAGGTATACCATCACCAAACCATCCATCCCTTGGACAAAGATGATACATACGCAGCACTAAAGAGTATACTGTTGGAGTCGGAATGTTGACCAGGGATAAGGCGATAGTAGTTGAAGATACGGATCTTGAAGAGTGTGCTGTAGGTGACCAAAGCAGCGTATCCAAGTGGGAAGAAGAGAATGATTTGGATGCCAATGTTGTCAATGTTGGTGTGCTTGGCAATGTTAGAGAGTACAGAGACATCGGTACTCCTGACTGCAACTGATATCTCTGACCAAATCAATAGCAACGACTGCAGGACAAAGAGTCCGGCCAATGCGATCATAGATGGAACCTGCAGGTATGTATACCAGATCCATTCGAATCTGTCGCGCTGGTAAGCGAACCGTCCTGTACGTGGCTCCTTGAAGCTCCAATGAATGATCCAGTCGGGATTGGCCACGCTGTTCATGATGTCCTCCAACTCGATCGCTTCGTCAACGCATTGATTATACAACGAATCTGATCTGTTCTTGTCGAGGATGGCATTTTTCAGACGAGAGTTGAGTGATACCAGCGAGTCGTATGTGACATCTATCACGCCCTCGCCATGCGCAATGGCGGCGTACTCTGGTGGACATTGATTGACAATGGTCTGTACATATTCCTCGAAGGGGTCATACTTCCTTGTGCGATCGGCCACCTTCTTAATGAGCTTCAACGTGCTGAACAACTCCTCTTGTGCCTTCTTCTTTTGTTGCATCAGATTACACACTTGGAACTGAAGATGCTTAAGAGTAATCTGTCTATTTGCTGTGTTCCAAATGTATCTTGGTGTCTCTACAAGGCTGATTGATTGATTGAGTGTGTATGTGTTGTTTCAAGGTCAGCTGAGAGTGATCATGTGACGCGTCCACTGGCAATAAACATGACATACCCATAACCCATAAGTATGATTACCAAGATGATACCCCAGGTGTTGGCGGCGGCCATTACATAACCGACCATTGATGACCAGTCAAGATGTTTGACGGCCAACAACCAGATCACAATGACAATACCAATGCCAAGGAATATAGAGTACAATAATAGGTTCTCCTTGATTGATCGCTTGATCCTTCCAGTGAGTTTAAAGTCACCTGCCAAAACAAGTGATCCAAGGAATGGGTATATCAACCTGTCATATTTTTGAGTCAGTGAGTGAGTGATGGAAGTGAGGGAAATGATTGCCTCATCATTTCCTTTCTTACCATGTGAGTAACAATGATCCAAAGTAGAATATCTGATAGAATACAGCTAGTACATTACTAGACACATATGAAAGTGGTTTATGATTGCAGTCTTCATCATTCTCTTGACATGATCTGTACTTTGTCTATAAGTTGGTTAAAGATAGATGGATGTGTCAAACATTGATCATTGATGGTGATGATGATTGAGTGTGCTGTATAATAACATGTGACTACATACTGCAAGGATATCAATAGGGACCAATACAACTATACCAAAGCACATGTACCATCCTATCCATGCCATAACATATACATATCTATAATATCACGTGATCAATACATCTGTATCAGTATGTACATTCATCCAGTTTGATTGATTAGGTCGTTGACTTACAATGGCGTCTTTCTGAATGATATATATCTATGAAGTACAAGTGTTGTGAACACTGCCACAGCGAGCAAGATGATCACAAATATCGCTATCATCTCTCAACACTATGTCTCTCTCTCTCTCTTGATATATATATCTATACAACTATTACTACAACAACTACAACAATAACAAAAACAAAGTGATAAGGTGTAGGTATCGACCACACACAATCAAATCATAAAACTCCACAGCCGTTTCTTTTCACGCGCCACTTCCCAAGAAGCCGAGCTAGACAGCACATCAAACTGACTGTTGGCGTGATGACATTGTTTGATATATCACATGTGCCCATTTGTATGACCTTGTTTAATCCCTCATTTGCAAGTCTAGACTAGTTCCAATGTGTTGGCTTTACATCCATCATGATGGATGACACGATATGATATAACCAAGAGAGTTAAAGTTGTTACATGAAGTATAAACTTATCGATGTCTATTCTACTAATTCTAGTATGTATTACTACTATTACTATAACAAGTTATGTTCATTTGCTTCTTGCTTGTTCGATAAAGTTGTTCAGTCCAGTTGGGTTGGGAGCACCAATAATCCTGTGCACCTCCATGCCATCCTTGAAGGCGATGAGTGTTGGGATGGAGCTGACCTGAAACTCCTCGGCGATCGAACCAACCTCATCAATATCAACCTTTGCAAGCTTAATATCTGGTATCTTGTTATCCTTGAATGTGCTCTCTAGCAGTGGGTTCAACACTCTGCATGGTCCGCACCATCTATAGATATGATAGAAAGGTTAGGATCATTCGTCATCAACAGCACTTGAATGAATGGATGAACCTACGGAGCATGGAAATCAACAATAACCATCTTGTTCTCGGCGAGGACCTGCTTGAATTGGATGGACTGCTGAATTTCGGTGTAGAAGTATCGCAGTGAGCCCATCGATGATTTCATCGAGTTGTTGATTGATGCTCTGTACAATTGATTGAGTCCTCTGTTAAGTAATGACATCTTGTCTATCTATCTGTGTTTATAATAAGTGTGTATGTATAAGTTATAAGTTCAAGCGAATGTAAGAATGACATCTTGTATAGTCGTGATTGTGTGTGAGGGTGGTCATGAAGTGGCATCAAAAAGTTGGTCATTTATTCTCCAGCCAACTTCGAGAAGTTATATAAGTTGGAAAGATAAATAGATAGATAGATAGATACAATATGTGTATTTAATTAAATCAAAGGGACCGTCTCCTCGACAATCTTCTTCTCTTTGTACAAATAGGAACGGTCAATGTTGTTGGTTGGGTCGCTGTAAGGGGTCTCTCCATCCATTTCATCCTCGTCATCCTCTGCATCGTCGAGAAGACCTTTCGATTCACTGTTGTCGTTGTCACTGTTGTTGCTGCTGCTGACGACGCACACCTCCAGGGGATCACGATCCCAGTTCTCTCTGAGGTTAAGGCTGTTCACAGTGTAGTACTGTAGGGTGAACGAGAGCATGGTGAGAGAGGCCAGGAGCAGTGACAGGAGGAACGATGACGAGCCGCACTTGATCCTGGTGGCCCATTGATGGTCGAGGAGCATCGACATGATGCTGGGGAAGCCAACGTCCATGAACTTGTCAATTCCGCTCACAATGAACCAACTGCCGTAGAAGGACGACGTGGACATGACGCAAATGAATGGTGACAGGCCAAACACAACCGGGAAGAAGATGAACAGACAGGCAATGATGAATTGCATCACGTTGGTCTGTGGCATGACGCCCAGGAAGGCATTTGACATCCAGGCAGCTGTGATCAGACCGATTATAGCACAGGGTACACTCTTGTATCGCATACAGATGAATGAGAGCACGACGGAGAACATGAATGAGGTGATCACGTGTACCGCCACTGGAAAGGGATATTCGAGCGAGGTCCAATAGACCAGGAGTGCTCCCAATATCGATCCAAAGAAGCTCATTATTATGTCGACGCATTTGAAGCCCAGGGTGCCAATAATTGTGCCTCCTGCAATGCTTCCAATGCCAACCAAGTTATTTATTGTTATTGGTAATAACATTATTAAGGTTATATAAATAATTATTTATAGATATATATATTAGGGTAGGGTATGTTATGTATATCAGGAACTTGTGATGATGAAGTGTATGGGAGATGGAAAGGAACACAGCTTGGAAGGAGGGATGTCTGATGATCAAGTTGAAGGAGGTTTGATTGATTGATTGATGGATGATGTGCACATGACCTGAGAGCGGATGTGGAAGATGTATATACCCATGGGACTTTTTACACTTGTTATAGAGTGATGGCCATCAATCTCTCTCTCTCTCTCGTTCCACCAAACACTATCATACCAACATACATACATACATTCATATTTACAGATAACATACATATTATATGTGATATACACTCACCCTACCCTACCCTTCCTCCAAGTGCCGGCATCTTCACCCACCATCATCACTCATCAACATCAACCCACTCACACAAGCACACCCACCTTAACATTCAATCACACTCTTCAATCATTTATTCACTTCACAGCCACTGGCAATACATTTTCATTTGAGAGAGCTCTGCAGTAGCCTGTCATGGCAACAACACAACAGGTTAATACAATACACTCACTTCTTGTATCTCTATCTATGGAGTGAGTACACATTTATCATACACACTTATTAATTACTACTCCAATTGAATAGTTGACATTGTTATTGATCTGTAGTTTGTGAGGCCCGTATCCTTGGGCTTAGTTGTCAAAGCGATCACAGTCTTTGGTTTGCTTTCCTGTGCGCTGCTCCATTCAATGACACGAGCTCCAGGCCACCCATCAACATTGCCATCATATTATTAATAAACAAATCCAGAGTGTGATTGAATTAATGGATCGGGCAATTTATGTAAATGTTTATCTAAACAAGTCATCCTCTTGTTGTTGTTGTGGCTGTTGGTTGTTGTTGCCATCTGGGAATCTAAAGTCTGAACCAAGTCCACGAGACTGTACCAATGTCTGAGCAAACATCTCATACTTTCTAATGTCATTGTCCGAAACTGATCTTCTGGCGTATCTCATGGCCTCCTCAAAGTGCTCCTTGGTGATCTCGGGCACCGGGTCGGTGTCGTCCTCCATCACCTCACCTCCAGCCTCTTGCATTCTCTGTGTTCTGAGGATGTCCTGCTCGATCGACTCACGGATAGCAAGCTTACAGGCACGCTGGCAAATCTCTGTCAGATCGGCACCAGAGAATCCCTTGGTCATGTTGGCCATGAACTCGAGATCGACGTCCTTGCTGATGGGTGACTTGTGCAGACAGGCCTTCAGAATGGCAATACGGGAGGGCAAGTCTGGCAGAGGGATGTAGATCAGCTGATCGAGACGACCGGGACGGAGGATGGCTGGATCGATGATGTCTGGGCGGTTGGTTGCTCCAATGATGAACACGTTCTTCTTGGCGCCCATACCATCCATCTCTGTGAGGATCTGATTGATGACACGGTCACCGGCACCAGAGTCACCTTGGCTGCTGCCTCTTGCCTTGGCAATAGAGTCGAGCTCATCAAAGAAGAGCACACATGGCGCGGCCGATCTGGCCTTGTCAAACAGCTCACGGACGTTGGCCTCGGACTCTCCGAACCACATTGTCAGGAGCTCGGGTCCCTTGACAGAGATAAAGTTGGCCTGGCACTCGTTGGCGATGGCCTTGGCCAGCAGGGTCTTTCCACAACCTGGTGGGCCGTAGAAGAGCACACCCTTGGATGGTTGCATACCGAACTTTCTGAACTTCTCTGGATGCTCCACTGGGTATTGGACGGTCTCCTTAAGCTCTCTCTTGACACCCTCCAGACCTCCAATGTCCTCCCAGGTGGTGGTGGGCACCTCGACGACGGTCTCACGCAGGGCAGATGGGTTGGAGCCGCTCATGGCAGTTCTGAAGTGGTTCTGTGTGACTGACATTGACTCGAGGATCTCAGCAGAGATTGTGTCGTCGTCCAGATCGATCACATCCATCTTCTCACGAATGCATTGCAGCGCTGCCTCGGTACAGAGGGCTGCAAGATCAGCACCAACGTAACCGTGTGTCTCATTTCCAACAGACTCCAAGTCGACAGACTCGTCCAACTTCATGTTCTTGGTGTGAATACGGAGGATCTCGAGACGACCAGTGGCGTCGGGGATTGAGATATCAATCTCACGATCGAAACGACCGAAACGTCTCAGGGCTGGGTCGATTGAGTTTGGACGGTTGGTGGCTCCCATGACGATGACGTGAGCACGTGACTTGAGGCCGTCCATCAGAGTGAGCAGCTGCGAGACGATACGACGCTCGACCTCACCCTGTGTCTTCTCTCTCTTTGGTGCGATTGAATCAATCTCATCGATAAAGATGATGGCTGGTGCATTCTTCTCGGCCTCCTCAAAGGCCTTTCTGAGGTTGGACTCTGACTCTCCGGCCATCTTGGACATGATCTCGGGACCGTTGATGAGGAAGAAGAAGGCTCCAGTCTCGTTGGCGACAGCTCTGGCAATCATGGTCTTACCACAACCTGGTGGACCGTACAGCAGGATACCCTTGGGTGGCTTGACACCAATGTTTCTGAACAGCTGTGGGTGGCGCAATGGAAGCTCGACCAGCTCACGGATCTGGCCCAACTGCTTGCGAACACCTCCAATGTCATCGTAACCGACCTCGTCGAGACGGTCCTCGTCTTCACGCTTTATGGGGTCACCCTCACAGTGGATCACTGTCTCTGGGGCGACGATACAGAACTCGCCTGGGTCACACTCGACCACCTTGAACTCGACGGCACGCATACCACCGCGCACCAAGAACAGATCTCCCTTGCGCACTGGACGGTAGGCCTCGAGGAAGTATGGCTTCAGGTACAGATCAAAGAGGTTTCCGCTGAGTCCTTCGATTGTGTCGTCGATTGGCAGCACATGGATACGCTTGCCGTACTTGATGTCGGTGCATTGGTGCACAGAGATCATGTCACCTAGACGCACTTTCAGATTGTTTCTGATGACCTTGTTCATGCGAATCTTGGATGGGTCCACTGAAGCATCCATCAGTACAATACACACAGTATCTCTGCGCTTCTTTCCCTTGACCAATAGTGTGTCACCTCTAAACAACTGAAGAGTGGTCATAGCATCTGGATGCAAAGTAACAACTGAATTATCATCATTAATAGCGTCCTCAACATAGAATCTATTTGGTGCTCTCTTGCGCTCCATTATAGGTACACTCTCTGCTCCTTTACTGATAATTAAGAAAAGTAAGTGTAAGGTTAGTGTCTGTGGCTGGCAGGCTGAGGGATGAGTTTGATGGATGGGGATGGATGGGATACATACTCTTCGATCGATGCCATTTATATATATATTTATGTATGTATGTGTAATGTATTAATATATGTATATATTTATTTATTTATATTTACAAGTAATAAAAGAATGAATGAATGATGAAGTTAACAAAGTTTAATTTGCATCATCACATTGATGATGCAGGTTCTATTCTTTTTGTTTTCCACCTCCTATCTCAACTTGATGCAAAACTCATCAATCGTGTGTGATCATGGAGTTGCGACACACAAGAGCGAGAACTTGGTGTGACGTGTTCTCAATGACTCACCGCCGCAGCAGCAGCAGTTGGATTAGGATTAGGATGTTCGACGGTCTGTTGTTGTGCCTGTTGTTGTGTCTGTTGTTGTGTCTGTGACTGTTGTTGTAGCTGTGACTGTTGCGTCTGTGGCTGTTGCTGCCTAACTTGGAACAACTTGATGTTTGTGTTGCAGAATAATGGAGGTGATTGATTCTCCAAGTAGATTATACACCACATGTATGCTATGAACCACGACTTGGTAATAGGATTGGCATGATACTTCCTTGTCATTATTGGTCCTGCAGCAGGGAATAGACCAACTGTAGTTGATATCCTAAGATACTCCATTATCTTTTGTTCATCAGATCCACTGGTTTGATTGATTGATTGGTTTGTAAGTGAGTGAGTCATGGTCATCCATCACTAATGATGATTAATATACATACGATCCTGAACATAGTCTTTGGATTTGAGGTGAGAGATTGGTAATTATCTTTAGGATGTTGTCCAATGGTAGTTGCCTTTTGACACTTTGTAGCCATTCATCAGTGGGTATCCACTCATTTTGAACAGGAGATGATGGTGCCTCCACGTGCTTAGTATGCTCAATTGGAGCAGAGGAAGATGATTCTGATTCTTGTCTATGTACATGCTCTGTTGAGCTCTTCTTGGCCTCTTTGGACGGTTCGTTCTGGTGTGGAAGATTCGAATGAATGTGGTCTTCATGTTGTTGTTGCTGAGCATGAGTAGTGGATGATTGATTATGGAATGCTGCAGTGGCATCACCTGGCGCTGTCACTGTTGGATGGTCGTTGACCACGGCATTGGTTATCTTTAGGTATGCTAGCTTGGAGAATTGATTCTGGCACCGGAGTATTGCGTAGAGTAGTCTTGTGTTGCTCTCGTATTGATGTTGGAGCAGACTGTTGAACGTCTCTAGCAGCAGGTGCACGTAGCGATGATTGTGATTGTTGGCAAACAATACTTTGGGTGACGACAGATACTCGAACAGCTTCATCAACTTGACACATGTCATCATTGAGAGGTTCTTCATGTAGGGCGACAGGTTTGACAGCACCGTCAAGATGCATTCGAATATGCTCTCCAACTTCTCATTGTGCTCCATCAGCATGCGGTAAAGGACGATGATGATAAAGTCGCTATATCCTGCGGGCTTTGGTATGTCGATCACAATGGTTCCATTGAATGTCTTGTTGAGCGATATGGCAAAGTCACGCTCTCCACTCAATACCAACAAGATAAACGTTCCAATCTGAACCAGTCCATGTGTTGCATGTGCCTTCCTTCCTTCATCCATATACTGCAACAATGAGACCAAGAACTCTGGTGATGATGAACTGTTTGTAACAAAGGAGAGGAAGTCCTGGAAATTGATTGAGTGATTGAGTGAGTGAGTGAACGGGCAAGTGGCTTGAGGTACACCTCCAATTGATAGGTATACATACATGATTGAGTGAGATGAATCGCCAGAATGTGATGAGCAACTCTTGATGCATCTCAATCTTCTTGGTGGAGTTTGGCAGTTTGGTATGTGAGGCCATTAGGTTGAGTCCAAGTATCCTCTCAAAGGAGTTGAAGAAGAATGTGTAGTCTCTGGAGCGTTTGGTATTCTTTACAAGTAGTGCAAAGCCATTGGTAGTCGTATGCACCAATTGTTGTTGCTGCTGTTGTTGTGCTTGGTTGATATGATCATATGACAATAGGATGTTCAATATCTCAATGGCCGACTTGGCTACAGCCTCTTGATGATCAGAGAACAGCATATGATTGTAGGGAACTCCCCATCCTATTGGATCATAGTTGCAGAATGTGTTTAGCAGTGTATACAACAACGTCTCGGTGTAGTAACTCTGTGTCGATGTGATCCATTCCAACCATTTGCATCGGTAGTTGTAAGAATTCTCTACGTTCATGTGATGGTTAGCATTCATTGATGAGATGGATTGATTGAATGATTACCTTGTCCAATGTACAATTGCTCGGACAGACATGATAGGAGGCATTGGAGTACCGCCAATCTGTTGGCCCAATATGACTTTGTGGATCCAGTCTTTATGGTCTCAACTCCAAAACCTGCCTGCCAGGAAAAGAATGTTGGAAGTTGTTCTGGATATTGTTCACGAGGTGAAGCTGTTGCTGGAGCAATGAGCCAATCTACTGTGTAGCCTGGATGATATAACATGTCAAGTAGACACTCCATCAACCTCACTGCCAAAGGTTGTCGATCGACCTGTGGTATGAGATGTTGATCGTTTGGTACAGCTCTTGGTAGTTCGGGTTGAGGAGGTACCGAAGTTGGCAAAGATGAAGATGGTTCAGTTTCCACTTTGGTCTCTGTTTGCAAAGGCTGTTGCGGTTGTTCTTCACTTCCTGTTTGATCCATTTGTTGCTGTTGCTGCTCCTGAGGTTCTTGTTGTACTTGTGGTTGCTGCTGCTGCACAGGTTGTGGTTGCATAGGTTGGTTTGGTGAAGGCACAATGATGTTGTGCCAGAATATCTTGTCTGCAATTGTACTGTCTTGTTCATAGTCAAAGACAAATGGTATGATCCTGGCAAGTAGACCAAGACAATAGTTTGCATGTTGGAAATCAAACACCTTTCCTCTCTGTTGACCTGTAACAACTTGTAGATAGTCTACCAACTATTAGATTATCGTACCATTTTGGTTAGTTTGTCACTCATTCATTCCTTTATTCATTCAAACTATCCATACCTTATTAATAAGTATTGATAAGTTATCAGGTTGATTCTGTCTCATTGCCTTGATCACTGGAATGATCAAATGTTCATCGAGTGGATTCGTTAACAATATATGCCATAGTTCAGAGTCCTGTGGAACAGAGCTTGTCTGTATTGAATCCAAAGTCTTTGCGAATGTCTCCTTTGATGTACCTTGTCCCATAGTTATTGTTATTGTTATATTTATATAATATATAATCTGATGATGATGCGATGTTGATTGACTGACTCTTGACTCAATCATACTACACATTAATACCATTATGTTGTTGTTGGAGACCTCATTGAGTGCAACATCATTATACCATTCTAGGATAGTAAAGTGGTATGTGTGTGAAGGAGTGAATAGCAGCACCTACTCAATGAGTAGACCCGCCAATGATTTATGTGTGTGTGTATCTGATTGGGATAGTGTATGTGTGCTACAAAGCATAAATGGAAGGTGGGGTCACATGGATAGCATCAATCATTCACAGATAATACTAGAGCACCCAGGACTCAATGTTCATAAAGTCAACACGACCCGCGAGTTCATCCTTTTGATCATGAACATTAAATGTTATAACATTTACTTTACAGATACTCCAATTAACATAACCATCAATTACAACTTATCATATCTTAATGGACATTACATTCAGATAGATGGTTGAATAATAATTATCTATGTTCACATAAAACAATACACTCTGAAATGACGATCGTCAGTCGACTGAGATGTCTTAATCGAGGTGGGGTTCCACACTTCACCCTTCATTGTCCATTCAGTCTGGACACACTTCACACTCGGTGTCGTTCAGGACAACACACTCACTCATTCATTCATTGCTTGATGGATTGAAAGATGGAATAGTGAATGAGTTGGAACAAACACAGATACACGGACACACACACACGCTATCAGAGATATTCATTGCGTTTGGTCTCTCTAAGTATGGTCCATACTTCAATAATGGATGTCATTATCAAATTGACAACAAACAAACAGACAGACTGACTGACAAAGAGTTCATCGATGACAAATGGAACTTTATAGACAAAAGAATGTATTATTAATGTTAGGACTATTATTGATGGTGGCACTCCTACATGCCAGTGGAGGATCAGTGGCCAACGCAGCAGACTGTAAATCAGCATTGTCCAAATATTTCAATGGCGACCAGATGGTACAGATGACAGCGGTGATGAGCAATGGTCAAGTGTTCTACACCGTTCAAAAGTTATACCTATTCTACACATTCCTTACAAATGGCAATCCATTCTATGTTGTCGAGTCCACCAAAGAGGCATGCATCAATGGACATTTGAATCCATTCGATATCCACAATCAAACAATATCATTCTTTGACCGAAGTGGCATTGTCATTCAACCGACTGGTGAGGTCACCTTGTCGCCACTCTGGAAGCCTGCCGGTGACACCTTCTACAAGTTCAACCTAAACTGCGACCAGAACGTACTCTACGGCAATGACCAAGGTAGCATGTTTACCTTTGTATTCTTAGATAGTTCAGTTAAAGCAATTGGACGACCATGTTGACAACATTTTCATAATCATCATAATTAAATGGATACAACAACAAGACAACACTATTGATTGATTGTTATTCTATAAATAATATACATTCTTTATGACTGTTTATTAAATTACTATATATCTACATTACATTTGACCATCGCCTCCAATGCTCATACTTAGACATGGCCTCAACAAGTCGACCAGACTGATGATGCCAATGAGCTTCTTCCTGTCCACCACCCATACTCTATGGTGTCTGTTGGTAGCCACCATCTCCCAAACATCGTATATTGGAGTATCCAGTGTACACTTGGCCAATTCATGTTTCTTTAAATCCTTCTTCTGTTTGTATCTCAAGAAGGTCTTTACATCTTCAAATATATTATCGATGTTCTTCTCGTTCGTACCCTATTGATTGATAAATTACAAGTTAGTATGATTGAATGCCAATCCATTGATGGGTAACAGACTTACCTTCCAGCTATCTGTACATATTTCATTCTTAAGGTTACCTCTGTCGTCGACAACTGCCACAGCACTGATCTTGTTGTTGTGAAGCAGCTTCAATACTTCAAAGGTAGGGGTGTTCTGATTGACAGACTTGGGATTGGCATGATAGTAGTCTTCCACCTTCTTTCCACTCTTCATGATCTCGGATCGGAATGCTTGATTGTTCCATAGCCACAATACTACATCGGTCTGACTGATGATACGATTCAGTCTTGGTATTCTATCGGCAGAGTCTTTGAGTGATTGTGGACGACTATACACTGGTACACGGTGACAACCAATGGCAAACAATTGAATGAGGTTATGTACACTGTCGATCTCGGTCACCACTGGACATAGAGTCTCAACATCGTCAGACTTGTTGATTACAACAGACACTGGGTCCAGGTTCAACTTGAAGAAGTTCATCCCCAGCATCTTGGCAGAGCCGCTATTCTGTTGTTTAGAGTTGGTGAACTCTAACTGTTGCTTGGAGAACATAGCAAGTAGATAGGCAACTTGATTGAATGATTTAAAGTTAGAATATGAATGTTACACTTGAGATTGAACATGAACATACCAATGTCAAACATGTCGACCAAGCCCATGCAACCAAGCTTTGGATCAATTACGGGACAAGAGGATATGTCATTCTCTGTCAGAACCTTGAGGGCCAAGTCCAATGAGTCTGAACGTCTGACAGTGATGACACCTCTATTCATTTGAGAGGTAGAGTTGACACTCTCAATAGTGAGTGTCTTGAGTAGTTCAACAATTGAGTCACATTGGAGCACAACAGCGGGCGCCGAAGGTGACTTTACCATTCCATCTTTCTTTTCTATTGAAGGGAATGGATATGAATAATTGTTGTTGTTGTTGTTTGTATTGTTATTGTTGTTGTATGAGTTATTGCTAGCTGCTGAGCCCAAGCTACCATATGGAGTTGTGGTCAGCTTGTCATCTTTTGGAGGACTTGATGGGATTGAGTCTTTGGAGCGGGACCTTCGGAAGAGGCTTCCAGGAAAGTGTGACGAGATCCTACTCTGAGACGAAGACCGTAACATTGAATAATAATAATAATAATAATAAATAAATAAATAATATTGTTTGTTTTAATATTAAATGATCACACACACTCGAGCAAATTAATAAATATCACCTTGATTAATTAATAAAATATTATATAATATGTATATCTCTTTTAAATGAAGTAATTAAAGAATTTGGAACATGCTATTTCCTGCTTATGAAGGATGGTCTTGACCCAAAGTGCGAGCAAGGCTTATGGGTGAGTTGTTCGTGTTCGAGTCGCACTAATTCTGAGCACACTAGAGTGTGAAGAGAGAGAGAGGAACATAACTATAAAAGGAAACGACCTTCAACAACAGTGTGTGGGTGTAGTATATGAGGTGTTAATTGCAGTTTCGGCCCACTTTGAGTAACTTCAGGAGAAGTTCTCCGCGGGCCTTTGACAAATGAGGCTACTACTACATTATAAACTCTCCTTTTTTGAGTATATTGTTTGATCATAGTTATCAACAGATCTGATCGAAGCACTTCATTCAATGTATTTGTGTCCGAGATTAACCTAACCGACTGACTTGAATCCCTTGGCATGATATATAAAATAAATCTTGATATCCAATTAAATACAAATGATCGATGGTATTTTAATAGATGAGATGAAGTTGTAAGTTAGTTTGTTTATTTGGGTCAACCTAACCGACATTTTAATTATATACATGTATATTTTTTAATTAATTAGATGTATGGTGAATGAGTGATGATTGATGACGACTGAGTGAAGACATCAAAAGAACAAATTACATTATGATGATGGAATGGTGGCGTCTATGATCCTCCAGGTATGATCCCATCCAATACATAAATATATTGAAGCAATTTCCCTTTTGTTTGGAACTTCAGTCCGAGTAAGAGTTACTTTAAATTCTGTCTTAAATAGATCTCATTGTTTATGGGCTACTTGATTGAAATTGATATCTGCCATTGCAATAACGTTTGGGGCAGATATTTCTTTTCTTTTCGTTTGTCAAACGGTTTCTCCATCAACAAAAGAAAGATATTTTGTTTCCGCGGAAACGAAGCGATTATTTTTAGATCAAGGTGACGGAGTCGTTGACAAACAGTGTCATGTTGTGTCACAACTGACAATCAGACTAAGTGTCAATCAATTGATCTACCAACTGTATCATACTTACTTACTTACTTATAAATAGATAAATATAGATAGATAAATAATTATTAATTAATATTGATAACTAGAATATTAATAATGGTATTTAGAATATTAGCAGTATTGTTAATACTTTGTGCACTGTCATCAGATTGGATGGTGGTTGATGCAGCCAACAATACAACCAACTCTACAATAGTTTGGGAGTCATGTTGTTATGGTAGTCTGTTCTGTAGGAGTACATCAAGATACCGTAACAACTCACTCTCACACTTTGAATGCCGTGACTTTGTTGGCTTTGAGGATGGAGAGGTGAACACTGCCATTTGTGTCACTTGCACAACCAAACTCAATGCAGGCGGTGTATTTGTAGTATTATTCTCCTTGACCTACGGCCTAGGTATATTTGCCTGCTGTATAATACTTGGTTGCAGAAAGAGTTGTCCATGCTACAAGAAGGACGAAGAGCACAAACAGAAGAAATTGAAAAAGGTCAACGAGAGTGGAAGTGGAGGTGGAGGTGGAGGAGTGTCAACAGTTAGTGCGGCACCCGAGGTCACAGCCGCTCCTTATGCCTCCTCACCAGCGCAACAAGCCTATCCCAATGCACAACTGGAAGCAGGTGGCACTCCAGCCTATCCGTATCAACCAGCCAACAACGTAACCTACCCAGTGTAGTTAATTGGATCATAGTAATCAAGACTTCGAAATATAATTATTACTTGTAATAAATACAACTTACATCTTTGTAGATGTTCATTCGCGAAAGTGTGAATAAATGAATGAAAGTGGGGACAATAAAATGAATGTGTTGATGTTCACACATTCATTATTAATTAATTAATCGAAGATAGAGATAGAGATAAAGATAAAGATAGAGATATAATATATTATGAGTACAATCGCAGAGATAGAGAATATTAACAACGTTAATGCTAGATATGATCATGAGCACGTAATTGCTACATTGCTTCCATTGTTCAATCAATTGAACACGTATGATGAGAACATTATCGATGATGCATGCCGTTCAATTCGATCACATTTCAGTAGTGCAAGAGCATTGGCACCGACTCAACCTCCATTGCTCGACGTCCGCGTCACTCCTTTCATTCAGCTCGGTCTGCTTCATCCGAGTGCAGAGGTGCAGGCCACCACTTTGAAGCAGATCGATGAGACGCTCAAGACCAACAGAGAGGCAACACTCGAGTGGCTCGGCAGCAACGAGATGCTCATAAGCTTGGTGCCTTTGCTTGGTGGCAAGTCAACTCTGTCTGTCGCTCAAGCAACACTCAACATATTCTCAACGATTGCCAACAATGATGCCAAGGCCTTGCTTCAGCAGACTGCCTTTATCGATGCCATCAAGACATGTTACATCAATAATCTTGACAGCGAGTCAGCTCACCTACGTGTGTTGGAGTTGGCTGTCATCCTCACCTTGCTCGACCCGGCAGAGTTCACAACCTTGCTTCAAGACCCATTATTGGATGCTCTGTTCAAGGAGACATCATCGGCCAACTCCACAGACACTCTTTCCCGACTGGGCGAGCTGGAGCTGATCGGACGTCTTGGTGGAAATGTTGGCGCACTCGAATGGATCGTTCAATCGCAGGGCAAGTTGTTTGAGGTGCTCAGATCTACGCTCTCAAACGTCAAGGATCACGATGATTCATCCACACCTCCCGACTACCTCTGGGTCAATGGAGTCTATCAATTGGTTGCTCAATGGTGCCAAAGCAACCGACACATCGACTTGATGTTGACCGCCGGACAGCTCCAACTGCCACTCTTCAGCTCGATACTCTATTGTCTCGAGAGTCACAGATCCTCCACTCTGGCCACAAGATGTGTGGAGCGAGCCATTGAAGTTATTGGTATCATTGGAAGCCATCGATTTGGTCTTGATCATGTGCTCGCCCAACCAGAGCTATGCAAGCTGTTCATATCGTTCAGCCATCACAGACTGGACAACATTGCGGTGCCCAGCCAGCACACTCTGGCAATAATGTTGGAGTCCAAGGAAGCAAGACCGACCGTCACTGACGACCTTCAAAGGTTGGTGATGGAGATTGGCGACGGTCATGAGATACCCAAGAGTGCGATGAAGTCTATCTCATCACCCATCGAGGATGTAAGGGTGGCCGCGCTGCACCTCGTCCAGGCATTCTGTCTACATCAATGGGGATGCCAAGCAATGCTGGCACAACCAGGCCTATACGAGTATCTAATCAGTCGCAATGAGACCACCAAGTTAATAAGAGAGTGGAAGTTTACCATTGTACAAACATTGGTGACACAACAGGAAGCACTGCTCAACACTGAGAACTTCAATCATCAATGGCTCAAACTTAAGGAGTATCATTCACGTGGTGTCCATTACCTGCCAAGCGAAGCCAATGTAACAATTGCCACTCAAGACATGTAAATAACAACAAGTACTTCATTCATACATTCATTCGATTGAGATTGATTGCCTCATCTATTTGATCTATTTTCCGATCCATTTGTGTTTTGGGTGTGTTCGCGTGAACATCCCCTCATTGGAGTGAGATGAGAGTTCAATTTGGATCATTTGTATTTGTTATTAATAATTGTAACATTGTTATACGTATATATATAATATCTTGTATTGCAAGAATGTCAAACATAAACAAGACAAAGAATACAAGTAGTCAGGACCATGAGGGCGATACAAATATGAATGAACAGAATGAACAAGAACAACATGATAGTCAACAAGACAACAGTAGTAGTGATCTGGATGAAGATTTATATAGAATAGATGGAGAGGATGTAGATGATGACGACGACGACGATGATGATACATTCTATCGAACTACATCAACAACCTCAACAACATCTTCTTCATCATCTTCTTCTTCAAGGCCTACAAAGAAAGGAACTAAACCAACAATAACGAGTAATAAGAGCAACAAGAGTCAGACAGGTGGCAGCGGAAGATATAGAGATGATGTTGATGATAAGGTTACATTCAAGATCATACCCTACGCCACGCTGGCCTCAAAATCACCGAGCAAGAGCATACTGAAGAACAAGAAGGAGACATCACTAAAGAGAAAGATCGTATGGGATGAGGAGAACTTGACCATCAATGAGATGCAAAAGTCATCAACGATGAAGATAGATGAGCCAAAGACTCCTTATCATTATTATGAATCAGAGGAGGAGACTGGTATGTTGTTGATGTTGAGAAGGAGATTGAATGATTGATCGATCATTTGCTAACATCACGACACCAACAGATGACTCAAAGAAGTATCTAGAGCAGAGGTTTATGGAGCTAGAGAGTGCTCTTCATAAACATAACACAAAGAGTGAATGGGATGAGTCAGACGATGACGATGATGTCGATGGTCAAGATGATGATGAGCCCAAAAAGGTTGGAAAGAGAGTTGCTGTCAGTGGCGGTGACGATGAAGAGGACGACGAAGACGACGATGAAGACAATGGAGAAGAGTCAAAAGAGAGAAGACAGAAGTTTGACAAGATTAGAAAGGCTCACTATAATGAGTTCTTGGAGCTACGAAGAATGAAGCACCATTTGGACGATGAGCCGGAAGAAGGCGAGGACACGGGTGCATCAGCTGCAGCCGTAACACAATCAGACGCGACAACATCCACCACAAAGGCCACCACCGATACCCTTAGTAACAACAGCAACAGCAGCAGCAGTAGTAGTCGAAAGACTACTGATACGAATGTTGATGGCTCACAACCAAAGAAGAGCGCGATGTCCACATCCACAACAACGAAGCGACCGGCAAGACCAAAGAAAAAGGTTGTAATATAGGCCCTAGGGACAGACATAATTACATGTATACTATATACTCTATATATTTGCAGTTTATTATATATTATTAGACAACAAAGATGTCGCCCTTCTTCAGACAGACGTTGCTGTGGATACCGTCGAGGCCACTGCCATTGCTACTACTACTGCTTGGACGAAGGAAAAAGATGTCACCATTGCTCTGGATGGGCAGTAGCCAGCCTATACATTGGCTACCAAACACTGATGCAATGTTATTGTACACGCCTCCCTTGTCATAGCGTCTAATCAATGACATGAGACTCTGATTGGACAACTTCTTTGCCGACCTCTTTCTAATGTCCTCCTGCTCTATCGATGTAATATTGCGGCCAAGTCGCAGTACCTGTGTGCAAAGTGTGGCGCCAATCGACACCTCTGTCGCCACCATCACAATGACCAGCAAGCCAGATATGAACACATTGGTAATGTCCAGTGAATAGTTATTGTTGTTGTTGAGATTGTTGTTTGAATGATTATCGCTTAAGATTTGAGTCGCTCGAAGGACCAGCAGGAAGAGAAAATAAATAATGGATACAGAGGAGTAGAAGAGGAAGAGGATGTAGTATTTGAGATTGTACAGGCCAATGCAGTTGCCTATCCACATTGAGTGATGCTCCATCCGCAGCACGCACTTCTTGCAGATGTTGCAATGATGTGCTCGCTCGGGCTTCTGCTCGTCGCACTTTGTACAGAATCGCCTGTCGTCCTCCTGAGACACGGGTTGATTGAGGTAGTACGACGGCAACAATGTGTCTTGATATTCTCCAGGGTTTGTCGATTTACATAGATAATATGATACCAATATAAGGATTGTGAATAAAGTTGATAGCATTGAATGGAACACTCCCCTACTGGTTGTCAATGGTGATTCCAACCATGGGAATATTGAAAAGTTAAGTATATATATATAAGGTATAAGTACCAGGAATAATACCACTGATTGGCATCCTATCCTGGCTATAAATGTTGTCTTATTATTATTCCCCATGACGAGATTAATAAATATAATAAATAATATATCTATCTAATAATTATTATTATTATTATTTGATTGATTGAATGATGATGATAAAGTAATCAATGGAGTTGGAGTTGGAATTGTGATGCAGCCAGCCACTGCTGTTGCTGTTGTTGTTATTGTGTTGTTGCTTCGGTTGTTTATGAAGAAAAGCCAGACAGTACAGGTCGATTGAATGATTGACTGATTGATTGGTTGATTGTTTAGTTGAGAGTGAGAAGGGTGTGATTGTGACGTGATGTAATTGGTAGTATGGTGTAATATATTCTCTCTGTCTGTCTCTCTGTCTATCTATCTATTTCTTTGTATGTATGTGTATGTATCGTATTTGATCGTAACAATTAATAGCATCAATCAATCAATCAAACTAACTAACTCAACTGTTCATTCAGAGAGAGTGTTGCTGTTATTGTGGTGGTCGACTAACTCCTTTTGCCTGTCAACGATCAGTCATCACATGCTCGTGAGTTATCGAGATTGATTGGGCTGTTTAGCCTGGGTTATTGAGTGCGGGAGGGTGGGTGTGAGTCAGAGTGGTATGATTGTTTAAAAAACTGATGTGTGTGTTTGTATAACTCTCTCTCTCTCTGTATATTTATCTGTGTGTGATTTGTGTGTACTCTACTTGAATGACACTTGTGTGTGTTGACATGAGTTTAGTTATGTGCCAATCCAACACCAACACCAACACCAACCACACAACACACAACACAAGTTCAAGTTCATTACCACCACCATTTCCTAATTTGGTATTATTAAGTTTACTAGTTGTAGTAATCTACTAACTATGTTTAGATATCAAACTTAAGATTTAAGATGATTCTTAGAGTTCGTTGACAAGTCAGTCTCCATATCATTGCGTATGTATGAATGATTGCCAACTAATAAAACGAATGGACAAAGGTCGTATAAGACAGAAAATGGTATTGATTCAATCATACTAATACTAATATTCGTATCTGTAGGTGTGTTCGTTGAATGAATGTTGGAGAGAAGATGCTCAGGGTGTTGGTGGTGAGCATACATGCGGACTTTGTGATTTCGTGCCGTGCGGACTTGTTGTTGGGAGGAAATGATTGAACTTCGTGTCGACCTTATGATTTCGTGCAGTGCGGATTTGTTGTGCATTTAGTTCCATGCGGACTTGTTGTGCATAAACATTTCGTTCCATGCGGACTTGTTACATTTCGAGCCGTGCGGACTTGTTATGCATTCATTTCGTTCCATGCGGACTTGTTGTTGGGAATTGATCGAACTTCGTGACTGTCATGTTACACAACCTTGATTTCCACTTCTGAACGTGTTTGTTTCCCAGGAGCTTTATAACAACAAAAAGATAAATTCTTTACTCGTTTATTTATTATCTGCTGAAACATATGTGATACCAGTTGCGAACCATGGTTATCACCATACTTGTGGAAAGTTGCAATGATCGTTCAAGGAACGACGTTGTTCTGTCCTTTGTTCGACACTCTCGCTTCATCATCGCCTAGAGTCTATGTAATATTGAAATACATACAATTGAAGATAATGAGTAGTTCACAACCAGATTTGAGACAGGTCCTTTAGTACAACTGTAAGAAGAAGATGCCACCCAAGTCTACCATATCCAAGATGAGCCTGTCCCCACCCAAGACTCCTCATTCAAAAGGCCTGTGATACACACATGCATTCGTAAGTTGTTATCTCTTCAACAATCAATTAATCATTGTAGATACTTATTAGTTCCACATCTTATCGATATGAAGTGTGGACCATTTAACAACTAGAATAAAATTTTAAAACAAATATCTTAACTTTTATAAGTTATCGGGTTACAACTTCAACTAATGGGTGGGGCTTGGTGGGGCTTGGGGAACTTGAATGAAAGTTCATCATCACAACAACAAACATTGTGGTGTATGTGTGTGTGTGTTTGAATCAGTGATGGGATCTCAATGAAAAAGACGACAAGTCATCATCAACACATAACTAACTATCAATTCATCATACACTACAATACAGATATATATATATATACAATGTTGTCATTGGTGACAAAGAGATTGGCAGGAGCAGCAACATCGCCTGCATTTGCATCACGTTCATACTCGACTGCACATCGTAGTGATGTGTTGCGTTTGGTCAGTGGTTTCCGTCTGCACGGTCACTTGAAGGCAACAGTCGACCCATTGGCACGCCTCGAGCGCAAGTCATCACCATTGCTCACACTCGAGCACTACGGTCTGAGCAACCAGGCCACCATCAAGCCAGACGGCACACTGCTCTCGCAATTGGACCAGCAGGACATTCAGCTGGACTCGGTCGTCGAGTACCTCAACACTACATACTGTGGCGACTCCACCGTGCAGTTTGAGCACATCGAGTCGGAGGAGGAGAAGCAGTGGCTCTACGAGACGTACGAGCGCATCCAGCAGACCAAGCACACAGATCAGCAAAAGATCAACATCCTCACCAACCTCGTCAAGTCCGAGGTGTTTGACCACTTCATGCAGAAGAAGTTCCCCACCACCAAGAGGTACGGACTCGAGGGCAATGAGAGTATGATGGTGGCCTGCGACGCCGTGTTCAGCCAGTGCGCCAAGGAGGGCGTCGACAACATTGTCATTGGCATGCCACACAGAGGCCGTCTGAACCTGCTCGTGCAGATGTGCAACTACCCCGCCAAGGACCTGTTCTGGAAGGTGAAGGGCAACTCTGAGCTGCCCCCAGGCATCGCCGGCATCGGTGATGTTCTGTCTCACATTGGTGTCTCGACCGACATCACCGTCGACACGGGCAAGATCCACGTGTCTCTGATGCAGAACCCATCGCATCTCGAAGCCATCGACCCAGCCGCCCTCGGCAAGGCCCGCGCCAAGCAGTTCTACGCCAACGACACTGACAGGAGCGGAACCGTCTGTCTGATGCTGCACGGTGACGCCGCCTTTGCCGGCCAGGGAGTGGTCACCGAGACCCTCTCACTGTCACAGCTGCCAGGCTTCAACGCCGGCGGTGCCATTCACATCGTTGTCAACAATCAGCTTGGCTTCACCACCGTCCCCGTCAACGGAAGATCCACCCGCTACTCATCGGACATTGGCAAGTTTGTGGGATGCCCCATCGTGCTGGTCAACGCACAGAACCCAGAGGCTGTCGACAAGGTGTGTCGTCTGGCCGTCGAGTACAGGAACATGTTCAAGAAGGATATCATCATCGATCTGATTGGATGGCGTAAATATGGTCACAACGAGGTCGACGAGCCATCGTTCACTCAGCCCACCATGTATACCAACATCCGCAAGCGTACCTCCATTCCCCAGATCTACGCCAAGCTGCTGCAGGCCAACAATGTGTTCTCGGCCGAGCAGTTGACCGAGTTCACCAACGAGCAGCAGCGATTGCTCGAGGAGCAATTGGCATTGACCACTGGCGACTTCCAATACTCCCCAGCAGACCATTTGCAGGGCAAGTGGAGCGGACTGATGCAATCGACTGTCATCCAGCCACAACCAGACACTGGCTTTGACAAGGATGCCCTGGTTCAGATCGCACAGGACTCTATCAAGGTGCCCTCCGACTTTACCGTGCATCAACGTTTGGTTAGATCATTCAGCAATGCACGTACCGACAAGATTAAGGTTGGTCAGGCCGACTGGGCCACCGCCGAGGCCATGGCCGCCGGCTCTCTGTTGCAACAAGGCTACAACATCAGAATCTCTGGACAGGATGTTGGTCGTGGAACATTCTCGCAGCGTCACTGGGAGCTGTACGAACAATCAACCGATCGTGTCCACCAGCCACTCAACCACGCAGGCTACCCTGGTAAGCTGTCGATTGTCAACAGCAACCTCTCAGAGTTTGCCGTCATGGCCTACGAGTACGGCTACTCGCTCGAGTCGCCAAAGACCCTTCCAATTTGGGAGGCCCAGTTTGGTGACTTTGTCAATGGTGCACAGATTGTCGTCGATCAATTCATTGCCAACTCTGAGGCCAAGTGGCTGAAGCAGACCGCTCTGATCCTGTTGTTGCCCCACGGCTTTGATGGCGCCGGCCCCGAGCACTCTAGCTGCAAGATGGAGCGTTTCCTGCAGCAATGTGACACTGAGGCAGTGGACGTGAAGAACGTCGAGAAGACACAGCGCGAGACCAACATGTACGTTATCAACCCATCGACTCCAGCCAACTACTTCCACGCTTTGAGACGTCAAATGATCCGTAACTACAGGAAGCCATTGATCATTGTTGGACCAAAGGTTCTTCTTCGTCATCCAAACTGTTATTCATCTCTCGACGAGATGACTCCAGGTACAACCTTCCAGACCGTCCTTTCCGATCCAGATACCATTTCTAATCCATCTGCGTAAGTATTCGATGATTGGTCGCGTTGACGACCCGCCACAGCCATAGGACTGTTAACTAACATCGTCGTCAACTGGCTCCATGGTTTAGTATTGAGCGTGTTATCTTCTGTACTGGAAAGATATTCTATGATCTGCAAGAGGAGAGAAAGAAGCTCGGTGACACAAAGACTGCCGTGGTCAGAGTGGAGGAGTTGTCTCCATTCCCATATGAGAGGATCGAGGAGGAGTTGAACCGCTACTCGAATGCCACCAGATTTGCTTGGTGCCAGGAGGAGCAACAGAATGCTGGAGCATGGAGTTTTGTCGAGCCAAGATTCAAGCGTTGGGATCAGACCAGCAACATCAAGTACATTGGACGTGGTCCACTCTGTGCCAGCGCCATTGGAATTTCCAACATTCACAAGAAGGAAGTTGCACAACTTTCAAAGGATGCCTTTGATTTCTAAATATTCTCCCACCTCAATCAATCAATCCTCCAACCATTCATTCATTCATCAATCCACCAAAGTAATAATAATAAATAAATTATATTTACTTACTTACTTTTAAGTACCATCATTCATCTTTCAATTAAATGATCAATCAATCATACATCAATGTCATCTTAGTACATTATCCAAATCAAACAATCAATCACAACCACATCTTCAATCACTTGTCTTATCATCTTGACTTCATACCCCCCACTCACCCGAACACTCACATCAGACTTAAGTGTCAGTCGTCTATTCATTTCAACACACAAACACACACATTCATACAGATACATACATATACGTCATTAATTTACCCACATCACCACACACAAGGAGAGACTGTCAGTCCGTCAGACCGACCGATGGAGTCTATGGATTGTTGTTGTTGGTCTGGTACGCGTATGTATGGTAGATAATGTGGTGGAGTATAAGAGGACAATGCTAAGTAAAATGAGGCACATACACACTCACACATGGTTCGATTAAGGTTTACAATGACTAGTCATTGTAGGGCGACTCGACTCTTGAGAAGATAATAAGAGACAGATGTGGAAAGAGATAGAGGTGATACAGATACGAATACACCAGTTACATGTAGACAAACAAAAGGGCATTCTATAACAAATAGATGTACTCTTACTCTTGAACAGTGTATAATGTTCATATCAAACAAGAGAAGGTGTTCAAGTATATTATCATTTAATTATAATTATAATAATAATAATAATAATAATAATAATAATATTGGTAATAATAATAATATAGATTATAGTGTAAATATGACAAGTGGAAGTAGTAGTAGCGGTAGTAGTGTTGGTGGAAGTGTAAATAGTATAAGTAGTAGTGTTAGTAGTGATAGTAGTATAATAGGATGTGCTGGTGCAGGTCCAGTTACATCCTCAATTGATGGAACATCTGTAAATAAAGTGTTGGAAGGCGCGAGCAAAGTAGTAGAGTTTAGTAGTAAATCACATCAAAGGAAACCGACAATATTAACTAAAGTTGATAAAGTACCATCAACAATCTCATCAACAACATTCGATCTTAATAATTCCAAAGAACAACAACAACAACAAACAGAACAAAAGACAACAAAAGTAGTTAATAGTAGTACTAGTAGTACTTCACTTTATGATTCTTTGGAGAGTCTAAGTCTATTCCCGTATCATCATACCAACAATTTGTTGAATGGTATGAATTCCCAATCGTCCAAGTCGAGCAATGGTTCATCTGGAAAGAGAAACAACTTCAAATCACTGAAATCAAGTATCATCAAGTTACTGCCTCCATTGTTCCACAAGAAGAAGGTTGTCGACACCCTGTTACATGACTTTGTAAAGTTGATGGATACTCATCTTGACTTCTTCAAGAGATCCCCCGAGTTTGACAAGTATGTCCTATCCCTGGCCCTCATCTTCCTGAAACGAGCATTCCCCGACAACGTCATCACATCAGACATATTCTTTTATTCCATATATCTTGCTTGGGTAAGTCTCATTCATTCATTCATTTATTATAATCTATCGTATCATACAATCAATCATTATCTGAGAACTGGGAATATTAACATCACTATTTAGGAAACTGAGGAAGATAGTACTGTTGGTCAAGAGAGTATAATACATTATGTTATTGGTAGTTATCCAAAGAATAGAGATAAGAATCTGAGAAAGAAGGAGATATTGGATTGGAGGAAAAGACTTAGACAATTCCATAATGGTAAAGATATACTTTGGAAGATATTGGACTATCGTACATATGCCGAGTTCAGTCAGATTCAGAACGTATCCAAACAATTCCCAAATCAACATGAGATACTGAAACGAGAGAGAATTGCTCAATCACATGGTTCAAAATATTTCTAATTGTGTCCGATAACAATTAAATATTATAATTATTATTTATATATATATATTATTACTTTGCAACGTCGTAACAATAATATTGAGGTAGTGGGTATTACTGATCACAACTTTGCCAGGGACTTTTCATTATCAATCACTTTCGTTTCGATGTGCCGAAGGGTGGTGAGATAGGGGTCGATTCAGAGAATCAAAGCACAAGCAACACACACTTACAACCATGTTACTCCCTCAATCACTCAATTACTCTCACTCACTGCTCCTACTTATACAAATACTTTACATGTAATACTATACTTATATTACTTTAAACAACATGAATGATATACCTTTCAATCAAGTAAAGGTACATCATAACTTTAAGTCTAATCACGAACATTACAAACCTCAAGTGTTCCAGTATCCAACTCCCTTATGTCTTCCAAACAATCGTGATCGACATATTGTTGACAGCAGCAGCAGCAGCAACAGTAATGAGGGATCCGATTCAGAAGTGGATACAGATGAGGCAGCAGCTATGAACTCATCTTTACATAATCATTCATCGACAACGACCACAACAACAGGACCGTCCCATTCTCATTCTCTATTATCAAATCAAGACTATGCCTATTATAATGCAACCAATGACTACTACAGTGACGAAGACGATGACGAACTTATTGATCAAAAGGTCGACCAATTCGTATCATTGATCGCTCATCAAACGGCGGAGAAAGCATCATATGACCAATATGGCTTTGTCATCGATCCTGAACTTGTCCCGACGTACACATCTTACAAACAACAATTCCAAAGTCTGGAGGAACAACGTCATGCAGTGTGGCTCGACTACATCGAGGAGAATCCAAACATATTCCAAACATTGTCCACAACTCAATCACCAATGGCATCGATCAACACAACCTATCGACTAAAGTCACCTCCTGAGCCACTCAAGGAGATGATCCGTCGGGGTGTTCCAGCAGAGTTTCGCTCCACAGTCTGGATGCGATGTAGTGGAGCCTATCTCAGACTGGCAAGCAATCCCGATGAATACTACACCATACTAAAAGTGTACAATGGCAAGAGTTCTGTGGCCACCAAACAGATCAAGATGGACATCAGACGTACATTTCCCGAGCACAAGTACCTCAACTCACCAAAGTACATGGAACAATTATCCAACGTCTTGACAGCATATTCATGGAGGAATCGTATGTTGTTGTTGTTGTTGTCACATCTAAGACTACTCCTTGAAGTAAATCCTAACCAACCTTGTCATCACCTTGGAAACATTATAGCCACTGTTGGCTATTGCCAAAGTATGAACTTCCTCGCTGGATACCTCTTGATACACATGAGTGAACATGAAGCCTATTGGGTATGCTTCACATACACATCCCTCTTCAATCACTACATCCAACAACACTAACCATTCATTCATTACTACATTCATAGACCTTGGTATCAATTGTTGAAGACATCCTACCACAAGAGTACTTCACAACTACTATGATCGATCTATCTGTGGATGTCCGCTTTGTATTTCCAGACCTGATGGCAAAGAAGTTGCCAAGACTCAACAAACACTTTACCAAGAATGGACTATCACTACCATTGCTAATGACTCAATGGTTCCTTTGTATATTTGCAACAACTACACCAACAGAGGTATGTCCCTTCAGGTGATTGATTAGGTAATGACGGTCATCTAACATCCAATCAACCAATCAGACAACTTTTAGAATATGGGATGTATTCTTTAGTGAAGGATCAAAGGTCTTGTTCAGGTTTGCCCTGGCAATGCTAAAGATCAACGAAGAAGAGCTAATGTCCTGTCAAGACTACAACGACTTGTATAGTTTAATTAAGGTATGGTTGTTTGTTGGAAGAAAGGACTGCCAATACTGGCAGTAGAAGCAAGGACTAACTCTATTGGATGTAACAACAGAAAATACCATCAAAGATGTATGACGCAGATCATTTGATGGAGGTTGCTTTCCAGAAGCTTGGATCAATGCCAATGAAGACTATAGATCAGAAGCGAACTGATTGTAGAGTGATTGCAATGGATGAGTATGTCAAACATCAATCAGCAAGGAATGGCCTCAAGCGACAATCCCAACACATAACCAAGTCCGAGCTCAAGTCTGGGACCAAGCGATGGTCAAGTCAATTGATCTTCAAGGAGGTATAGAAAGTGTAATAGGTATAGGTAGTACCTAAGTACAATATCCAATCCTCATCTCGGACAAGCAAGCATTTGTGTTCAATATATAACATAATAATATATTTAATGTACATAACTATCAATCAATCAATCTATTGTATGTGCTGTGCCATGAATGTTATCATGATCCAGACATACAAGATGGTACCATGGTTACTTGAATCCCTTACGGAGGCTTATATAGGACTGCTTGATATTGTCTGGGAACTTTTGGATTGATGCATATATGTTGGCATTGCAATATCTAAGCTGGCTTTTTGGATCAGTGTATGGTGCCTAATGATTGATTGATTGATTGACTGTCAGTATCGCTTGGCCTTCATTGATGTCAAGTCATCCAACACAACTTACAACTAATCCAGTGATATCACAGTACTTTTTCGGAGGAACCAAAGAGGGCGCCACTTGAATATTAGTGTCTATGATTGGATTGATTTGATTGAATGAGTGTTTCCATTGTTGTGTTAGTCAATGTCAATGGTGCCACCAGCGTGATGATCAATCAATCAATGAATGAGAAGCCTACATGTTGGAAAGTTCGCTGGAAGTGCACCATAGTTCTCGCCCTGTAGTATCTGTTTGACAGACTTCCAGGTTTGTTTTCGCTTGGGATCGCTTGTGCCAACGTATGATGGGTTCTTGAATGGATGAACAAGGCTTTGTATGACGATAGGTGATGAGACTGATGGCGATGATACAGCCGCTGCTGCCTTCTTTTGTGCCGCTGCCGCCGCTGCACCTCTTAGTTGTTTCTTTGGTGGAACACTCTTCTTTGGCACTTTACTGCTGCTGATACTACTGGTTGTTGGTTTCTTTGAGCTTGGTGTATCATCATCATCATTCACTACATCTATTTCATCATCAACTCCATCGGCATCATTGTCTTCGACTATATCATCACCACTTCCGTCTGATGATGATGATGATCCTGATGGCTCCTTTGAAGTTGTTTTCTTATTATTCTTCGTAGTTGATGCTGTAGACTTGATTGGTTTTGCCTTTGACAATGACAATCTTGACTTCTTCACTGGTGGAACATCCTCTTCTTCAGACGCCTCCTCTACAGTACCACCACGATCATCATTATCGGATGCCTCATCACTTATATCTGAATCTGAATAGACTTGTTTAGTCTTCTTCTTTGCTGCTGATGATCCAACAGGATTCTTCACCACCCTTGTAACTTCATCATCCTCTGAATCTGAAAGTACAACCTTTCTAGTCATCTAAATATATTATCTCTATTACTCAAGTTAGTCGTATGCAAGTGAATAATGTTGTTTCATTTCAATCAATCAAGTTCACCAAAAATGGAGAAATGAGGGGATTTGACTGAAAACGAACGATTTCAAAAGAACATTCAAACTACTACAGATAAACAACAACAGATAATGAAGAAGAGAGAGAGAGAAAAGACACCAGCAGAGTTTGTCGAAAGACGATATACTAAATCAAAAATAGACTATGATTGTATGTTATGGAGCAACATACTTGAATGATTGATTGAGAGGACATTGGACCAATCTCTAACAAGAAGACTTACCTTCAAAGACTTGGACAAGAATATCAATCTTTATAATATATATAATCAACCATATGGACAGTACAACATAAACAATCCCTCCTTGACTATGCTCAAAGAGATAGAGAGAGCTGCAACATTCAAACTAGCACATGGACTTCTAAAGAAGAAACCTAAACCTAATGTTGTTGTAGATGTTGATACCGAAACAAAGGATAAAGTCAATGGAAATGGCGATGGCAATGACAAGGACAAGGACAATAATGGAGAAGATAGTGATGAAGAAGAAGATGGAGAGGAATATGATGTGGATGAGGATGAATTAAATGAAGAAGATGAAGACGAAGATGAGGAAGAAGATGTGGAATTTGTCTTTGATGAGCTGGAAGGAATGAAGAGAGAAAAGATAAACGATTTGGACAAGGACGATATTAAAGTTGACGACGACTACCAAGAAGTGGATGAAGATGAAGAGGAGGCTGAAGATGAAGTAGCTGCTGAGGATCAAGTTGGCGAAGATGGCCAAGATGATGATGTGGACAGCGACACTGTCGTGCTCAAAAAAGTTGAGAAACAGACATTGTACACAAGGTATCCTCTTAGCCAAGTCAACTATAATACAAGGCCATTCAGTAGACCTGGAAGGTGTGGCCCAGAGATATTACTGGCAATTGGTAAGAGATACAATGATGATTGATGTCCTATTCACTGACTAACTCTTTACTCATAATAGGTGTACTGATGCAGCAACACCTAATTAATATTGTAAAGGATGTTGGAAATGGTAACATGCCTGGAAAGAAAGGCAAAGGAAAGAGGAGCAAGAGCAGTTGACAGATGTCCAGAAGGGTCCTATTTATTCTACTTTACAATGGTTGACTTAACCAGACGACTGACTACTAAACCAGACAGAGTGTACATATATTATTATAACGTGACAACCTGACCTCTATTATATCAATGAAGAGTAGTTAGGGTTACTCTTGTTGTTTGACTGCTGTTGCTGTTGTTGAGGAGCATTGAACACCTGTGGAGTGGGTACATATGGCTGGTATTGACCACCCTGCTGCTGTTGTGGCTGCTGTTGATATGGATATGGTTGAACCTGGAAAGGTGCACTAGGCTGTTGGTAAGCCATTCCTCCAAATGGATTAAAGTTATTGTTCTGATTGTTCTGATTGTTCTGACCTCCATTCATCATTCCCATGCCTCCATAAGGTGCTCCACCCATGCCGCCACCCATTCCGCCGCCCATGCCGCCACCCATGCCACCACCCATGCCGCCACCATATGGGTTGTTGTTGCCACCCATCATGGTTGGACCAACACCACCGCCATTGGGAACAGTAACATTGTAGTTTGAATATGATGGGCTGAAGGGATTGGATCCATTTGACATGCCAACACCGTTGAGGTTAGGGTTAACGCTGTTGTTGCTAAAGGGTGGAGGCATTGGTGCCGATGGCTTGGATTGGATTGCGGGTGGTGGCAGGGGAGAGGACTTGGCCAATGTTGGCTGTTGTGACACAACCATCTGTCCACTATTGTATGATGGTTGTTGAGCGAATGGATTGGACAATACATTGGGGTTTGTTGGCTGCTGCATTGGTGCTTGCATCTGTGGCTGTTGTTGTTGTTGGTTTCTGTTGGCCAAGTATAGATCAAACTCGTCGAATGATTGTGGCTTAGGTTGTTGTTGCTGCTGCTGTTGTGGCTGCTGTTGGGGCGCGAATGGATTGTACCCTTGTTGCATCGCTGGTTGATTGTATCCATTGACTGCTGGGTTGTTGCCCATGAATGGATTGGCATACTGCTGTGGCTGCTGTTGCTGCTGCTGCATCTGTTGTGGCTGTTGATATTGAACAATGGCCGTCGGTTGGAATGAGAAATCAATTTGATTCAACTCATTGTTGTTGACCTGTTTGGGTGGCAATGGAATTGGCCTGTATCCATTGTCTACAAATTGCTTTCGTTTGGCGCAGGCCGAGTCGTAGTCTGAGAATGCTCGGACCAGCTCATCATTGAGCAGGAGAAGTTGCTCCAACTCGCGCTCCGACGCCCTGCCCGTCTCTATCAAACTTGTGACCTTCTTCTGGTTCTCAGACAGCACTGCCTTAAGTTCCTGTAGCAGAGAGTTCTGCGCGGGGTCCTCCTCCTCGGTGTTGAGGAATGATATCATCTCTTGGAACACTGATAGACTGCCCTTGATCGATGATATGTCCTGCTGCACAGCCGAATTGGAGCTGGCCTGTGATGGTGCAGGCCTAGATGGGGGGCCAGCCATTTGTGCAGATGCGGCCGCCGCGGGATAGACGTGGGGTGGCAGTGGCACCTGTACCGTCTGCGAAGAGTATGTGACCGATGGCAATGGTTGCCTCCTCTCCCTGTTAAAGTTGAGCACTGGTGCATCTGAACGTTGTGGCGGGAACTTGTAGCCCGATCGCTTTACGAATGCGTAGGATTCGTGGAAACCTGCTATATCGGAGCGTGTCTCGAATGCCCTGCCCCACGTCTCAACCAACTCCAATGCCTTATCCTTCACATTCTCCTTTGTCTTTCTATTCATAATAATCTTGACCAACTCTGTCTGGAATGTCCTCTCGCCAAAGAATATATGAGTACATTCACAATTCTTAACCAATGCCTCAGATACCTGTTTCATTCAAATTGATTGATTGATTGATTGATTGATCAGTCATTCATTCATTCGTTCGCTTGTGTCACAACACATCATCAGCAGTCTCATCTGATCATACCTCCAAGGCTAACATAACAACTCTTGTCTTCTCTTTAAACCTCTTCACTATTGCTCTAACAACTCCTCTCGCACTATATGTTGATTGATTGATTGGTTGATTGAATGATAGAGTTAGTTAGAGTCAAATCAAGTTGGGTTTATGGGATTGAATTGACATACTGTATTGAATCACTGTTGAGTATATCACAAAGGTTCATCGTTGTTGTCCAATCCATGGACACGAGATGCTCCGATGTGGCTCTATCCACAAGATCAACATAAGAAACCATGGTTGATTGAATAATGTATATGTATAATTATCTTTCTATTTATATATATAAATGTTAGTAGGAATGATGATGATGCTGTATTGTTGTGATTTGGAACTTGTGTCAAACGAGGAGGAAAGAGAATGGAATGATAGATGTCAACTCAGTTCATTCATTTCAGTTCCGTTGAGTCAGAAACAACCAGAACACACAAACTTGATGATGAACACACAACACCTGAACAAACCCCCCATCAAACGCTAAATTGTAAATTTAGAGCTGTTCACCCAATCACCTCTCTCTCCATCTACCAGGGAGACAAAGAGATTGGTGTCTCATCTCATATAATTGTTGATCATATCTTGGACTTTCAAGAGTTGCATACCCCTACAACTAAATAACTAACGTTTGAAAGAGATATATAATTACTTTAGTAATTATATGATCACCATGAATGAATGATTGATTTAATGAATGAATCATTATCACAAGCAACGTGTTGCCTCAGCCCAGTTCACCACTCAACTCACGGGTGGTGAGTCATTCGAATGCATTCATTATGCCATTCACTCAATGTTTGGGATGATGGTCCATCACAAGTGTTTATAAGTACTTGTTAATTGTTGTTGAATGTTGTAGTTGTATAAGATAAAGTAGTAGTTAGTAATGAGTAGTAGTAATACACAGGCAACTGGAATCAGAAATGACTTGTCAGATGGAGGCAATAGGATGGCCAATTACATTAGGTCACTACCATTGGCCACAAGATTCTACTTCTTCTTATGTGTAGGTGTCTTTATATTTGAATGCTTCAATCAAGTCACTATAATGGGTACATGCTTCCTACCAAGTTCACTCTTTACACATTATAACAAGTGTATGTAATGTCATCATTCAATCAATCAATCAATCAATCAATCAATCAATCAATCAATGATCTGAACTTACATGACATACCCTTTGAACAACATACATCTAGTATATACATTGATAACATCAGCATTCGTACACACTGATGCATTTCATCTATTATTCAACATGTTGTCATTCTTGTCATTGGCCACCGCACTAGAGTCCAAACGATTTGGATCATTGTTATTCTTCTATCTCATACTATTGTTCAGTCTACTCGTCAGTATTATGCTCTATGCCGTTACATTCCTGATATCATACCCTCCATTGAACAATCCAAGTTCAATGAACTCATGTGTCGTCGGTCTCTCTGGCGTCATCTTTGCCCTCCTCCAGATCCTATGCTTTGGTAATGCTCACAGCACAAGGTATGTTATGTTTGATTGATCGACTGATTGATCGAGTTAACATCCAATCCATTATAGTCTGTTTGGATTCTTGAAGATGCCATTGAAGTTGTACCCTTGGTTCTCATTGTTATTGACATCGTTTGTATTGCAGAATGTGTCATTCTCTGGACATCTAAGCGGTATCTTTGTTGGAACATTATATGAGTATGGTATATTGGATGTTCTGATACCATCACATGCATTCCTGGTCAAAGTGGAACTGTCACCATCATTTGGATCAATACTGAGTACAGTTGGATATATTACCAATCCTCAATATGGCACTACATCATCATTCCACAACACAACAACTACCAATGTATCAGTGTCCACCATCACATCATGGTATCAGAGAGCTAGAGATAGAGTCTTTGGTAGTGGCGGCAATGTAGGTGGCAGTGCAGACAACTCATCAAGGTTCACTGGTCTTGGACAAGGTAGAGTGCTTGGTAGCACATCGCCTGGCGTTATAACGCCCAACATGTCTAGCGAGCCTACACCACCAATAGTTTCTCCCATGGTTGGACAACTATCCAACCATTCTCCACATTCTCCGCAGACATTGTAGTAATACTATATTAATATGGACGACAATAATAAACCTGTTTGGTGTCCATCCAATCATATCTATGTATATATTTACTTGTGTTGGCTCACTCGCTCGAGAAGCCAACAACGACAACGATGATATCACCTTGATGATTGATTTAGACTTTGGGGCTTTATTATAGATCGAGCGACATTGAAGACAAGCACTGCAGAATGATAGGATGACACATGTTGCAATGGAGCAGCTATGCAAGCATTTATTGCTTGGTGACTGGTCTCTTCTTGTGGTGGTGGTCTCCTCCACGACCGCGACCAGCGTGGTGTGGCTTTCTTGAGGATGACTCGACGGTGACCTCTGTATTATATTGAATTGAAAGGGAAGGATTGAATGAATGTATGTTAGGATCATCATCCGTATCAATATGGCTGTCTGTCTATGTTGTTGTTGCTGGCTGGCTGTTCGCAATGTTGATCGCCCATCATCGCTCTCATGATCAAATGTCGCTACCCTGTTGAATGTTGCTGCTTCTACTCATCTCGTCATTGATATCTTCCTCTTCCCTGTTGAATGTTGATATATGAGTGATGATTGATACATACGGGGCAAGGATGGGAAGTTGCCAAGGGTGGCCTTGAGCATCTCGTCGGTGTCCTTATCGATGTAGATCTTCTCAGTCTTGACAGCAGAGGTGGTTGGGACGTAGTTGTCACGTCTCTCTCTCTCCTCCTCTTGCAGCTTGTAGGAGATACCACGGACTGGGCCACGCTCAATACGTCTCATCAAGTGAGTGACGAAACCAGCGATCTTGTTTCTCAATCTCTTGGAGGCGATGGTAGCAACCTCGTCACAAGTACGCTTGTTGGTATCGAAGTCATTGGTGAGCTTTGGGTAGTACTTCTCAATGAGGAGCTTTGAGGCTCTCTTGACTGTCTTGGTTCTGACGCGACCCTATATTGTTGTTCCAATTAGATTGATCGATATATTGGTTGATTGTCATTCATTCGTTCGTTCATGTCAATGTTGATTGAGTATCGCATGTCCAATTGTAAGGATGATTGATGATAGAGGATGATGAGGTTAGAGGAGTCCTGTGATTGGATTGGATTGGATGGATGGATGGATGATACCAACCATTGTATGATATGTCTGTATCTATGAAAAGGAAAGAGGAAGAAGCAATCAAACTTGTGAGGCGAGCTCATAACAAGGTGAGTGAGCATCCCCACTTCGTGTGTTTGTGAAAACAATAACAAAATTAAAAATAAATAAAAACAAAGCAAAATCATTTGATCGTTTCGAACTTCTGGATTGGTGTTTAACTTTGTGGATGTATCTAAACTTCATTAACATGTTTGTCCATCAGTATCAAAAAGTGATAAAGGTGAGGTAGAGTCAGCATATGTGATGAAGTCTGGAATGATTCCATTGATCAATCACCCAACCAATCAATCAATCAATCAAAAAAAAATGAGCCAAGTGATGGATGGTAGTAGTAATAGCAAGATAGAATCTGTGTTTTATTTGTATATATACAGGAATGTAATGTTATAAAGGTATTAATAATAAGTTAACGGCGGTTTGATTGATTGATTGATTGAACTAATGAATGAATGATGAAGATGATCAAGTCAAGTCAAGTTTAGACTTAGACCTGTCTGGTGACCGATACACTAGCATCGATGTTGGTAACTTCTTCACTGCTGTTGCTTGATTTGGCCATCTCAATATCCATCTTCTTTGGCTGGTTCATCTTCTCATCCAGTGGGATAATGAAGAATAGTGCCAGAATGAACCAGAATGTGGCGAATCCAAACACGGTGGCGTACGAGTTGCTCAGACCATACTTTGGAATCATATACTTCAGAATGTTTGAAGTGATGAATGGTGCCACAATCATTGGGCCATTGAATGATATGTGCCATATTCCCATGTCCTTGCCAATCGAGTTGTAGGGCAACACACGGAGCGCCAGAGCCCAGTCCACGCATTGGTAGCATCCGTAGCCAACACCAAAGAAGGCCAGGATCACCAACATACCGGCATATGATGGATGGTAACTGATTACAATCAGTAGTGCGATGGCCAGAGCTTGGATGATGGATGCGACGTACACCATGTACTTGGTGATGCTGTAGCGGTCAGAGATATAGCCTCCAATGATTGATGATGGTACAGAGAAGGCGATGATCGTGGCGAGGATCACAGAGGATGCGATCAACTTTTGGTATCCAACAACGGTCCATGTGAAGTAGTAGAGGAATCCAATGACCATGTAGCAGCCCATGGTGTTCATGAACCTGGTGATGATCACCCAGTAGAAGTTGTAGTAGGTGGCCGATGGCAGGTAGAATGACCAGGCGAAGCCCTTGATGGTGCCATCGAAGGAGGTCTCATCACACTTGTCCTCCCACATGAAGACCAGAGCGATGATGGCAGAGAATCCAAGCATGGCAATCATGAATCCGTAGACGTTGGTGTATGTTGTAGTGTTGGTGTCACCGCCCGGCACAAGGGATCCAGCGACGAGGGCACCAGTGAGTGTGCCACATGCCCACATCACACCCAACCATCCACTGGCAATACCTGCTTGGTCCATTCTGCAAACATCTGGGATGATACCAGAGTAGGCACCTGCTGCAATACCTTGGCCAAAGTAGAAGCCAACCTCCAACAATATGAATCCGGCAACGCTCGAGTTTGTTCCGTCCAGTCTAGACATGGCGGCCAAGAAAACAATCATAATGATAGTACCAGGCTGGATATATGATTGAAATGTTAGTATGATTGATTGATTGATTGGATGAATGAATGATGGACACATACTAAGATATATGGTCTTCTCTTTCCAAATCTGGTCTTGGTGTGATCACTCATGTATCCAGTGATGACTAGCATTAGGACGTTGAGGAATACTCCTGCAATTGGGATGACACCATTCAAATACTCCATATCAGTTGTTCCAAAACATGAAACAATCTGATATGGCCAAACAATGTTGGCTGTTGCGCCAGACACTACACTGGTACCAAACATCCACCTATTTAAAATTGATTGATTGATTGAATGTTAATATTTTGGAAACATAATTATTATTAATATTCTTAACATACATTGATATCTTTAAATAGAATAGTTGTTCCTTTAAGATTTGTCCGATGGATTTTGGAGTATCACTCCTTGTGGAACATTCTGTGCTCACTTCTGATGCCGACATTGTTGATTTATATTATAATATATATATAGGATTGAAGTTAAATAAATAATAGTAATAATAAAGATTATGATGAAGAAGTTATTAGAGTAGTTAGAGGCCTCTTTAACTGAATGCGACAAATCTATTCAGTTTGGAAGTAAGAATGAATGATTGAGAGAATGGAATTGATGGATAGAGAGAGTGTGGTAATGATGGATATGGACAAAGCCTTATCTCTAACTTTCAATCAATCAATGGATTATAAAGGTAGGGTCCAACGTGTTGTTGATGAGTTTAAACTCTAGTGTGGTGGTCTCACAGTCACGTGTCGGATCAGAGATTTAAATGATCAAACGACGTTCAGTGTGTTGGTGTGTGGTAAGATGGAAGGTGAGTTGATGATCGATCGGCAATCACAAGTGGTAAGACTTTGTGTTATTATATATATTAATATTATTATTATCTGTTTGTTTGTTATTATGTTGTTCTGGATTGGATTTATAAGCTTAACTAAGCATGCTTAGTTTATATTTTAGAAGGATGACCATGAGCTCAGCCAGCCAGCCAGCCAATGGCAATTATGTCCTACCTCTTGGGAAGACCTAAGGGTAGTTGGCACACGGAGTGTGTCATTTATAACACATTCATATATTTCGTAGGGACATGACCATCTCCATCAACATCAGCATCTGAGTAGTTGATTGATTTGTGGAGATTGTGGCTCCCAACTATAGCTAATTATATCAAGGTCGAGTAGAACTTGGAGAACTTTGTTCAAGCCTCCACCTCAAATCAATCACTTTAACTCTCAGTCGACAATGACTTTGACTCGGCCAACGTGATCGACATGTGATCAAATATGGTTAGGTTAACAAAAATAGACTCTGTTGTTGTTGTGTGTTGCCTTAGCCAACCAATGGTTGATCTGCCCATAAATCCTGATTTCGTCGTTTCATAATAACCCATCATATGATTGATTGTTTGATTGAATGAGTGTGTGTGTTGACCCCAACAATCAATCAAACAAGAAAGGAGCCTGAGCCTAGCCCCGGCCCATTCATTGTGCGATGTGTTAAAAATGGTTGGATGGAGTAGTGTGCGTCGCTCATTCAAGGACGTCTTTGGAGAATGAAGTAAACACACTTGACTGACGATTGGACTTCCGAACGGACATACGAACGCGTTGGTGATTGGGTAACATTACACTCTTTTGTTTTGTTTTGAACTGTTTATTGTGATTGGTAAGTCCATACCAACTGATGGAACAAGTAAACGGATGCAGCAGCTGCCGTCAGACCAGAGAGAGGGCATCCACGATGCGGATGGACCATCATCTTGTAGGGGGTTGGATCATGGGTGGAGCATTGTTGGTCATAGTTATAATAGCGTAAGAGAGAGAAGGGTAGTAGTAGGTGTATCGATCGAAAAAGGAGGCGTCATCAAGGGTTGAATGGTAGTAATAGTAGTAGTAGTTGTAGCTAGGTGGATGGATGGTAGTGATGGTAGTAGTTGATATGTCATCGTAGTCGTTGATGTGTGATTGATGGACGGGAACAAACAAACAAATGGTTGCTTGCTTGCTTATTTAGTGAGCACGGACTCGGCAACATAAGTGAAACCTTCGAAACTGTTCTCCTTGTTGACGGCGTCGCTGAGAGTGGAACCCTCGACAATGCTGTCCATTGGCTTCTCCTGAGTGAACAGTGGATCGATCTGACTGATGTCGTTGCCGGACTTTACCTTGGGCTTGAAGTGCACCTCTATCTCCTTCCTGTCCAGCTTGTCCCAGTCGATGCTCTTGAACCATGGGTGATTCTTGACGTCGTTGCCGCTCTTTGATCCCAGACGACGGTCGACCTCACGCGTCAGCAGACCCTCGAGCAGCGAGCGCGCCTCGGGCGAGATGTAGCTGGGGATCTTGAGCTCGCCGTTGAGGATCTTCTGGTACATCATCGAGACGTTCTGCGAGTAGAAGGGGGGCAGGCCTGTGAGCATCTCATAGAGCAGCGTTCCCAAGCTCCACCAGTCGACTGCGCAGCCGTGACCGTGGCCGTTCAGCACCTCGGGCGCAAGGTACTCGGGCGTGCCACAGAATGTGAACGTTCCATCGGTGGTTTCGATCTTCTTGGACAGGCCAAAGTCTGTTATACAAATGTGTCCCTCAGAGTCCAACAGGATGTTCTCTGGCTTGAGGTCACGATACACAATGTCCTGCTGATGCAGATGTGCCAGTGCCGACACGATCTCTGCCGCATACAGCTTGACGCGTGGCTCAGAGAACCTACCCTCCCTCTTCAAATGGAAGAACAGTTCTCCACCATTAACAAAGTCGAGGACCATATATAGTTTGTCGCGAGTCTAAACATACATGTGATGATCACATTCGTGTTAGTTGAGTACTGATTGATCGTGCGATTGAGTGCATGCTCGATGGACACTTACTTGGAAAGCAAAGTGAAGGTTAACAATGAATGGATGTGCAATGCCTTGAAGGATGGTCTTCTCGGACTTGGTGTGATTGACTTGCTTGCGAGCGATGATGGCCTCCTTCCTCAGCACCTTCATGGCGTATATCTTGTTGTCGTCCTTCTTTCTCACTTGCATCACCTTGCCAAAGCTTCCCTTGCCAATGACCGTGAGCAGCTCAAAGTCGTCCTTGGTGACGGACTGCTTGTTCTTGGAGAAGATGATCTCCTCGGGACCCTCATCGTCATCGCCAACCTCTTGTGTCGCGCCATTATCCTTTGCTTGCTCGCCCTGTTGTTGTTGTGGTGTTTGCTGCTGTTGTTGCTGCTGTTGTTGTGATATCTGGTTCTGGGATTGCTTTGAGGTGAGGTTCTTGTCTGCCTGCTGGGTAGATGGCTGCTCTGCGTTGTGTGTGGCGGCTGCTGGAGTCGTGTCTGTCGCCCTCATATCGCCGGCAGTTGAAGCATTGCTTGCCTCTGTCGAACCCTTTACATTTTTATCGTTTCTCTTCTTTGTTGTCTTGCTTGGCTTCTTTGATCCTCCAGCCGCCGATGCTGCATTGTTGCCATCTCTCTTAATTTTGCTTTGTCCCTTTCCCATTGTTATTATGTATTAAATTGATATTGTTACAAATGATAAATGAATGATTGATCAATCACTAAATATATAAATATATATTAATATTAATTATAATTATAATATAAATGGGTATCTACAAATACAATATATTGTTAATGATTGATTGATTGCTTGATTGAATGAATGAATGAGGTGAGTGATGTAAACGCTACTTTGAAATAAAGTATAAATATATATATATATATATATTGTTGTTGTTGTTGTTGTTGTTGTTGTTGTTGTATACAGATAATATAATAAGTGATTGGGATTAATGAATGAATGATTGAATGATATTGTGAATAAGGAGGATGATTGGCACGTGTGTGTTTGAATGAATGAATGGTGTTGGGTGGCGCTGTGTGTGTTTGGAGATTGTTCGTTGTGATTGTTTTCTTGGCTTGTTTGCCTCCTCTTGTGACACAACTATTTTTTTGATCTGTTTTTAGTTTTGAAAAACCGTTGGTCTTTGGTTCGATCGAAGTTTGATTCAACCCGAACTACCTGATATTTTTACTTAATTAATTCTAATATTGATTAATTTATATGATATGATAATAATTATTATTAACAAACTCTTGTTGTTGTAATACTATCTATATAATATTATTACTTTGTTTAAAGAATATAGTGGAGTGGAGTGATTGATTGAGTGAAGTGGAGTGGAGTGGAGTGGAGTGGATAGATAGGTAGACTAATGATGAACAATGCACAGACCCGATAGCCGGACAGACTGACTAATATAAGATGGATGATAATGTTATATGTCTGATTGATGATTGATTGTTTGAATGGTCTGGAAGTAGAAGTAGCGAGTGAAAGGATAGAATAGGTACCCACAGAGATAGAGACAACATGTAGTACCGTTGTGGTTGTCATGTAACAACAACATCATCATCAATCAATCAATCAATCAATCAAATCAATCAATCATCCCCACCATCACACCACCACTTCATCACCACTCAGTGTGATTCTAATTAATTATCTCTTTGACTTTGTCTATTGAATGATTGATTGATTGATTGAGGGTGAGTAAGTGTGTAGTGATTATTATGTGTGAGATATAAATAGTATTATTACTACTAAGAACTGTTAAGTTGTGTTCACCACTTAACTGTATATATCTCATTGTCAATGATGAATGACAAATACTTCATTCACATTTGTGTACAATCCCTTGACTTGAAGACTAATGCACAGACAACTTCTGTTGTCCACTTTATTTTTTTTTTCAGATTCGTTGAGGGCTGCCCTGAGAAGAGGCAAGACGCAGGTGTCTGTTGTTCATTCATTCATTCAAACTATTACACTGAACTTGTGTGTGTATGTTTGTATAACAGCACCATCTTCTCGAGATCTTTGGTCGACACCTCATTCAGCTGGTTCACACGCTTCATTCAAGCAAGCGTGATCATTCAATCAATCAATCAATCAATCAATCGTATCGAATCAATCTCTCTGTGGCTCTGGGGTCTTCAACGTTCTCAAGAATCAATCGAACAAACAAACAAACAAACAATCATGTCAACAATGAATATAACAAGCGATGAGGTCAACTTCTTGGTATATAAGTACTTGCAAGAGTCAGGCTTCCAACACTCAGCCTTCACCTTCTTTAATGAGAGCTGCGTGGCCAAGTCAGAGGTGGTCAGCCACGACGACCTGCCCCACGGCACACTGATATCATTCCTGCAGAAGGGTCTACAATACATGGAGGTCGAGACGCATCTACAGGACGACGGTACCGAGCTGAACTGCAGCGAGCCCTTCTCTCTGGTGTCAGCGCACGTCTGTCAGCTAAAGAAGAAGTCTGACAAGGCATCCAAGGCAGACAAAGACGTCACCATGACGCCAGCAAAGAAGGAATCAAACAATGTTGGTGGCAGTGCTACCAAGTCATCAGTCAAGAAAGAGAAGGACAAAGACAAAGATGTAAAGATGAAGGATAGTATGTGTACCTCACATTTGACTCTGTGTCTTGACAAGATCATCATACTCACTCAATCAACTCAATCAAACTCAAACAAACAGAGAAAGATAAGAAGGATAAAGAGAAGGATAAGACAGATGTAAAGTTGAACACTTTGGAGATACCAGAGTCATGTGTGACAACACTGAAAGGTCATAAGAACGAGGTGTTTGTGTGCTCTTGGAATCCAAAGTACCCAATGCTTGCATCAGGCAGTGGCGATAGCACTGCGCGTATCTGGACATTGCCAACCGATTTGCCAATGTCCAAGGGTCAGATCAACTCCATCGTCCTTCATCATGACAACTCATCGTTACACAAGTCCATCGACGTTACCACCTTGGATTGGAATGTATGGATACCCTTATCACGCGATCACATGATCACATGATCATTCATACTCACTCACTCACTTAATCAATCAATCAATCAATCAATCGACTTAAATGTAGCATGATGGATCACTACTAGCGACAGGATCATATGACGGATATGCTAGAGTGTGGACGGCAAAGGGAGAGTTGATGTTTGTGCTGACACAGCATCAGGCACCGATATTCTCACTAAAGTGGAACAAGAAGGGCGACTACCTGCTAAGTGGGTCGGTCGACAAGACATCGATCGTATGGGACATCAACACGGGCAGTGTCAAACAGCAGTTTGAGTTCCATTCGGCGCCAACACTCGACATTGATTGGCGCAACAACACGCAGTTTGCATCGTGCTCGACCGATCGATTGATACACATCTGTGAGGTTGGTAGAGATCGTCCCATCAAGACATTCGAAGGTCACGACGACGAGATCAACGCAATCAAATGGGATCCATCAGGTACACTCTTGGCATCATGTTCTGATGATACAACTGCAAAGGTATGTATTGTCGAGGCGAGGCGAGTCGCTGGCTGGCTTACTGACACAACATCGTTATAACTATCATATCTAGATATGGAGCTTAAAGAGTGAAGATTGTGTACATGATTTGAAAAAGCATAGCAAGGAGATTTACACGATAAAGTGGAGTCCAACTGGACCGGGATCGGCCAACCCAAACATGAACCTTGTACTGGCCAGCGCATCATTCGACAGCACCGTCAAGCTATGGGATGTAGAGGTCGGATCTTGTATTCATAATTTCGCCAAGCACTCGTATGTTACTCAATTCCCATTCATTTATTCAATCAATCAATCAATCATCATACTGACTGACTGACTTGACTTCAAAAATAGTGATCCAGTGTACACAGTATCATTCAGTCCTAATGGCGAGTACTTGGCAAGTGGCTCATTCGACAAGTTTTTATATATATGGTCAGTCAAGGATGGAAGCTTGGTCAAGACATTCAAGGGCAGTGGTGGCATCTTTGACGTCTCCTGGAATACCACAGGAGACAAGCTATCAGCATGTTTCTCTAATAGCACTGTCAGTGTTATCGATGTTAAAATATAATATTAAATAATAATCTCATCACTCAATCATCACTCATTTTGGAAACAAGAAAACTATTATTTATTTAAATTGGGGTCTTTCTTGTGATGGTTTGATGATTGTTTGGATTGGATGATTGATTACTTAGTCATGAGTAGTTGAAAGGACGACGGTCTCTTCATTGACACTTTGGATATCCAATACAATGATTTCAGCATTGACGAAAACAACAGAGAGCAAGACCAAGAGAATAGCCAGAAGTACAAATAATTGGTAAAAGTTGGTAATTTGCATTATGTTTGGTTATCGGATTGTTTTTGAAGATGATATAAATATTTAACTTTGATTTGATATATAATGATGATGGAATCAAACCATATTTATAGTCATTTTAATTTAATAATAATTAAAGGAATAGGGATTGGAATTATAGAAATCGGTCAACGATGTGGTGATCTAGGTCAAACTGTTTGTCAGTATTACAAATAAATAATTCCCAATCAATATATTACAAAACACACTATATTCATCACATGTAGTTTACAAATGAACAATCATTCTACATATCAATCCAAATAATCAATTTTGGTATTATCCCACATTTACACATTACAGTGATTATTATGAAGATTATTTTGTAGATTGGGGGATTTGAGTCATCACATAAATTGATGAATTTACATCTTTATTTGGTCCATTGTTGTAAACAACTCTATGTCAATAGAAATGAAACGATTAATGATCTAGGGATGTTTGATATAGATTAGTTATAATCACAAAAACCCAAGTTGGGACTATTCCTTCCACATTGTTTTTGTGCAGTGCAAAACTTTTAAAAATCAAAAATAACCTTATTTGAAGAAATTACCTTGTTCACATTCATCTCTCTCATGTGAGATACACTTCAAACTGTCATTTAGTTAGTTATAACTAACAATATATATTATATATTACGTATACATAAGATATCTAGATTGTACTTGTGGGAAGCTATATATTTAAGAAGGACAGCATTCAATCAAACAATCATTCATTCAATCAATCAATCAATCAATCAATCAAATATACACACAACATAGTTGATTCGCCAAGAAATGGCAGATGATCCTACACAGCCAAATCAGTGTACATTGGCAGTTGAGCATGATGATGATGAGGTAGCACAAGCACCCAATGGTTGGGCCATACTCAAGTCACTCAACCCTGCATATCCCGACTATCCTCTTGTCGACAATGAGGTGGTCCTAGGCAGGCAACCAAACAGCACAATACACTTTAATGATATGAATATCTCTGGCAAGTATGTATTCATTCAATCATTCAATCATTCAATCATTCAATCATTCAATCAAATGCTTACATAACTCTCCACAGACATTGCGCCATCATTAAGACAAGCGACCCAGGTGATGCTCAAGCGATTGCATTCTTATATGACCACAGCACGAATGGAACATACATTGATGGCATCAAGGTTGGCAAGGGCAACAGATTCCTCCTATCCAATGGTCAAGAGATTGGTCTGGTCGGCAAGAAACAAGGACAAGGTATGTTCACTCAATCAATCAATCAATCAATCAATCAACTTACTCCGATCACTCATTCATTCACATCAATCAATCAATCACAACATAAACAGAGAAGATTGCATTTATATATCATGCCTGTGAGAAGGAAGAGGAGGACGATGGTGGTCCTCAGAGGAAGTATCATATTGGAGAGACATTGGGTTCGGGCAACTTTGCCACGGTGAAGTTGGCAGTCGACAAGAAGACTGGTGACAAGTTCGCCATCAAGATCATCGACAAGAAGAAGTTCATGATGAACTCATCGTCAAGAAAGGACGCACTGATGGACGAAGTCAAGATCCTCCAGCAGCTCAATCACAAGAACATCATTCACATCCAAGAGGTCTTTGACACAGAGAGGACACTGTTCCTTGTACTAGAGTTGTATGTGTCATCCTTACCTTTGCATCAGCGACAACAACTAACATGACGTGCTCACATAGGGTTGAGGGAGGAGAGTTGTTGGATGATATTTTGGACAACTGTTTCTACAAGGAGGATAAGGCAAAGGAGTTCTTTAGACAGCTGGTCAATGCTGTAAAGTACTTGCACGATCAGGGCATTGCTCATCGTGATCTGAAACCACAGAATATACTGTTAAAGCACAAGAGGGATGAATGCGACGACGCGATCAAACTCAGTGACTTTGGTCTGTCCAGGACAATTGGCGAGGGCAGCTTCATGAAGACCATGTGTGGAACGCCTCAATACCTAGCACCAGAGATTCTCACCAATGGCGCAAATGGAGCTGGTGGATATGGTAAAGAAGTAGACTGTTGGAGTATGGGTGCCATTCTATATGTCATGTATGTGTATACCTACCAGGTACCTCATCAATGTTGATCAATCCCAAACTCACTCACTCACCATCAATCAATCAATATGTATAGGCTTTGTGGACATCCTCCCTTTGATGATAGTCAAGATATATCAATATTTGAACAGATTAGGAATGCTGTCTATGAGTTCCCTGATGAGGATTGGGCAACAGTGTCAGCAGAGGCCAAGGATCTTATCAAGAGATTGCTGACGGCAAACCCATCAAAGAGGTACTCATGTAATCAAATCCTAGAGCATCCTTGGTATAATGTATGTTGTAATGATTGAATTACAATGATCGCGCATTGTACTTACACTCGCCTGTACTCGTTCTAGAAATCAAACACACTGGAAGCATTGTTGGAGAAGGATAAAGAGAATGGAGATCGACTACTGGGCAAGAGAAAGTCAGAGGATTCACTGCTGCCTATCCAAGCAGATGCCAATGGTGGTGGAGATTCAGTGGTTGCAGTGTTAAAGAAATCCAAGAGTCAACTAGGAGACCAAGGCAATGGCAACAGCAATATGAGCATTGGCAGTGGTGGCGGCGGTGGTACAGGCAGTAACATGAGCATAGGAAGCACAAACAGCAACAGCAGTGGCAATATGATGAGGGACGACTCTGACACTGACGACGAAAACGACACCAAGGATATCAAACCAATATCACCAATCAAATCAAAGTCTTCATTGGGTTCGAATGGTAATCTGGCTGCAAGCATCAACAACAACAATCTCAGCAGCGGCGGTGGCAGTGGAGGCATTTCAACAACAACTACAGCATCAACAGCAACAAGCAGCAGTGGAGGCGGAGGTTCTGGCCAGAACTCACCGCCAGTGTTCAGTGTACCAGCTCCCAAAACGCCAACAAAGGAGCTGCCTATGTGTATGTTTGGGTAAGTCGAACAGTTCACCAACATCATGATTGATTCATTAATCTGACCTGACACCTTTCCAATCATAATTATAATAATAGTGATAAATGCTATCGAAAGAATCCGCAGCATTTCAAAGAGTATAGACATCCTGGCAAGAAATAGTTGTAAAGCTGCTGGTACTCCAGCCAGCCTCGATCGAGCCAATCACATGATAACTCTCCCAACAACCTGTCGCCATCGGTGTCAGCAACTGCGGCAGCCGCCAGGTGGACTGAGGACCAACCAAACACTCACGCACAGTAAATACTCAAAGGTAACAGCTTGTTTATTCCTTGTAGCCATGCAGTCGCCAGAGTCATTGTATAATTATTTATCACTGATTTGTCCAAGAATGACATCACACAAGCTGACAACCTTCAAGAGTCCACCGTGGGTATAGGCTTCGTTCGAAATTAGCTTGAGTAGTCGAATGAGATGTACTTGCTCCATTATTGTCCTGAGAGGGGAAGAGAGGTCGCCAAAGAGTACTGTCAGGACATTGACGTGGTTCTCTCTGGCAGCCAACAATATTGCATCGAGTGAAGGGGCAAATGTCCAGTGGCCATTTGTCTTGATTCCTTGAAGAATGTACTGTACAATGTCGGCCTGTCCTTTGCTACATGCTAGCTCAACCACCTGAAGAAGTAGTGCATGGTTTCGACGCACATCTATGTATCCATTATCAATGAGAATACGTAGGTTATTGACGTTGCCGAATGTTAGGTCGGAGAAGCTATTCGCAAACTGGATACTTGCACTGCCAGCCACATCGATCATATATTGAATACATTCGCTATCCTTGATTGATTTGCAATTGAATATCGCTATTGAATAGTCAATCATATCTAACTCATCAATAATGAGAATGTGTTGATGCAGCAACTTGAGATGATAAAGTGAGAGGGACGCTGCCAATTGAATGAGTTCCACGATTAAGTTGTCATCGGTGGTATTCAAAATTGCATTGCCACATTCAATGAACACCTCCTCTGTCATCAAACTATTGTCTTGTCCAACGGAAGCCAACAAATCGAATAGGCCATCTTTCCTAAAGGTTACCAAACTGCTTTGAATGTGTTGGGCCAGCATCAGACCGATCTCAGGTCTTATTCGGCACCAGAATGTTGACTTGTTGATATGGGCGTCATATTCTGTATATACATAGATATCTGATGATGAAGCTATGCAAGTATCCAAAATCTTGTTGACAAGCTCGACTCTACCTGTTGTGGCAGCCGCCATGAATCCTGCACCAAAATCTATATCAAAGAGTCTACCCTCCGATTTGCTTTGTAGAAACATGTAGTCGATTACATCTTGGCGATCACTCTTTATCGCACTTGCCAAGATTGTGCTGAACCTGAGGTTCAATGATTTGTATGACATGATCTTATCTAGTAACCCAATTGACAATATGCTGGGGTGAATGTTATCGATCCATATATGCTGATCATTATGAGGAAGCAGGGCTATCATGAGGAGGGTAACATCCTCCAGACCCCGCGAAAGTGATGTTCGCAATGTGATTCTGATGAGATATTCTTTTAAATCGTCTGTAGCTTCATTGATTAAGTACATAATGATATCCACATGTCCTTGCTCCAATGCCACATCGATCAAAAGAAAAGAAGTTTCTCGAAAGCTCTTCGGGTTGAATGAGATGACCAACTTGAGCATGTCCAAATGACCAGTTGCAGCACATGTGACAAGGAGGTGTATGTGTCTGTAGGTTTGCAAATAGTGGAGATACGTTGAGCAATCTCCAGCAAACCACTCTTGATGGCTTGGCCAAGATGCTTGTTCCAGACTTTAGAGGGGATATCTGGACGTACTTGCTCAAACAATCCGATCATCTCCATTGCGTATGGTTTGTCGATCCAATCCGATCTCATCCTATTCTCGATAAAGGAATCTGTTGGGATGCCAACAACCCTAGAAATGGAGATCAACTTCCGCAGTTTGTCTGGATGCTGGATCGAGAATAAAAGGTCCACAGAGATATCCAGTTGTTCAATGGCATTGATTGTAACGTATTCTTGCAATACATTCTCCCAACCAATTTGTGGATTGGTGGTGGATAGGTGGTCAATAAAGTCCTCATCGGGATCCAATGTCATCAAAGGGTTGGCAAGGAGTGTAGTGAGGGCCACATTATTGAGCATGGCCACTGCAGAGGGGACCAATGATTTGTTGTGAGGATATGTGTCGGCCACTGTGTTGTAGCGCTTGATGAACCAATCTGTTGCGCCATATCTGATGTACTTGTCAAGGCTATCTTGGTCAAACAATGTCCGACCCTTGACAATGGTCTTCTAGTCCACCCCAAGGGTCTTGTGAATATCGCTTACAAAGCCCATGATAGTCATGTTCAGCAATTTGTTCCTAAAAACCATGTGTATCGCTGTATCTAGGCGATCGTCTCTGATGTGCTGGTCGTCAACACCATCTGTACTTGACTCTGGTTGTTTCCTAATGTGTGATTGAGTCATAATTAGTATGTTTGTGCTATTTCGATTGTACTTGGAGCATACCTCTTGTGATCTCTTTGGATGATTTTGATGAGTTCCTTGCACAACTGAATGATTTGTGTGCATCCTTGTTCATTTGAGATGTGAAGTACTGAATGAATGCTTCGTAGACGGTGAGGTTTGGACATGAGGACGAAGGGTGATTGTGGCCAAGTGATCAAGAGGTGCTCCAATACATTGTAGGCATTGCCATGTGCAGCCACTCCAAGATGCTTCAATGTGGGCACCATGTCATATGGCTCATCAAGCATCCTCTTGAACAAGTCCAATCTGTCATGCTCGCAGGCCAACATGAACACTTTGGGGAAGCAATGTTTCAACATCTTCTTACCAATGATCTTATTTGCCACACAATCGAATGCCTCTAATAATGGATTGTTGATCGCCGATTCCAATGATACATCGCCCAGCCCAGATCCAACCAAGGCACCTTCGCAATCAAAAGTTCTATCGCCTCTACAGATCCATGTTCCAAGAGATGGTTACATGCTTTAATGACTGAGTCCTCTTCAGTATCATCAGAGTCTTTGAAGTGTCTCGTGTGCTGATGTTTGAAGAGACTGGGCATGGTCTCGATACAGCCCCGTTTGATGGCCCTCCTTAGACAGCCGCGGTGATAGGTGAACTTGTACTTCTTGTTGATGAGTTGACACACCCGCTGCAAAAACCAGTGCACTCTTGGAAAAGTCATTGTCGCCAGTCTGTATGTTGAACAACTTTTTCTTGCGTTTGATGAACATCTCGACTACCTCCACCGTCATCTTGCTACCAATTGCTATGGCGCTAATCATCAGTTTAAGATGGTGATGTGTCAATGAGAATAGGGTGGTCTTGTGATTAGCGATCAACCATCCCATCTCAGGGGTCATTGCTCGGAACATCCGCTTCGCCTCTTTGTCGCCGTCGTAGTCTGAGCGAATAACGAATGCCTCGCCGCCAATGCTAAGGACCCTTTCAACGGCGACCAAGTCATTGTCGATGATGGATTGAATGAGGAATGGTTGAGTCGTCAGATCCGATCTCATATAGTCGACCTGTTTGATTGAAGCTAGCCGCTTGTCCAGGTGTGAGGGTGCTAACCTCACGTGGATCTGCCCAACTGTCTGACTATCCATACTAGGCAACCGATCATCAAGTATTAGATTGACCACTGCATATTGTCTGTGGACAAGTGCTGTCTCCAACAATCGATTGATTAGCGCTGAATCTGTCTTGGTGTTTCTCCGTGAGATACTTGATGATGTCCCCTGGCCACAGCAGTCTTGATAGATGATCCAAGATATACCGACAAATCCGATGCATCCTCCTTACTGTCATTATCACGACAGTGCCTGTTGAGTAGAAGGTCCAGAGTCTGTACAAGGCGGCCTTTCTCAACGCATACTTTGATCCAAACAATCAAGTCCAGGGGCTTCACATCCTTGGGATAGTTGTCAAGTATGTACTGTACACTGTCAAAGTGATCATTATCGTTCTGGATTGAGTGTTGTAGACATTTCCATAATAGATCGTGATTGCTATAGATGTTGTTGTATTCTTGATTGAGTAGCTTGAGCATATCAATGTGCACACCTGGTCGTTGACCAGATGAGAAGTTGAGGGCAAATATGTTGTCGCTTAGGTCCATCGCGCCTACATGCTGCAACAATGTTCGTACGAGAAGTGGTCGGCAGTATCGATAGCCAAGAACAGAGTCTTGAAGTTGATCTTGGGTATGAGTCGATGTGCATTGAATCCAAGGTATGACTGTAGCAAAGCGAAGTTGATGTTGGCATTGTTTAGTACTTCATCCAAAGTTGTTGTGTTATTATATTCAATAACATGTTGTCATTGTTGGACATTATTAGACTATGTTGTAGTTGAGTGAATGAAGTTGCGAACAATGTGGACTCAGTCCAAAAAAGAGACGACTCTTCGTCGACCAATCAATTAGTCAATCAGTCAATCAATCATTTATTGTGATGGGAGAGAGATTGATGGGAAACAACTTGGCAATTATATGATGGTGTTTCCTTTGCATGTCTTGGCTTGGCCATTTAGGATACATTCAACAAAAAGTTGAGAATGTCACTCAATGATAGAATGCCCTCCACCTTCTTGGCGGCGTCCACGCAGACCAATCGATGCACTCTCTTCTTAATACTCTTCTCAATCACATCGCCCAGCTTATCGTTCTTTGTACATGTATGGATTTGTTCCGCTCTCTGCCACAGCTATTGATTGAATGTTCGATTGATTGATCCATTGTTAGTTGTGTGGCCTACCCTTGCCCCTATCCGTCAGACGACGTCATATGTTACCTTTGAGAAAGTGGTCAACACTTGATGGACAGGCTTGTCCAAATCTGAAGGTGACAGGTTACCTTGTTTGGCCATCAGCTAGAGAACATGCGAGAAGGTAAGTTAGGGTCTTTGAAGCTTGCTTGCTTGTGATTGATTGATTGATCAATAACATACGGTTACATCACTCTTTGAGTATACATCAATGACCTTGCCATTGTCGTCTATGATGGGAACGGCAGAGATCTTCTTCTCGGCCAGTAGCTCCAACACCTTGATCAAAGGTGTCTCAGTATGCACTGTAACAACCTTTTCAAACGTTCCAATTCCCAGTGATCCTAATGTACATGACAACAAATATGTTGGAAGATCCGGCAGCTACATCATTACCAAAGTATTGTTAGTTAGTCAATCATGGTCGCGATCAATCATCGACTATACATACACTCTTCATCATAAATGCCAATATCCTGGAATGTGTCAGGATGTGAAGTATAGAGTTCGTCTCCTTCTTGTCCACAACAGGCAGTCTATGTATCTTATACTTGAGAAGCAATGTCGCGGACTCGTATAGATTGGTCTCGGGCTCAGTGTATATCAATGTCTTTGGTCTCTCCACGTTAATCTCTGAATGTATTGAGTTGATCACGTGTTAGTGAGTGCGCTCACTCACTCATGTGACTGATCGATCCATGATGAACATACCTCTCCAGAACGTCTCTATTCGATGGATACCCATGTCCTGGAAGATGTTGTCTGATTTAGGTTTGTGATAATAGAATAGTAGGATGTCGATAAAGTCAGATACTGTGATCATTCCAGTGAACTCTTGAAGTTGACTACTCCAGAGTGGCGCAGACTTGATGCCATTCTCCTCCAGCGCGTAGAATGCCGACTTGACCACGAGCTTCGTGTCCAACACTACGACCTTGCCACTGATCGGTATGACATCGTAGCATGTATGTCTCTTGAGAAAGTCAGAGAATATCACCTTGCCCAGGAAGAGGTTGTGCTCGTGTGGTGAGGTCGTCGACGGCTTCTGAGTGGCGGCGTCGTCTGTCGTCTTTGCCAGCCCACTGGCAACATCGACTGTCCCCGGCCCTGATGGCATGCTACTACTGTTGCTGCTATTGTCTACACTGATGACATCGTTGGATAGAGGGGTCGAAGTCTGTCTGAGCGGGTTGCCATGTGTTGCGTCCTCCAAGGCAACATCGATGGACGTCTCTCTCAGTCGCTCCTCAAGCGTCGGTTCGACGACAGACGCGGTCGATGATGATGATGTAGGTTGTACCGCCACGGGCGTAGGCTTCTGAATGGTGGCCACCGAGTCGACAGAGGTGGTGACAAAGTGAGGCATCTTGAGGTTGATCCTGGTTGGGGGCATCGACGAGTCGTCCTCAATCACAAACATCGAATCGCTGGACGTTGCCATGTTGTTGGGTACAGGTGACTGCGATGGTGAAGTCGTCGGTGACAATGAAGCCATTGGGTTGATCATTGTTGAGCCCATTTGAGGAGTATCAACTGATATCCTAATATCATCAGGGTCCTCTTGATTGATTATACCTGACATATTCAATGCATTACTATCTTCTGATGATGACATTTGTACACTATTATTATTATTATTGTTATTGTCGTTGTTGTCGTTGTTGACTATGTTGTTGCTTGTTGTTGTTGTTGTAGATGACGATGATGTAGTAGTCGTTGTTGTTGGTGATGTTGATTGTTGTAGAACTGGTGATGTATTGCTACTACGAGTCAAACTCATTAACTGTTGTTGATGTGAGTTGTAGAATGCTTTCTTCTTGATCAATGATGTCTCTTCTCTCTCTATTGATTCTAACAGTTCAATATCGTCATCATCGTTTGAATACCACATCGCACGGGGGGGTATAGATATATTCTAGATCCCTTTAACTTGATGTTATTCTATCTTGACGTTACTGCTGCTGCAATGGATGGGAATGGAATGGACTGAATGGTTGGTTGGGAGACAAGTGTGTCTCTCTCGTGAGCTTAAGATTGAATGAACTTGAAATTTGAATTTAAATTAAAAATTGATGATTTTCAAAGTTCCAACTCAATCTCAAACTTTGATTAACATGGACAAGTATACCTGGACATCAATCCATATTATTAATATTATTAATATACATTGTTTATTGGTGTTATGGATAACATTGGATTAAGTCCTAAAGTCCAATCCAAAGACACATGCTTTGGCTGTCTTGTCCCAACTGCCAGTGATGATTGTAGATTCGTTGGTCTCAAGTGAGGAGATCCTGTTGGTGTGATTGTGGATGGTACGATGTGCTCTTCCAGTGTTGACATCCCATAGTTTGACAGTGCCATCGTATGATCCTGATACAACCAGACTGTTGATGAAGCTCTTGACACCCATCACCTCATCAGTGTGTCCAGACAGCGTGTGGTAGCTCTCAGCATAGTTTGAATCCCATACTTGTAGCGTAGAGTCGGCAGAGGCCGTAATGAACTTTCGTTGATTGTTGTCATCCTCGTCGCCACGATGAAGTAACAGTGAGTTGATGCTGCCTGAGTGGCCTTGAAGCGTCCTCAGACATTCGCCACTCTCAACCGACCACACCTTAACTTTGCCATCGCATGAGCCAGTGAGCAGTGTGTCCATGTCGTGCTCCATGCACTTGATCCAATCGCTGTGACCTGAGAGTATCTTGAGTGTGCTCATCGTGCGGATGTCCCATATACGGATGTTTGTGTCCCTGCTTCCTGAGATGACCTTGTAGCCATCACACACCAATGTCATGATGGGCTGCTGATGGCCGACCAGTGTGGCCGACGGCTTTGAAGCGCGGTCGTCCCACACACCAATCGTGTTGTCGTACGAGCCAGAGATTATCTGATGAGAGTCAAAGATGCGTAGACAACTGATCGAGCCCTTGTGGCCTCTGAAAGACTTGATCTTGGCGCACTTGCTCAAGTCCCACAGCTTGATGGTCTTGTCGTACGAGCTGCTAAACACCTTGGAGTCGGCGCCAACCTCGATCGAGTTGACCCATCCGCCATGTCCCTCCAGCGTGCCAAGACAACGAGTCGAAGTCATATCCCACACCTTGAGTGTAGAGTCTGCACTGCCTGTGATCAGCGCGTTGGTTTCTTTGTGGCCGTGCGCCACCAATGCCAGACAGAGCACGCCCTCCTTGTGTCCAGTGAATGTCTTCATGATGTAGTCGCCTCTGTTCTCTGAGATGTCGCGGTAGTCCAACTTGGCACTAGTCTTTGATCGAGTCTCAGCCCATGCACTTCGCAAATTCATGATCTTGGCATTGTTGTTGCGCTGCGCCACTATGTTGCTGGACTTCTCATCGATGAGATGAGTCAACAACTCAATGCCCTCATTTGTGGACACGTGCCTCAGTCCTACGGGCAAATAGATGTCCTTGGCCTTGGTCGACTTGGACATCTCCTTCTGGATGTGTCTGCTGCTGGCATCTGCTGCGACGGTAGTGGCCTTGTTAGCGTCGATCTGATCCATGTCCTGAATATCGCGTGCCCTCGTGATGTTGGACACTACCTGCATCATCGTGTCGGTGCGGTCCGCGTCAAAGCTGACTCGGGAGCACATCTTGTTGACAAAGCGACGCACGAGATCGGGCTGCGAGCCCAGATTGATCATGTAGTACACCATCTTGCTCAGCAGTGAGAACTCCATGTCCTTCTCCTCCTGCTTGAGCTTGTCCTGCTTGTCTGTCGTGTATGAGCCCCACTTTATCATCTCGCGTATGATGTTACCGTAGAGCATGCGACAGCGATGCTCGAGTGTGTCGTAGAAGAACTGCTCCCAGAAGTTGTAGTTCTGCCAGATGTCCTGGTTCCTGAGTCGCTCGCTCACATGCTCGTTCGAGCCATTGGCTAGACGATGGTAGACGAATGACGCCTCGAGGTACATGCGCGTCGAGGCAAAGTCCGAGTGAGTGTTGGCTTCTCGCAGAGCCGCCTTGAGCAGGTCGCCAAGACAGTAGAACAGAGCGTCGCTCAGACGCGCCTTGATGGGCACGTTCTCGCCCGCCGAGTTCTTCTGATGCTTCATGAGCAAGCGGCCAAAGAGCTGTCTGCCCGAGTCAAACTTGAGCAACTCTAGCACTTGTTGGATGTCAGAGGATTCTGGCGGGGCGTCGCTGCCCAGTCTGTCGATCAGTTGTTCGATGATGGCCACAAATGATTTGTACTGCTCTTCAATGATCTTTGATGGTAGGCCGTCTTGTTGAAGCGAGAGTACACTGTCGCCAATCGAGATTGAGTTGCTGTAGATCTCCATAGAGACAGGCACTTCCTTGGCCTGGATGGCCACGCTGGCTGGCTTGTTGACGCTCGCCTGTGGAGTTGCCATCGCATCCTGCTTAAGTTGAGGGAATCTGATGCACTCCTTGCCGGCTGATGTGTTGTTGTTGCTACTGCTGCTGCTTCCACTGCCACTAGCACTGGAGCTATTCCTACGAAGAGCTGAAGGAGCTGGTGCATGAACCGTCGTATACTTTGACTGCTCCAACACACCCAGACCCTGGTGCACGGTCGTGTAGTACTGTGCGCACAACTCTTCGACTGGACGCTTATACTTTTGCGTCTCGATCAGGTAGTCGAACAAGTTGGTCTTGGGCCAGTTGTGCTGGTCCAGGAAGAAGCTGAAGGCTTGTGAGTCAACCAGAGCCGTGTAGAATGTGCCATTATCCTGCGATGAGGGCCATGTCCTTGACTTGATAAACTCTGCGCGATTGAACAGAGTGATTGGCTTGGGGAAGACGCGCAAGTACTTGAGATGGCGTCGGTAGTCGCACATTATCGAGCAAAAGAATTGAAGGAATGAGAGGCGGATGTGGTCGTCGATCGATGCAGATGATGGAGGTGCAGGCGCTGAGTGGAAGTGTGGTCGACCACCCTGTTGTTGTTGCTGTTGCTGTTGTTGGGTCGACCTTAGACCTGTGTTTGTCGACGCTGAACTGGTATTGGGAGGAGCGGGCATTGGTGACATGGAGTTGAGGTTGAAGTTGGGCAAGTCGGACGCCAACAGTTCGTACTGCAACACGCGTCTTAGTTGATTGATCAGCTGTGTGGTCTCGCGCTCAGGCATGCTAGCCTGATTCAGCGTGGTCTGTGACTGAGGTATCATGATGTGATTGTTGTCCAAGTCCACGACGACAATCTCGTTAAGCAAGTTCTCCTCAGTCATGATGCTATGGCTGTATGATTTGTGTACTCCCATAATGAATGGGAAGGGTGAATAGATGTACTCTAGCAACAACTCTGGCAATATTGGTACATAGACATGTGGCTAGAGGGGAGACAGGTCAGTGGTTGGTCCGCCATTGACTGGCGAGTGTGGATATACATACCCAAGAGAATGGATGCAGGAGGGATGAGACAATCTCGGCGATAAGGGTCAGCAGGGAGTAGTGATCGCTGATGATTACGATCTTCTGTTCGAGCAATATACATTTAAACAAGAGTATTACACTCTTGATATCCAAACATTTAAAGAGTAGAGAGTATGGAAGCTAATTTGATTGATTGATTGGGCATTAGTAAGTGATTGGTCGTGGACAAATGATCAATCCAATGAACTTACTTCGGACATGGGTAAAAGACAGTCTGGTGGTCTTCTGAGTGTAATGGTTGTGTTGTTGACTGTGTGCACTACGCTGTTGACACCTTGCACTGGCAATGCTACCTCTTGGACAATGTTGTAGATTGTTCTCTCGATTGGCAATGCATTGGAGTTGGATGATAATGATGTGGAGGCGGCCGGTGAGAAGAACACCTTTTGATAGATGTCATTCAGACACACTCGGAAGTAGCCATAGAATGGATAATGTGACAGGATGCATATGCACTTTGGTGCGTATACTGTGCTCGGATGATGATAACCTGATTGACTTAGTGAGAGTGGACTTGCTGTGGATGCACTGCCACCTGATGGTCGCATGGTGGGTGTCTGCGCACTGCCACCATCCACCTGCTGCTGTACATCGACAGTGTTGCTTGATCCACGTCTCTTTTTCACCTCTGATACCATATCATCGCTGGCCAGTTCATAAAAGGTGAGACATGAGCCATAGAAGCGCACGCCAGTCTCATTGGTGAGGACAAATGGGAAGAAGGAGGGCGCCTGCTCCTCCTTGGTGAGTGTTGCTCCCTTGGGGAAGCAGTACATCCATATGTGATTGGGAAGTATCTCCTCGTCGCGTGGCGGGTAGAAATCCAGCAGCTCACCCTTATAGGCCATCTCCAGGGGGTCGACTTGGCGCGAAACAGTCTCGTATCGATTGTCGATCGGCTCCAACTTGGTCGAGCAGCCAACGACAAAGAAGAAGTCAATAGGTCGCGTTGGCTGGAATCTGGTCTCCTTCTCTTTCTTCTGTTTGGCCTCCTTGGCCTTACGTCGCTCCTCCTGTCGCTCCTTGTCGCGCTGTCGCTGCTGCTCTTCCTCCTCGCGCTGCCTCAGCTTCTCGCGTGCACGTTCCTTTTCTCGCTCGATCGCCTCCTTCTCCAGTTCCTTGGTGCGCTCTTTTGCCAACTGCTCCTCGATGATTGCCATTCGCTCATCCTTCTTCTTGGCTTCGAGGCTGAGGGATGAGCCACCCCCTGAGCCCTTCTCCATCTTTGCAGTAATGCGCTTGGTGAGCTTCTTGATCTGGCTGCCACCCTTGCCAATGAATGATGACATGTCCTTGTGCTCCTTGCTATCGCCCCCAATCGTTCGCTGTCTCGACAGACTGTGTGCGGGGCCGTGGGTCGCTGGGGTGACGACGCCGTCCTCGGTGGATGCCGAGCTGCTTGTGTCTGTATCATTGAGCAGGACAATGTCGCGTATCCTTATGACCATGAGCACCTTGAGTTCGGACGTTGTCTTTTCCATCGGCATCCACTGATCGATTGTGTAGCTGTCTATGAGTGAACCAGTTGCACTGCTCTCTGAAGAAGTGTCGGAGGAGTTGCCTGCCGCGGCAGTGGTCGCTGTCGCCGAAGTGGGAGTTGGCGGAGCCAACTTGTTTGAGCTGGTGGCTGTGGTGATGGTCGATGCGCCATTGACTATGGGCTTGTTGGACACCTGCAGGACATACTTGACGCTTCCAATATCAACGTTGTTGCCCAGGATGTTCTGACTGTGCACGGTGAACTCAATGTCATCGATCCTCGACGTGGTCGTGACAGTGAACTTCTCATTCCACAGCGGGTTGGCCGTCTTCTTCTGTGTCTTTGTCTTGAACTTCTTGCCATCAACCTTGAACTTTACAAACACGTCCTTCTCATTGATGTTGCGTCCCTGTATCTCCTCGACGTAGATAGTGGTCACGCGTGAGGCTGTGCCGCCTGCATGTATGTTTGGTGAATGATCACCTGATGTAGTTGAGCCAACTTGTTGTTGTTGTTGTTGTTGTAGTTGTTGCTGTTCCAGTTGTCGTTGTTGTGATACTGCTAATGATGTTGATGTTAAAGTTGAAGATGAAGCAGTTGATGATGGTGACGATGATACTACATTGATCAATGTAGTAGTAGTAGGTTCCACTACTTCATTCATCTTAATAATCTCTCTTGTCTCTATCTCTGTTTCTCGAACTGTTATAATATTTGATTGATTGTACAATCGAATGAAGGGTAGGTTGTCTCTTCTTCTTAAGTTAACAGGACAATCAAGTGATCAATGAAAGTGATATGAGGTAAAGTGAGGTGAGTGAGTGACTGAGCAGCGATGCGCTGCTGTGGTTTGAATTTGTGTTCCGATCCTCAACAACAGCAACACTACCAAACAAAGTTGTTGATATAAATGTGTATCTGTATATGTATCTGAATATATATATGTATGTATGTGTGTATATGTGTGTGTATGTTGCAGTGAATAATGTGGTAAAGAATGATGGGGTGGACAAGTCGTTTTGATTGATTGACCATACATTACCCCAACACCACCCCACCAACAATTCAACTTTGCATTGTTGTTGATCTCCGATTCCCTTTTGCTTCTAAAACGAGATGGGTTGGTGATGGACATGTCCAAACTTAATTAATTTCCCTACTTTATATTTCATTGTTGTTAGGAATGATGACGATGATGAAGATCATGTTGATGTCTTGATGCTTCTCTAAATCGTCATTTCATTCAATGAACCATCATTCACCAAGTCCCAACCAACAACTCAATTAGTGGCTACTATAATACTGTTTACAGTTTGTTAGTTTTGGTTGTCTCGCAGTACATGTTTATTTTATATATCTACATCCAGGGTTTGGTCGCTGCTGCTGCCACATACACAAGCGATTGATTGACCTGCTGCTGCTTGCTTAGTTTGTTTGTTTGATAAAACGCGATCGTTTGTTTGTTTGGTTGTAAGATTGTTAGACTGATTGGTTGTGGCTGTGACAGTGACTGATGATGATGATGATAATGACTAAGGTATTATGTTGAGTTGAGATGATTTAGAATGTAGTAGTGTCCAGCATGACGGTCAACACTCTGACGACGTTGTGAGCCATCAAAGAATGTACATCGGAAACAAGATGCTTCTTGGCATCAAGCTTGCCCACAGTGTGGATATCCTTCTTCTCTGGATCGATCTTGTCCTCCTCTTGCAGCGCTTTGTGGTATGACTTGGTCAACTCCAACAGGTCCTATTGTGGTAGTACAAGATCAGTATGGACTCGTACCAAGTTCAAACACCAAGGATACATACATTGAGCTTCTTCTCGTTGTTCTGGTTGTGGACATCAAACTTCTCGAGGTTAAGACCATCGGTCCACTTCTTCTTGTGAAGGTTCAGCAACATCTTCTCCTCCAGCTCGTTCTTGCTGTAGCTGATGGCGATTGAGTAGTAGCCACGGTTGAGTCCGTGGATCAGGGCCTGGATGGAGGCATCCTGCAGATGACCAATGTTGGATGTGATCTGTCTGGGCTCGACAGCTGGCGACGTCTTTATGGTTCTAAAGGCATCGACGACGACCTTTCCTCTGACAGACTGCAGTGGGTCGACGACCAAGGCCACGGCTCTCGACTGCAGCTGCTCAAAGCTCTGTTGAGTGTTGACGTCGACGGCCGACAACCAACAGCCAAAGCCTGGATGACTGTGATACCATCCAATAACAATCTCGTTTCTACCTGTTTGCTTGAGCATATCGAGCATCTTTGTTTGGAACACTGGGTCGATGGCCTCTACACTGACACTAGTACCGCTCTGTGGCATAGCAAACACATCAATAACTCTAATAGTATACTCATCAACGAATTCACCAAGCATCAAACCCATAACCTCCAGTGGTACACCTGCTCTAGCTATATATTGATTGTTGACGATGATGTTTGTGAACATTGTTAGTGATTGATCAAACATACATTCACATGTCAATCACATACCATGCTGTAACATCTTTAGCAATGCCAATGATGATATCTGAATTGTCTCTGCTGTATCTGGTAGATGGGTGGCATCTGTAACCTTCTCCATTCCCATTCCATCTCTAGTGAGCATATTCATAAGGTTTGCTCTATTCATTCTTTGTTTTCTTTCTTTATGTAATGTAATATAAATATGTATAAATATATATATGTTTGTACGAATATTATATGTATGTTTGTAATGTATTTGATAAATTGTGAGTGTGAATGATCAATTTAATTGATTGATGATCACTATGTGATGTTCATCCACCCAAATTCGCAAAAACTTTCATAACTCCTCAAAAAGTGAAGTACGATTTGAAGTGTTTCCGGGTCCCTCTTTGAATAAAGTCCATTTGGTCTAACAACAAATAAACAAGAAGTTATCTAATAATTGGAGTAGTGACACTCCAAGTATACTGACTCTCATCAATCACACTAAATTCCAAGTTTGGTAATCATTACCAAATCAAGTAGTTTGGTCTAAAGATGGTAATGATAACCCTGAATGATTGATTGACCCAGAGTGAGTGGTACCATACGTTACTTTACTTTAGTACTTGTTCTTGATGTAATTGTACTACCGCAGCCTAACAATGATGTAGCATAGTAGTGTACCATCATCGCCTTGATTATCAATTAGTTGTTTGTGTACAATCTCCAAGTCATGTCCTCCTTTGACATTCTCTTCAAACAATGCAATACCCTCGCGACAAGCTGGTAACACTAGTATTGCCGTACCACCTACATGTAGGTGTCGATGAATGATTGATGGAAGGCGATTGGCTGCGCTCTGTGTGTATATAAGGTCCGATCCAATGATCCAATCAAACTCGCCCAGCTGGTGATCGTCATCGCTCCAGTCCAACTTGCACACATCGATGTGGCCCAGATCCCTCTGCTCCTGTTGGAATCGTTGAACATTGAGTCCAATGTTTTCCAGAACATTGTCCACATAGTCCGTCATCAGTATCTTGCGACAGTAGAGACTGGCAACGAGCCCGGTCAGTCCGCATCCGCTGCCCAGCTCGAGTACATTGGTGTTGCTCAGTCGCGATGCATTGGCAATGATGATCTCGGCCAATGCCAATGACGAGTCCCATATCTTCCAGCCCAATCCAGCATCACCATAACAGAGTTGACTGATCTTTATCACGCGTGATCCACTACCATTCAGTTTGTCAAAGACTACACTCTTCTCCTGATGGACCTTTGTGTTTCGTTTGTATAACTGCATCTGGTCCAATATCGAATGACCTGTACCCTTCACCGTCTCACTCCATTGATTTGCCATGACTAACTTGTTCATCAATGAATGTATTCCAAGTGATGTGAATGTAACATAATGATCATCTATCATTTGATTGATTGATTTAGTGATTGAGTGAGTGAGTGGGATAGTTCCAGTATGATTGATTGAATGAATGAGTATGAATACATACATCTCAATGTAATAAAGAGATATACAGCCTTTAGTATATGTATTAGGATGTTATCTTTTGATAATGATTGGTCATTGATCAAACTGATGAGGACACTATAGATGTGATCAATGATTGTGGCTACATCCTCATTATTCGTTCTTCTAATTACTGTTTCAAGTAATGTCAAGTCCAATGAAACATGTTTATGTTGTGCATCACTCTCATCAACATCATCAACTTCATCATATTGTTGTTGTTGTAGTTTGATCAAACTATCCTCAAGACTACACAACAACGTTGACTTTGTTTGATCGTCAAGTGGCGTATCGTTATCAATTTGATAATGATGTGGTATTAGGTTATTAATTATATTTAACTGATGATGTTGATGTTCTATCATCTGCTATACATATAAATATATCTCTATCTGTATCTCTATCTGTATCGGGTATTGATTGAATAGTGGTCCGCTGACTTGGACTTGCGAAGCCAAGACAATCATTTCTAACTTTGTTGTTGTCGACATCATACCACACATTTGCAGCAAAAGGTTGATTCTTTCATGCACCTTGTGGGGTATCTCGAGATACTTAGGACCAACTTCCAAGACCCCTGTCTCATTTTAGATTGACCACTACACTCTGTACTCGTGTACATTATACAGATACTATCTCTATCACATACATACAAACAATACAATGGCTGACTACCAAGGCAAGCTCTTTGTAACTGGTATGTAAACATATAATTGATTGAATGAATGAATGAACGAGTTAAGACTAACAATCTTCCACAACATGTCATTGATCGATTGTAGTGCTACAGGCCCAGAACTTGGTTATTAAACAGGAGAAGTCAATGGCACAGGAATTGGCAGGTAGCTTGTTACAGGGTATACAAAAGATACAGGCATTCTCAAGTAGTAATGTGAAGAAGTTGGCACCTATATTCACTGCACCAGGTGGTAGTGAGTCTACTACATCTGCCACACCAACAACACCAACAGTTGGTATAATGGTCAGTGCAGCATTCGAAGGTGGTCATCCTGATGACACTGTATTCCGCACCACATTGTCTGGCAACTTGACCGAGCCCAAGTGGAACGAATCGCACACATTCAACGTGATCAATCCTTGCGCCACAATGCGCTTCCAGATCATACTCAAGTCCGAGACGGAGGGCCAGGACTTTTTGATCGGCACATCGCTCATGTCCCTGATCGACGAGGCACATCTCTGGGGCCAGAAGCCAGTGGCCAAGTGGATCAACATCACCAAGAAGGTCGTGGCATCCACCACAGACGACTCATCATCATCGTCATACACGGACGACGAGATCGTCGGCAGGATAGAGCTGCAGTTGCAGTACAAGTACCGCAATGTATGGGACTGTGTCTATCATGGCAAGCTGTTGCTAGTCGAGAACAAGTACGAGGACGCGCTGGAGCAGCTGACAGAGGCGGTCGAGAACATGCCAACCAATCCCCAACTCTACACATTGATTGTCGACTGCCACATTGGTCTCAAGAACTATGGCAAGGCCATCGAGAATGCCGCCAAGATCATCCAATATGATCACGGCTACACTGGTCTGCTTAAGGCGGCACGCGTCCTAATGATCGCCGGCCAACTTGAAAAGGCACAATCATTCATCGACAAGGCCAAGACCAAGTCGGACAACAGCGAGGAGATATACAACTCCCAGATGGAGCTTAGCCACTTGTTCGAAGTGGACAACATCAACAAGCTGGTCGATCAAGGCTCAGCAGACTTTGCCAAGGGTGACTATGTCGCCGCAGCGGCCTCCTTCACCAAGGCCATAGAGATCAATGCACATAGTCCAGTTCTATACGAGTTGCGAGCCATCTGCTATGTATGTGCCAAGAACAACGCGGCAGCAATAGTCGACACCAACAAGATATTGGAGATCGATCACAACTGGCCCAAGAAGAACAACACCATGAGTGGATACATGATGAAGGATGGTCAGATCAACGTAATGGCCAAGAAGCGATGGTTCGGGCTAAAGTCAATCTTTATGTTCTATTACAAAGACATCAACGTATGTATATATTCTGGAACCATTCCAGTGATGGTCATTCACTTACCCTACCCTTTGACCAGGAATTCAATCCACAAGGAGTGATCTGTTTGTATGACTTTGGATGCGCTCCCAAGCCCAATCAAAAGGAGAAGTTCCAGATCAAGACAAAGGACAGGGAATACTATCTGAGGGTGGACAGCAACAAGCCTCAGGAGTTTGATCAGTGGATCGCTGTGCTCACTAGGCTCTCTAGGACAAAGCCCAAGGTGCCCTCGTCAAGGGAGATCCAAGACGACATTATCTGGCGCAATATATATCAAAAGAAGCAGGGCGCCAAGACATCGTTCATGTTGCCCGAGGTGATGATGCTGCCCGAGACCCTGTTTGTCGAGTCTGGTCGCTTCGCCTTCTCGATCGGTGACAAGATCAAAGCCAAGTTGTCATCGGTGGCACAGGCTGACTGCACCATCACTGGATGGCTCTACAAGATGGGCGCCGTCAACAAGGGCTGGCAGAAGCGATACTTTATGATCGCAAACAATCAACTGTATTATTGCAAGATTGCCTCGGGAGAGGAGAAGCAGCCGCTGATCACACCAACGGGCATCTTGCCACTCGATGGCGCCAAGCTCGACGCCAGTCCATCGGCCGTTGCCAAGGCGCACGCGTTCATCATCATGACCAGTCTTCGCAGGAACTTCATCGTGGCTGCCGACTCTGATATGGACAAGGAGCGATGGCTGCGCGCCATAGTCCTTGCCAGTGGTGCTCCGTTGCCCGTGCAAGAGACCGACACTGTTGTAGTCAGCAGTGGAGGTGTTGGCGAGGAGGTACCAACATCAGACTCATTGTTCTCCAATCGAAACAAGAAGATCAAGTCACTGAGAGCGGTCCCCTCGGCAGATGATCAACTACAACAACAGCAACAGCAACAGCAACAATACAACAACAACTACAACAACAACAACCTACGAAGGATCAACACCAATGAGATGTCCGACTCTGAGTCCAGGTACTTTGCCAAGTTTGGACTGAATGGAAACACACAGGCACACGCTATAGCTCAAGCAGCACCAATCATCAAGTCCAACAATCAATCATACAACAACAACAATATTAGTGGATCACAATCAACACTACCATCAATGCCACCAACACAACAACAACCATTGCCATCATCATCATCTCCACACAACTCATACAGATCAATTGGAAGACCAGTGTCCTCTGAGATCCACAATGTACTCGATGATGACGACGATGATTACCACAACTCATCATCCAACGTCGGACTACTCAGTGGACATACCAAAGGCATCAACGACGATGTCGAGGAAGGAGGTGCCTCCAAGAGTAGACGATGCCAATGTGCCTGTACAATCCAATAAACTTAACAACCCTTGCTTGCCCTCACAACCATCACTCACTCGCTCGCTTCGAAGTTCATTCAAAGATTATTGAAACTATTATTTTTTAATTTTGTTTTGATTTTCGAACTTGGGTGCGGAGAGGGCGTCGAGTGTTCGTGCGACACACCTCCTGCGAGGCGAATAAGACTTGGCAGTTTGTGATGTGATCGCCCTTTTAGTCTGTCTATCCATCCTACCCATACAAGAACCCACACAAAGATGGCTGAACAAAGAGAAGTCGAGCTGTTCGGAAAATGGTAGGTCATCGATGATACATTAAGGATACACAGCGATACACATGACAGATGGATGGAAGAATGAATGAGTGGATGAGTGGATGATCATGTTGGAGACGAGGAGGATACGTCGAATGTGCGCGAGATAAGATACAGGAATTGGTCATGAACGTGATACTAACGTATCGCTCATTCAACAAACATATTCAAACAAAACAGGTCATACAGAGGAGTCATCTGCGCTGATATCTCTCTGCAGGACTACATGATGGTCAAGAAGGCCGCCTTCTTGCCACACACCTCTGGACGTTACAACAAGGTCCGCTTCAGAAAGGCTCAGTGCCCAATCGTTGAGCGTCTTGCTAACTCCATGATGATGTTCGGTCGTAACGCCGGTAAGAAGGTCATGGCTGTCCGCATCATCGAGAAGGCCTTCGAGGTCATCTTCCTCTTGACCGACAAGAACCCAATCCAAGTATGTAACAACACTCATCATCATTCGTTCATTCATTCAGTCGATCAAAGCATGGATAATACAACAACAGGAAGACAAACAGGATCGATCGAACGAGCGAGACATCAACATCATGAATGAATGAATGAACAGCTAAGACATCACATCTCGATCAATCACTCACATCTCAATCAATCATTCAATTCGATTAATTAGGTTTTGGTTGATGCCATCGCCAACTCTGGTCCACGTGAGGACTCCACCAGAATCGGTTCTGCTGGTACCGTCAGAAGACAGGCTGTTGATGTCTCTCCAATGAGACGTGTCAACAACGCTATCTACCTGCTCACCCAGGGTGTCCGTTCCTCTGCCTTCAGAAACATTAAGACCGTCTCTGAGTGTCTCGCTGACGAGCTCATCAACGCCGCCAAGGGTTCGCCAAACAGCTATGCCATCAAGCAGAAGGATGCTTTGGAGCGTACTGCCAAGTCCCACAGATAAGCATTGTATTTGTTAAACAAATTGGGTGTCATCTCCTCCCTCACAGCAGCTGCATCATCTTTGAACAAATAAACTATCTCTCTAGCAACCAAATCAATCAATCCCTAGGGGATACCAATCATTCATTAGCTGTTGACCACTACGCCGACCATGGAGTGTGATTGCCACCATCCAAGTTTTTTCTTGTTTCCAGTTCATCTGGAACCCACCCACATGATCACTTCATAATCATGATCATTCTTTGTTATAACAATGATGGAGAATGTACATAGTCTCAATCAATCAATAATCAATCATCAACTTTTACCAACCATACTGGAACCATCCCAACCCATCAATCAATCTCTATCGCCAATCAATCAATCAACCAAGGATGGAGAGGTCCACTATTATTAAGGTGTTGACTAATAGGACACTGCTTAGGACAATCACAAGATGTTTTGAAAGAAGATGTTATCGCAAGGAGATGTTGAGGAATCCAAATCATGGTACATTCTACACATACTTTAGAACAAAGTATCATCACTGGTCTGATGTGATTGATATCATTGAGAATGGTCACTTTGGTCTACTTCGTGATCGTGTCAAGCGCAACCTATTCATCAACGCCACAAAAAATACAATGACAGCAATGTGTGGAACAAACATAGATGATGTCACATTCGACGCTGTATACATCAAGTATCAAATGTACTTTAGGGACCCAGCGGCACTGGAGGAGGCAGTGGGCATTGGCAACATTCACATCGTGAAGACCCTACTCAACCAGAGGCAACCAATGGCATTCAAACGAGATTACAACTTGACCAAGTACGCATTCAACAAGTCACAGTTCAAGATGTTGATGTACCTGCGTGAGACTGGTGAGTTTGACAATGATAGACTGGTGGCGAACGATCACATGGAGTTGGCCAACAGCTTGTTCAAGACCCGCAATTCCGACACCATCAGGTACATGCTCAAGTCGCTTCCAGAGTCCTTTGTACTTGGTTCACTGATCAGATCGCATGCGTGCATTGGAGCCAATCCCCAAAATATAGTGATGACGGGCGACCCGGACCTCATCACTGAGCTGCTTGCCAAGGACATCGACAAGATAAGGATTGTGATCAAGTCAAACAACAGGTACATAGTAGACTACAAAGAGTTGAAGAATGTCACGCCAAGACAACAACTAGAGCACCTGGAGAGATTGATTGATTTTGGATTCATTCAAGGACGTGGCTCGGAGCGAGATCCCAATGCATTGCTCAAATGGTCAATGGACACGACTCACACAATCGCATTGTTGTTGGGTGACGAAGATGCTCGAATGATCGATCATATACAACGCGTGGACATTGGCAATGAGGCCAGGATGGTGTTCATCAAGATTGGTGAGATCGCCGCCATGGACAAGAAGTTGGGATACATATTCTTATACTACATCATGCGAGAGTATGCGTCTACAGGTGATTGTTTCCTCATACCATATCTCATGGATATCTGGAATCATACCGTTTGGAATGAACTCAACAATGGCACACTATTCAACAACATCACCAAGAATGGCACACTGACCCAGGCTCGAGTGGCAATAGGATACATCGAGAAGGGAGAGACGCATACGACCCCAAACAAGCATGTTGATGGCTACCTCTACTCACACTGGATCGAGTCCAAGAATCCAGACACTGCCATGTCCGTTATCAAATACTTTAACAATCATGGCGTGACGATCACCTCAATCATCGACACTCAGGTCGTCACCAATGTGGACATGCTGAACTTCCTCATGTCCGACCAGAACAAGATATTCCCATCATGGTATCCACGCAAGTTTATTGGGCGATCAGTACTTCAGGCGGCACTGGAGAAGGGATACCCCAAGTCAGTGCCTATGCACCAGGCGCAGTTCAACGCGAGGATTGCAGCAGCTGCAGGACGCCTGGACATTATCAACTTGTTCCTGGAATATTGGCCAGATCTCTTCACACGGGACCAGGAGTTGCAGCTGATGTGTGTGATGATGGGCAATGAGGAGATCAACAAGCAGCTGTCATCTAATAGCCTGGTGGACTTCACCGCCGATCATGTATGGTCATACAGTGGGGCACTGGGCGATCCTCAGGTGTTGGAGTTCATGCTCAAACATTGTACATTGGATAAGATCAAGTTGGAGAAGTCACTAAACTCAATGATAGAGTATGCCATAAGGCACAATAACTTGGACTTCATCAAATATTGCTATTTACATCATGATGGAATTATGCCACATGAACATTATCACAAGAGAGAGGTGGTGATTAATGGAAACACAGAGTTATTGGATCAATTATATCAAGTGTATTCCAGTGTTGGATTCCAACAAGATCACTTGGATGAGTTCATTGGATTGGCCGTCAAGAATGGTCATGTGGAGACATTGGAATTCATTTTAAGTCAACTAGTCAATAAGACTCGAGACCCAATCATAGAGTCAAAGTTGCGTCAATATACAACAATGTTGATCGATCAGTCTGACACTCACATGTTGCACTATCTTGTACATATTGGTGCGACGTTGGACACAAAGGGCATATACATCAACGAGTCATTCAGGAGCAACAAAACAATCCAGGCCATTATCGAAAGATACAAACAACAGAGATCCAAACCAAAGGCCATGGCAAAGGGTAGTCGGAAGGTGTTGCGCAAGTAATTAAGTGAGTTTATAATAAATATTGATATTTCTTCGTCATTGCACTGATTAATAAGTTTTATCTGTACTGGAATAAGTTGAGGATTGACTTTGAAGGAAGATGTGCTCTTCGACACCGAAACCCTCCTCTCCTTAATGTCAATCATCTTCCTCAGCCTGAAGAATATAGTGTTCCATCTCCCTATCCAGCTGGTGAAGAAGTGTGTATGTCTATGATAATATGTCCAATCCTTAACTTGTACTAACATATGTTAACAGTCTGTTTTGATTGGAAACATCTGGATCTAGATTGGTTGAACCGAAATCTTCATAATGAAAGTCTATGGTATGATTACAATTACACCAATATCGATAGTGTAACCTCGCTCTGTACTTCAGGCATCCACAACCTTTGGTCCATTGACAACTCCCCAGTTTCTTGGTATAATCGAAATCACTTGCTCTATTTCTCCTTCCACACTTTACGTTACCAACGCCACCTCCTTCTTCATCATCTTTGTGATCGTCGGTCATGTCATGATCTTTGACCTTTCCAACATTCTTCAATGTCCTTGGTATTGGTGAAGTGTTTGGTGCTACTCATGAATACTAAGGTTAATAAAATGAATAAATGAATGTCAATCCAATGACATACTTTGCATGAATGGAGGAGGTACACCAACATATATATCATTAAATCCACATTTTGGTATTGGATTCCTTCCAAATAATGGAATTGCTTTCTTATTTATATTTGGATCAGTATCAAATAGTAACAATGGAGATAATGGTTGTTCTAATGCTTTACAAATTGGTAATAACATATCACCAATCAAATAAACATTATTCAATATAACCTTTATCTTTTGTTCATTATAATGTATTATTGTTGATATTGTTATTGTAGTTGATTGTTCTTGAATGCTCATCATTGATGTATATATATATATATATATATATAAATAGAGAATTACTAAATGGTTTGTGGATGGACAAGTCTAAGTTTAGACCTTAGTTGGCCTTGGACCCAGTTCCAAGTAAGCATAAACTTGTGAAGATCACCCTTTTGTGGGACTTTGAAGGGTTTGAATCTGTTTTGTTCCAAAAAAGGGCATCTTGAAGAAGTAAACGAGCATCAAACACACACACATACACAACACAAATAAACAACATCAATGTAACTAACACTCACACCATTCATTCATTCATTATCATCTACTTCATCATCATCATCATAATCATCATCATCACCAATCATTATATATATATATATATATAACTAAATGATAATAATAATATAATAATAATAATGGTATTCGAAGGAATTGTTTCTGATGTTCTATCCCGTGTGTTGGGAGATTATATAAAGAACTTGAATAAGGATCAATTAAAGATTGGTCTATTCGGTGGCAATGTTGTATTGAACAACTTGGAGTTGAAGGAGGATGCCCTGGCTAACTTGCCAATCAATCTGCCAATATCAGTGGTCAAAGGCTTCCTGGGCAAACTGGAACTGCACGTCCCCTGGAAGGACCTGCGATCAAAGCCCGTCATCGTTGAGATCGAGTCCATCTATGCATTGGCTGTGCCAACGTCCAGCAACTACAAGTACGACGAGGAGACAGAGGTTAAGAAGGCAAGAGAGGCCAAGCGCAAGCGTGTCCAGAGCTACGAGCTCATGAAGACCCTGCGTGATGAGGCCAGCGAAGAGAAGGCCGGTGGCGATTCATTCGCCAGTCGTCTAGTCACCAAGATCATTGACAACCTACAAGTTAGGATCAAGAAGATACATATTAGATTCGAGAACAAGAGCAGTATTACAAATAGAGTATGTGTGTTAATCAAAGACGAAGATGGAGGATATTGCTCATGGTCTAACCTCCATTCCTTCTGACTCCAAAGTTGTATGCTGTTGGTGTCACACTCGATGGCATATCTGCTCAATCAACCGATGAGAATTGGGCACCAATGTTTGTGGATGGAAGAGGTACCAACACCAATACAACTCCAGACATCTTGCGCAAGTTGGCACAAATGAACTCGCTTGCAGCCTACATTGACGATGATGCAACATCTATGAGCGATCTTGACACTCAGGCATTCACAGCAGCCTTCCTCAATGCCATACCTACCAGCGAGTCGCCAACTACTGCTCTGCGCAAGTTTGTCTTCAAGCCAATCACATCGGAGCTCAAGGTCTCCGTGAACAAGAGCAACATTGTCTATGAGAAGAACATCCCGAGGATCACGGCCGACTGTGTCTTCTCGGATATCACGTGCGCGCTAGCTGCGCCACAGTTCCACTCGGTGCTCAACATACTCGAGTTCACCAATGACTTCCTGCGCGACATGAAGTACCTCAAGTACCGCCCACAGATCAGCGTCAGCTCGGACCCACGCGCTTGGTGGCGCTATGCCGGCGAGGTCACACTGGAGAAGATCAGACTCAAGCGATACCAGAGCTCATGGAAATTCTTCCTGGAGCGAAAGAAGGACCGCATTCGCTATATTGAGCTCTACAAGAGATCATTGCCCAACTGTAAATGGTTGACGCCACTGACCAAGAATGAGAAGACAGAGTTGGAGTTGCTCGAGGACAAGCTGGTGTATGAGGACATCATCTTTTATCGATCATTGGCCTACGCTGAGATCAAGAAGGAGTCGGAGAAGAACAAGATCAGGACCGATTACCTGGACACTAAGAAGTCTGAGCGAGGCTTCGTTCAGAACTTGTTTGGATGGGGTCAGCGCCAGACTGACGAAAAGGAGGCGCCGCTGGTCAACCTGTCCAACGAGGAGAGAGACGAGTTGTATCGAACGATTGAGTACTCCGAGGTGATCGAGTCAGCTGAGGAGCCTCCCGAGTGGGTCAAAGTTGTGGCTGACTTGGCGATCAAGTCGATACAGGTACAGCTGGTCGAGAACGACACACCATTCGTCCATGCAGCGCTGACATCATTGGGTGCGTGTCTGAAGCAGAGGAAGGAGGGCATTCAACTGTTCGCCAGCCTCCATCAAATCGCAGTGTTTGATCAACACACACAGAACACCCTCTATCCCAAGGTCATCTACTCCACCTCGTCCGACAACAACAACAATAACAAGTTCTTGACTGCAGCCGTCGACACTGGACCCTCTGACAAGACAATGGACGTGTCTGTGGAGCTCAACGTCGAGCCACTACAAGTGGTCGTGTCTAGAGACCTGGTCATGAAGATTGTGGACTTCTTCAAGAGTCCAAAGTCAGTCGATTTGTCCAACATCTCCAACATTGCTGGCGACTACATCGACAGTGTCGCCGAGAGAACCAAGATGCAGCTTCAGAACGCACTGGACACCCACAAGGTGCTGGGTCTGTCGGTGAAGATTCAAGCGCCCGTCATTATCCTGCCCGAGAGTGTCAAGACTCCCACGGCCAATGCACTCATTCTCGATCTGGGCAGTCTGACGGTCAAGTCCGACCCTGCCAATCAGAACATCAAGGGCAAGGTGGTGTCGAACACATCCGAGGAAGGCTTCTACGACAAGTTCAACATCTCGTTGGAATCGATTCAGTTGCTGTTGGTCAACGATACCAAGTCATGGAATGACAAGAGGGTGCAGATTGAGCAGAAGACACACATAATCGACAAGTTTGATGTGCACCTCCAGATACACTCGTGTGTGCAGCAAGACAGCATCACATTGACTAAGCTCAAGGTGCATGGAGAGCTGCCTCAGCTGAGCATCTTGGTCTCAGACTCCAAGATCAAGCAGTTGCTATGCATGGCTGAGACCATGGCCGCAGATTGGAAGCAGCCCGCCCCAGCTGTCTCATTGGCAGATCATCCAATTGTGCCCTCGACAGTGGTCACCAGGAGCAAGGTTATTGATGTGCTATCACAACAATCTGACGACCAGAACAAGGCTAGCTCAAGCTCAATCGAGACTTTGATCAATCATAAGAAGATCAGCTTGCACTTCAAGGTCACAAGGATATCGGTCACAGTGTCACGTGAGTCAATCAATCTCATATGTCTCTCTGTTCATGGATTGGATGTAGCATTCGCACTGAGGACATTTGATGCAGTTGGCAAGGTCAAGTTGGATCGTCTCGACATTGATGACCTGTACACACAGTGCAAGCTGAAGAAGCTAGCAACCTCCAATCCATCAAAGGACCTTCATGGCGTCTCCAACAACACATCACTTGTCCAAGTCAACTTCAAACAATTCCAACCAGTATGTACATTCAATCAATGTAGAGTGATGACATGACTAACAAACAACCCTCTCAACTATTCCCAGAACTCTCCGGAATACAAGAAGATTGATATGACGTTGGACGTCAACTTCCAATCATTCTACTTGGTCTGCAATCCAATGACCATCAAGCAACTGCTCATTCTTGCGCTGTCCTTTGAGTCCAAGAAGTTACCTGATGTGTCTGGCAAGCCAGGCAATGCCAGTCCATCTATTGCCTCGCAGCCCACCACACCTGCCAAGCAATTGGCAACACCAAAGAAGAGACTTCCAAGTGAGTTCATCGCAATCCAGGTGACAGCCAGCATCAATAGTTTAGGAGTGCTGTTGAACCAGGAGGATGACAGTCGTCTTGGTGTGTTCTCAATCAATGAGATCAACGTGTCCACCACCATGTTCAAGGACACCAGGATGTCAGTAGCCGGCTCATTGGGTAGCATTGTTGTAGAGGACCTCACCGATACCCCTTCGCTCTACAAGAGAATCATTGCGCCACACGACGAGCATGAGTCAATGCTCAACTTTGGATTCAACACACATCCCAAGCACCTTGCCAACTACAGTGGCTTTGACAGCTCGTTCAACGCCAACATCAAGTCAATTGTGATCAACACTCAGCTTGGATTCATCATGCAAGTGCAAAGCTATGTCCTGGGAGGCATGCTTGACCCGATCCTGAACAAGCCAAAGCCTGCGATTGCTGAGACTGGACCAAACAAGGACAAGGAGGACCCACAACAACAACGTGTGGACCTTGCCCAGGTGGTCAGTCGTTTCAAGCTTGATGTGGTCGTCCAGACACCAATCTGTCGCATTCCACAGTCATCTACATCGTCAAACCTTCTCAATATTGAGTTGGGCAACATCATCGTGTCCAATGGATTCATTGACCATCAGGTTACCAAGCAGCCAATGGACATCATGACTGTGCGTCTTGAGTCGACCAACATCACCATCGTGGAGAATGAGAAGCAGACCAGCTTCCTCAAGAAGTTCAACTTCAACGTTGGCATCAATCGATTCCTGTTGCCCAATCACAGCATTGATGTGGAGGACCTGCTCATCGACCTGAGCGTGTCCAACATCAACTTCATCCTGACACAGGACCAGATCGAGTTCTTCCTCACAATGGCTGATAGTCTTGTTAGGGAGCTTGGTGATGCGACCAAGAAGCATTCGTCAGCAATGCCTCCTCAAGCCACAGCACTTCCCTCCTCTCCACCAGGCACTCTGGAGCCAATCAAACCAATGGGCAGGGACCTGCTGGTGCTGAAGCTTTCGCTGCCAAGCATTGGCCTGGCCATCCAATCTCCCGAGACTTCCATTGCCACACTCGAGTTGAAGAACATATATGTTGACTTTAGGACGTCATTGAACCAACGCACCAAGCTGCAGGCGACACTCGAATCAATCCGTGTCACAGACGACCGTGAAGCCTCTGAGAACATCTTCAAAAATCTCCTCGAGAACTACCCGACCAAGAAGGGAACTTTGGTGCCATTCATCCACTTTGGCTACATTCGCGACAACCTCTCAGGTGACCAGTTGTTGAACATTGAGGTCAACAAGCCATGTCTGTTCGTCTCGCCCACACCATTCATCATGATTGCCGAGTTCTTCATGCAACCACTTCAGGCACATCAGAAGAAACAACTACGCGTGCCAGAGCCCATTGCTGATGAGGCCTTGGCAGTAGCAGTTCCAGAGCCAGGTGCAGCGGTCGTTGTTCACGACAAGGAGCAAAGGGTGCCCACGATCACACTCAACTGCTCGCTAAAGGCCGAGATGACTCTGGTTGAGAACGAGACACAGCCAAACACAAGGTGCATCACAGCCAAGACCAAGGTCAAGGTCACATTCAAGCGACTATCGAACGGCGCTGAAGAGGCAACAGTATCAGTAGTCAAGACCAAGGTGGACATATTTAGACCATCAGATATGTCCGACATGGAGCAGAACACAGCGCAAGGCTCACAGCGCCCCGTTCAGATCCTCAAGCCAATCGAGATGCTTCAAGTCCAATACTCCAAGTCATTGGACACCCTGACCCAGAAGTGGAAGCAATCGATCAACGTCTCATCAACAATCATCAAGCTGTTCTTCTCTTACGATGATATCAACACAATGTTGAAGGTCGCTCAGAACTTGAGTGCACAACAACAGCAACAACGACAACAGAAGTTACGAGCTTTGGACAGGTCGCCTTCCTCTCTGAGCGTCAGCTCAATGTCATCAATGGCGTCCAGCGCCAACTCTGACTCTCTGGCCACACAGTCAGCATCGACTGCACCCTCAGACGAAGAGAGGATATATGACATTAACGAGATACTTGACTTTAAGTGCCCATCAATCAGCATCCTACTCATCAACGAGTCATCTAACATGCACCTGCCCATTGCAGAGCTGTACATCAAGGAGCTTGGCGCAAAGGTCACCAACTGGTCGTCCAACATGGAGCTCACAACTAGCATTGCTCTCAAGTCTGATTACTTCAACGAGAGCATCATGAAGTTTGAACCATTCATCGAGGACTGGTCATTCAGGGTCGAGCTCAAGAAGGATGGACGAAAGATGCGCGCTGCATTCATCGCTACTCAGTGCATGCTCAATGTGAACATATCACACGCCCTGCTCCAAACATTGGCCACAACCGTCACACTGATCAAGGCCAAGGACAAGGAGAACAACACATCCCTGGGCAAGAGTCTCATGACTAGCAACACATCACTGGCAAAGTACATGAAGGAGGAGAAGAAGAGACTGCCAAGCATAGAATCACCAACATCTGCTCGTCGACTCCAGGACAAGTTCCAATCGCACTGGATCATGAACATGACAGGTGATATGATCGCCTACGAGGTGTTCATTGAGTCGGAGGACAAGCACGACCCGACCAGGATCACACTCGAGAACGATCAATCGCAGCCCATCCACATCAAGACGTCAAAGAGCCGTGAGGACTCCTCGATGGGTACCAACGCCAAGCTCAACATCTTCTTGCCCAATGGCTCTCGGGTAAGCTCGGTGATGCTGGATGCCATTGGTCATCGACTCTATCCACTGGAGATCTCACAAACACATCAAGAGGTTGATGTAGAGTGTCGTCTACAACGCGATGGCAGCAAGATCATCCACATTCGCTCATTGGTTGAGTTTGTCAACTCATCATCCCTGCCCATCCATGTCAAGTGGGACGAACAACCCAACGACAAAGCCGTGGTCTTGCCCTCTAGTGGTCGCTGCTCACTGCCACTCAAGTGCTTCAACAGCTTCAAGAAGCTCTACATCAAGTTGGTGGACTCACATCATTGGTCTGATGCAGTTGTCGTTGCCGACCTGCTGGCAATGTTCAAGAAGGATCGCGAAAAGGAGAAGGCCAAGGACAAGAACGTGATCAATCGACCCAACAGCCGAACGTTCAAGATAGTCGATCGTGCTGACAATCCGGCATACATGGCCATATCTGTGGTCAATGAGAAACACCAGTTTGCGCCACATATCATCCATGAGAGCAAGGATTTCCAGACGATATCATTCTTGGCCCCTGTCCAAATCGAGAACCTGCTCCCAATCCCATTCACATTGTCCATCAACAAGACGGCAACCAAGCTTGAGAGTGGCAGCAAGATTGACGTGTTCTCATACATCCCTGGTGGCGCAGCTCTCAGCGCCACAATCTCTGGCATTGACCACTTCTCGGACGCCACTCAATCACTCCTATCTGGCGACTCGTCGTCCGTTGCCAAACACTTCAAATTGCATGGCAGTGGAGGAAGCAAAGACAGCCGTGAGATTGTTTTGGAGATTGAGAAGATCGAGGATGTCAAGGGTGTGAGGATGCTCGCCATCTACTGTCCCTACTGGTTGGTCAACAACTCCATGCTCGACCTCGTTGCCAAAGGTGATGGATTCACTGTGGACATTCCAACCAATAACTACTCAGTCATGAACTCGCCAATTCTCTATCATGACAGCTCTATCCGTTTGAGAGTCAAGAGTGACGCCAGTAGCAGCAGTAGCAGTGGCAGTGCCACCAAGTTGAAGTACTGTGCATCGACACCCATTGTCACAGTTGGACACACTGGATCACTTAGTCTACCCAGTTCCAATGGAGACAAATCCTATGCCGTATCATACACTGTGGACTTCTGCCACAACAGCAAGTTTAGATTGAGCAAGGTTGTCACATTGTCTCCACGCTACGTCGTCCAGAACAAGCTGGACTGTCCCATCCAATTGTATCAGACCACCAAGCCAACCAGCAAGGAGTTGATGCACTTGCAACCGAATGAGTTCAAACCACTCCACTGGCTGCCATCCGATGAGGACGAGCAGAACCTCTGCTTCAAGACAGCAAAGTCACGCGATATGTCTGGTGCCTTTGCCATTGACATGGTTCAAGACCTTGTGCTCAGACTCCGTGGTCGTTCAGTTGCCGATGACATCATGGCCAACATCAGCATCAAGGAGGAGAAGGGTACCAACTACATCATGATCAATCACATCAGCATCGAGCACCCGCCCTACCTCATCCAGAATGACACGCCCTTCAAGATATCATATCAGCAGAAGTGTGATAAGGAGAACCCTGCCGACCAAGATATTCTTGAGCCTGGCCATAAGCGACCATTCGCTTGGGACGACCCCTCTGGCGCATACATCCTCAACGCATTCGTCGATGGCATGCCACTAAAGAAGCAGCTCAAGCTCAAGAAGATCACGTGTTATCGCATCAAGTGGGAGCAGAATCACTCCATCTACGTGACCATCACGGTTGAGCGATCAAGCCGCGTGGTTATGTTCTCCACACATAGCCACAAGTTCCGCCAGGTCAAGAACTGGAAGGAGAACTGCAACACCAAGGTGGACAGCGAGTCGTCTGCCATGCAGTTGTTCGTGCGCATGTCTGGCATAGGCCTGTCAATCATCGATCAGACGCCCAAGGAGCTATGCTATCTCTCACTTCAGGAGCTGTTCCTTCAGATGGATCAGTCCGAGTTTGAGCAATCACTCGAGGTCAAGATTGGCGACATTCAGATTGACAACCAGTTGGTGCGCACAGAGTTCCCCGTCCTGCTGTACAGCGTCAAGAAGCCAGACAATCCAAAGGACTTCCTGCACATGTCAGTCATCAAGTCGTCCTTTGACGACATTGATCACTTTAGATACTTCTCCATACTCATCCAAGAGATGATGCTCGAGGTTGAGGACCATTGGCTGAAGCAGGTACTGGACTTTGCCACATCCCTACCCGACTTTAACAAGAGTGCATCGTCCGCTCAGTCACAGGCATCCTCTGCACAGTACGACCACAGTGATCTGTACCCTGTGTTTGACTTGAAGCCACCCGCTCAAGACTCTTCTTCATTGAGGATGGTTTACTTTGCCCTGCTGGTGCTCAACCCCATTATGGTCAGCATCACACTCTCACTTCAACCTGACGGTCTGTTCAAGACGGACACCAAGATCCTGAGCTCCATCGAGGGACTTGGCTTCACGCTCACCAAGCTAGACCGCGCGCCAATCTCACTGCAGGGTCTGTTCATGCAGCATCCATTCTCGTCCTGGAGTACCCTTATCGACAAACTCAAGTCAACATACATCAAACAAGCGTTGCGACAGTTCTACAACATCCTTGGCTCAGTCGATGTGATTGGCAACCCAGTCGGACTCTTTAGGAACTTTGGCACAGGTGTCCAGGACTTCTTTGTCGAGCCCGCTCAGGGGCTTGTCGAGTCGCCAGCAGCATTCGGCAAGGGACTGGCCAAGGGCACGACCTCCCTACTCAAGAACTCTGTCTATGGCACATTCAACTCAATCTCAAAGATCACTGGCACAATCGGTTCAGGAATCGCAACACTCTCCTTTGATGACAAGTATCTCCAGGAACGCAAGGCACAAAATGCAAAGAAGCCCAAGCATCTTGGTGAGGGACTGGCAATGGGTGGCATCGGTCTTGGCAAGGGACTATTCCAAGGTATCACTGGCATCGTCACCAAACCAATCGAGGGCGCCAAGAGAGACGGAATGGCTGGACTGGCCAAGGGACTGGTCCAAGGTGTGGTCGGCGTTGCAGTCAAACCAGCCACGGCTGTAATAGACATGACGACCAAGGCCACTGAGGGCATCAGGAACACGACCAATCTACACGAGACCAAGGACAGGAGCAGGCCACCCAGATACTTTGGCGCTGATCAACTACTCAAACCATTCGAGATGGACGAGTCGACTGGATGGTTCCTGCTCAAGTCAAGTCACAAGGGCAAGCACTCACTGGACAACTACTTCTGGCATTGCGAGGTCAACGATGAGTGCACGATCATACTGTCAGATCAGCGACTGATCTACCAAAAGACCAAGAAGAGCATACTTCAGAGCAACTTCCTCTTCCAAATACCCTACACGTACATCAGTGCCAAGGAGACAATGTACGATGACAAGAGGAAGGGAATTGTGTTGAAGATGCACACGCCAATTGATCTCAGTCTGATTGAGCGATCAGTGACACTCAAGCTCATACCTGTCAAAGATGGAAATATCGCCACTTTATTCAAGGTGAAGCTAGATTATGCCATGGCGATGATGAATGCACAACCCACAACCATTACATCACCAACATCATCATCGTCGGCAACCAACAAACAATAGACTATTTCCATTGCATGGTCAAACTAAACTAAAAACGACGATTAGATTGCAAGATGGTGGATCATGAGTTGTTCTTCTTTGCTGCAAGTGCAGTCAAAGGTGGGGGGTTGGCATTCATTCGCCTGTTGTCATGCATGGGCTCAAATTAATTAATCACGTTGCGGGTAGGGAGATGTGTGATAGGGTGTTGGGGTGAGGTAAGGTCCCTTCCTTTGATTGCAGCTACAATAATCACGCGTCGCACAATTAAGCATCGCACCGTCACCTTGCATTCATTCATATATCATACTTTCACTCTCTACTCCTACATACATATATGTACATAAAACAATTAAAGAGTAACTAACTAGAGAATATTTATTATACCTTTTAGTTAATTTATTATTAAGTTGGATAGCTCATTCAATCAAACAATATCAATCAATCAATCAATATCAATCAAATAATCGATCAATATAGGTAATAGTCAATTTATAATGTTGTCACTGTAACATTTGTTGAAACAGTAGGACGATATTCCAAACTACTGTTACTCTATCACAAACATCATTCATTCAATCAATCAATCAAACATACTCAATCAATCAAACATACTCAATCAAACAAACATCATTATAATTATACTCCATTAAACACAACAACAACAACAACAATAGAATAATAATATGCATTTATATCATAGAGGTACAATCAATTATACACTACCAGTGTTATTGATTAATAAGATACTGTCATTGGTGATACATAGCTTCAAGGTGAATCAATCATTGTATGGACCAGTGGAGACCACCCGACATATACTCAATCTGGCATTGATATCCAAGGAGTTCTTTCATTTCATCTCGGCACACTTCCAATCGATCAACCTATGCAGCATGAACAAATCATTCTCCAACTTCCATGTACATCAATCCAACCAATACTGTCTGGTCAAGATGATCACACGGCTCGAGATCAACTCGATTGGCCTCGATGCATTGGTCAGCGGCCTTCTAGACTATGACCATATGGGCCGATCGTTCCTCGCCACCATTGAGCACCTGACACTTCGCCACGACCTCAAGGTCGGTCAGAGCGATGTGAACATCGTCGTCGCCACGCAGCAGATGAAGAGCCTGCGATCGCTCAAGTTCTACGACATGACCTATGGACGCGTGCGCTGCGACCTCTTGCTCTCGTTCCATTGTAACATTCACAAGATATCGTTGCACAACGTGGCCGACACTCAGAACATGTCCGCCTTCCTTGAGATGCAGACCTCCATTCATTCTCTAGCCCACCACTCCAACTTCTCAAACATGACCGACGCGATCAAACTCCGTCTGGAGCGGGTGCTCGTGTGCAACCAGGACACTCTGACCAAGCTGACGCACTGCTTTGGATACCACCTCCGTCTGCCGCCTCGCGAGCGCATCAGCAAGCTCTCGCTGCTCTCGGACAGCTTCTCGCCCAGCTCGCCGCAGTTCATCGAGTATCTGCACCGGACGTACCATCTGCGCAAGCTGGTGCTGACCTTCTTTGGCAACTACTCTGACTACAACCTGTCGCATCTGAACAACTGTGTGTCGATCGAGAAGCTAAAGCTGCACATTCACAAGTACGACACGCGCTATGTGTCGATCATCTTCTCGATACCATCGATCAACAAGCTCATAATGTCCATCTATCACAAGGATCAGAATGAGGTGGTCTCACTCGATGACAACTACACCGTCAAGGCCATTGGCAAATCATACTCAAGGAAGCAATATGTAATCAAACGAACAACTCCGCATCCAAACAGCAGCAGCTTGGTCATGGCGCCTCCATCCCCATCATCAACAACGATATATATTCCAGAACATCCAACATCTTTCCAGTCACAACAATCGAGTGTCAACACAACATTATGAGAGACCAGGAGGTTCCAAACATGCTGCTACGGCAGAATGATTTATATAAAGTCATTATATTATTATATGTAGAAGTTTGATAATCTTATACGATCACCATCGACTAGACCAATATCTATTGGTGATCTAGATCTATCGCTTATCATTCCTTTGCGACATAGTATATATCTTGGCCATTGAGTACAGTGATCCTCACACTGCATCTCACTAGTATGTGTACATATACCATAATGCTTTGTCAACTCCTTTGAAATATTATTGAATGGAGTATATCTACATATAGTCAATCTGACTGTTTGTGAACTTGCCTGTTTAGTAGTAGTATTAGTTAGTATGAATGTTGAGTCGACGAATATTATTAGGCTGTACATACGAAATGGAATCCATTAAACTTTAGGTCGAATGTTAATGATATCATTGAGACAGACTCGATGTAAGAGTCCTTCCAACTCTTTGTCTCCTCCTTATTTGTAATTGAATTGTTCAAACAATATAATCTCCAAATAAATTCACTATTTCCAATCCTATTCATTAGTTTAGATACTAATGCCATATTATCTATTTGATTGATTGATTGATTGATTTATTATTAGTTTAAGGAATTGATCAAGATACCAATCGAACAACTTACACCAATCTTTGACATTGTCAATATAATGATACAGTGTTACAAGTAACTCTTCTGGTAATACAGTTAAATGCATTATATTCTAATTATTATTATTATTATTACAAGTAATAAATTTGTATATATTTAAAGGGAAGTAGACTTTAACGATTTCATTTAGAATGATACGTTTATATTCAAGTAATAATCAACCACCATCCAAGAGGAGGTTCTACAATGACGGTTATCGTTAGACCGAGAACAGTCGATTGATTTTGGATTGATTCTCTCTTTAGGCCCCAACAACCACATCACCCACAACCACTCTCTGTCTCACATCTTCATTATTATCTCAATTAACAATAATAATATTAATTTTTAATTATTGTTTCAGTTCCCGATTTATTGAACACCACCAACTAAAGATTCAAATCTAGTAATAACTATTCCTTTTTTATCTGTTCAAAACATATATTAATTAGACCCTATGTTGTTTGGGTGCCGAAAGCAAACAGTCAAACTTGACACGACTTTAGTGTAGCATGAGTGTGTGTTAGGTTATGGGCAAGGAAAGGACAACACGGTGATTGTCCAGACACTTTGAAAAACTCGAAAACCTTCTGACTGTTATCTTTTGGCTCAGTGAGATATGTATGATGAATGATTAATGATCAAACACACACTGATCGGTTCAGTGATCGTGTGTACAGCGGGCATTCTTGGTCCAGCCTAAACCCACACATATTCAATATTCCCGCCCGTAACTCAATAGCATTGCTTCAACTTTGACTAATGTTTGCTGTGTCTCTCTCTTTCGCTCTTTCTCTACCCTCCCTCACTTTGGTGTAACACGCTCATTGCTCAACTGTATCACCTATCTTTATCCTTATCTTTATCTCTCTTTTTAATGTTATGTTTGCATTTCTCGATAGTCGACAACAAACACCAAGTAGGCTGATCTACTCTTTCTTTCGTTCGTTCGAATAATCAATCAATCATATACACAGCTAGTGGCCACTTCAACAACACATTCAACATCAACAAAATACATTTATAGAATATACAGACAGACAGACAGATAGATAAACATATATAAACAACACACAACTGTAGTAATCCAGGAATCAAAAGTGAATCGGTAAGTGTAGCTAGCCAATGACCCATCGCCAGTCAGCCACTCCAACATCACACAAGTGCAAGAACATTCTTGTAAGAGACACAATGAGCATAACGCAACGAATGAATGAATTCATTGGCATTCTTTATCCAAAGATACATATTCATTCCATTGATCACTCACTCACTCCATCATTCACACTTGAGAGTGAGACAAACACACAACACAACACACACCAACACTGTTGATCAAAATACCACCACAATCGATCTTAAATCTGAACGAACAGATACAACACATCACCACAACCACCCACCCACACACATACCTCTTACCACCATGTGTTTGTTGCTTATTTGGGTTGACCAGAGAGAGAGAGTGTGTGTGTTCCAAATTTGTACATTGATCCAGAGGACTGCAGTTAGAGCATGTGTTTGTTTGTGATAACACTAGTGATTGTGATGGATTGTTATTGATTATATGTTGGTTGTGGTGTAATGGTATTAGTAGTGCCCCTCATTGTACAAGTAATATATGTTTATGTTTATGTTTATGTATATATTTGATTGATTAACATATATAGTAGTAGGTAATTACATCTCTCTCATTCACTCAATCGATCAATCAATCACTTACAGTCAGGTGACTTCAATCCATTTCATTCCATTCCTTTATATTCACTTCCAATCACATCCAAGCAATTACTTTATTTATTCATTCATCCAACCAATCAATCATCCAATCCATATCATCTAATCAATCAAACAAACAAACAAACAAAGATGTTGTCCACAATGCAACCAAACACTGACACTTTACCACCTAATGGTGTCGCTCCAATGTGCAGAGGTGAGAGTATTGTAGCAAGGAAAGCAGCATCAATGGTATCATCCATAAAGGACCAACAAACAACTCAACAAGATGTTGATCAACAACAACAACAACAACAACAGGCACTGTTGATGGCGACCATGCAGAGTCGCCAAGAGAGATTTCGAAGAGCTGACAGCATAGCCATCTACAAGTCCAAGCGTGGCATGGTTTCACAAGCAGTATATGACGAGCCCCAAGTTGACGACGACCAGGAAGACGACTCATATCTCGAAGAAGATGAACAACATGCTACATCAACATCAACATCCACGACCACTACCATGGCTACCACCACGACTACGACGGACGCGCAGACTCAGGAGCAACTGGAAAGGAACCCACTGTCAATTTCACAAGACCCTGGATTGATGATGAGATCTCCATCATTTGGCTCGGATCAATCAGAGATTGGCTATGATGATCATCCAGTGTACAAGACAATTTCAAAGCCATACGATTCTGATCTGGTCAAGCCAATCACCAGTCCAATTCCCAACAGACCAGTGTTCCAAGTGGATACTTCGGCTGAGCACGAGCTCATCAATCACTCACTGATCGCACTGCGTACATCGATCAGAGTCGGCAGTGATGACATCACATCCATGGATCAAAGTGAGTTTGAACTGATCAAGCGTTACAAGATATCAATCGCTGAGAAGAAGACCACTGTCAAGGACTTTGCCCCCAACGTCTTCCAAGACCTTAGAAACAGAGCTCAAGTACATTCCACTGCATTCTTGGTATGTGTGTCACTAAATGGAATCATTCCAATCAATCATCAGTTACTAATTCCATCATTCAACTCAAATAAACAATATTAGAAATCCTGGTCATCATATGTATCGAGCGAGACACCATCCAAAGTACCAAACACATTCACCATCTACTCATCAGACAGAAGGTACATACTAAGGACAATATCCAAGTCACACTCGATCAAGATAAGAAAGTTACTGCCTCATTATTATAACGTATGTCGTCCTGTCATAGCCGCGGCGGCACAACCTATACTGACAGACACACATACTTTAGTACCTGGTATACAATCCCAATGCAATGTTATCACGCTACCTTGGACTGTTCAGAGTTGAGAAGAGACAAAAGCAGAACTTCTATGTTGTACTATTATTGAACCCATTTAACACCTGTTGCAATGTCGATCAGGTCGTATCCACCAAGGCTGTAAGTATTACCTTTCATTGATATTGATTGATCGATTGATCGATTGACTAATATGTGTTATTCCAGAATGGTGCCGAATACCTAAAGAACAAGCTATCACACCGAAAGATTCATCTGGATCCAACGCTAAAGAGTGCACTCTATAAGCAGATGGAGAAGGATTCAACTGTATGTCCATTGCAAACATCTGCCATGATTGGAGGTGCACTGACTAACAATCAAACACACAATTTAGTTTCTTTCATCACATGATCTAGTTGACTATAACATGATCATTGGAATCAATAGAGTGGACAGTGGAAATGAGATGTTGGAGGTGATCAAGGAGCATGATCCACTGCCAATCATACAGTTTGATACGCCAATCATCACAACCACTACCACCAATCATACTGATATGACCATGTCCAGTAGTCAAACATCCAATTCACAATCACCAAACAACTATGTGGCGCCGATCATCATGGATGCATCCTCATCATCGTCCACATCATCATCAGCATCCTCGTCTGCCGCCAACATCTCTGGTGAGCTTTCATCATCACTTGATGGTGGCATGTCATCCAACAACACCATCGTCGACCCAATCAAGACAAGTATGATCCATCACGCATCATGCATCACAATCAATCACATATTTACCATACCAACACTCATTCAAACAATTTACAGTTCCACGTCTTTTGTTCTTCCTGGAGGAGATTGAGTGCATTACAAAGTCCAATAACTACTCGATTGGCAAGTCGCTGAAGAGGTCGTTCATATCACTGCCGCGAACATGGTCATTCGACGATGTTGTTGATGATAGTGACATGCTGAATGCGACCAAGACACCACCAGCCATCCCAAGCTCACCAACGGCCAGTGCACCAAACTCACCAGGTCTCTTCACATCTGTGCCCAACGGTGGTCTCAGCAGTTCGCTTCAAGTACCAATGGGTCTATCAAACACTCCAGTGTCACCACTGGTCATGTCCTCATCCAGTGTCCTACTGGGCTTCCAATCCAATCGTCGTTGTAAGAATGGCTTCTACTCTGACAATGGCCACGAGATCTATTACTTTGGCATTGTGGATATCTTTGCGAGTGTGGACGTGTCGACAACAACAAATACCACAGCCACCTCGACATCGACATCATCATCGGCGACATCATCACCAGCTTCATCATCACCTGTATCAGCATCACCAACATTGGCACATAAGAGAGCATCCTCATCCACCGCCTCGTCTTCATCACCACTGTCACTTGTGTCCAAGATGAAGCTACAGACCTCAGCATTTAGCAGCAGTGCCAACACATTCCTTCGCAAGTTCCTCACCTATGCCAAGAGTATCATGTTCATGGACACCAGTGTACTGTTGATCAACAGCAGTACCAGCAAGAGTATGAGCAACCTGTTGCGCACAAACAGCACCGTAGGCTACTCTCCAAGATAAACCAAACCAAATAAATCATCTGATTGATTTATTTCCGGCATAGTCGACACATGTCATTATTATTGGATGGAGAACTTTTGATTGAAGTCATTCTTGATATGATGTGTGGACAGTTCCAAATGGTTCTCCAGGACCTGGCGACACTGATCAATCGCATCTTGCATCTTCTTTTTGTCCTTCTTCTTGCTCATCTTTTGTGTCATTAACAACATATTGTAGTCCTCCACATAGAAATGAGGTATTATCTCCTTGGGATAATCAAATGCCTCGTTGGTTGTCTTCCACACACGTTCGATTGCTTCAGGTATCTTTGCATAATCGCCATGGGTGACCAGTAGGCAGGCGTGTGCCCGTTGGTGGAATAGTATCACCATACTATTCGCCTTGAAGAAATGACTGATGATATCCATGACCGATGGATACCCATGTCTTACTAGTGATGGGGCGGATCTGACCATCTGCTCGGTCACCTCAAAGAAGGCCGTCACCATGACATGTCCATTGCGACAGACGTTCACACGGCCATCAAAGTCCAACCTGGGTATAGGCTCCCAAATCTTCATGTCGCTCCTGCCAATGTCCGAGTGACATTTCGGACACACATAGTCCGTGTAGTCCGAGCTACACCGGCTGCATGTGCAATAGGATGACTGCATATTGATCAGGTCCTCTATCCTCTCGGCTCGGGTGAGGGTGGGGTTCACAGAGAAGGAGGTAATATCATCGCCAGCTTTGATCGGTCGGATGGCGCGGAAAACCAACATACCATTGGAATCGGTGAACCAGTTGCAGTTGAAATGGCATGAGTGCTTGATGTAGGTCTCTGATGGGAACATTCCACGAGCATACCCTCGGTTGTGTGGAGTCTCGAGGTACTCGCGTGAGTTCTTTGAGAGATTCCTGACGATATTGTCGACATGTTGTCGGTCAACCTTTGAAAGGGAATCTGCGCCAAGCTTGGTGACAAACAGATTGATCATACCATCGACACATTCATCCTGATTCGGAGCGCTGCCCTTGTTCTTTGCCGACGATGGGACAAAGACATGATCGAAATCCTCCAATGTGTCATATATGAATGGCTTGCCATCCTTGCGCCATGCTGTAGGAGTGTTCAATCTGTTTGCCTTGCCCTCCAAGTGTTGGATAACCTTCAAAACAGTACGTATTTGGAATCGAAAGCCTGTAGTCTCTTCATTTCGATGGTATTGGAGCATGTAAGCCAGTAGCTCGCACTCCCTAGCATGCTCCTCGATGACCACCTTGTCCTGGTTACATGTACCACAAAGAGTGTTGTTCTGGCACTTGGGGCAGATCACATACTTGCAAACTGATTGATTGATTGATGTAATCGTGAGTGATTGAATCGCGTTGGTCACTGATGTGTGACACACTTACAGCTGATGTTGCGCAGACATGATGAGCAATGAGTGAACTTGGCGGCATCCAAGAGGACGGCAGAGAATGGTGCAATACGTAACACAATGGTACCCTTGGGAATGTCTTTGGACGCGACTAGTTTGGCACCTTTGAGTGAGTCCCACTCCAAGTTGACTGGGAATGCTGAGAATGATGTGTCGTTGGTGATCCTCTCACGTGTGTGCACACGATTGGCTGCGTTCTGTCTTTGATCCAACAGGATATTTTCCAACTCTTGCTTGATGTCATCTTTGATTGGACTGTTCTGACTGGTAGCCAATCTCGCGCCTTGTTGATAGTTGGCCGCCGCCTGATCAGTCTTGCCGAGTAGCTGTAAAGCCTCACCCAGTCTGAAGTAGGCCTTGACGTTGGAGTCGTCGTAGGCCAGTGACTTTTGAGCCGCCGCAACCGACTCGGGAATACACAGTTGCTTGGCGTAGGCCAAAGATAGGTTGCTGCCAATGACCGAGACCAACTTGCGCATGTGTTGCTTGTCAGCGTCAGATGACGCCGCACTTAGTGATATAGCGTGCTGTTCATAACATTGAATAGCAATAGTATAGTATGATATTGAGAACCAGTAGTACTGTTGAGAGTACGAGTCATTGCCCAACTTCTTTAATGACTCCATACGATCGATCACCTGCTTGGCCGTCGTGTACTTTGGTTGTGGCACCTCGTCAGGTTCTACCTTACCACCTGCCATCATCGTATCGATGAACCTTTTGAATAAGCCATTATAATACATTGGCTTCAACAGTGGAGGACCACCCATAAATAATGTGTCCATTCTATCTCTTTATCTGTATGAATATATATTTATATCTTTGATTGACTAGTTTGTGTCTTTCTTCGTTTTTCAATATCTTCATACTGTGTGAGACAAAGATTATGAAAGACATCACCACCCCTCAATGGAACTATTCCGTCACATGATCATCATCCTAATCTCAATTTGATACTTTGAATAAGAGAGAGTGTCATTCAGAAGTTAACTTAATATTTTTTGTTTGAATGATATGATTACACAAGTTGAATTGAGCGTTCATTACCTTTTAAAGAGAAGTTGACATGATACTTCAAGAGATCATTGAAGGGATAAGTCTATCTATATTTCTAATTCCTTTTGAAATTGATTGGTTGCCTAAAGGGGTACCCCCACCGGTTCTTGAACTTCTAAGAATACAACTTGTCTCTCTTCTCTTTGTGAAAGCACATGAAAATTGGCATCAAACCCAAACTGTTGAGCCAAACTCAATACTCTATCATTCATTTTAGAATTAGCACTCATACTTGCATCAACAATATAATTATATTACTCATACATATTATAAAAAATATTAATAATTAATTATACATTAAAATGGGAGGTGAATATGAGTTCAGATTGAACTCAAATAGACCTCTGGATGTAGAAAAGTACCAAGAGTATGTGATCAAACTACGTGATCAGTTTTATAATCATGAAGAATGTGTATTCTATTGAGAAGGAAAGGAAATGCCACATGATGATAATATCTTAGCAAAGTTCAAGTTTAAATGTGGTAGACATGCAAATTGGATAAATGATGTTAAACATGGTACTTGGAACATACTTTGGAATCCAACTTTAGATCCAGAATATGAATGTGATCATATCCATGGACGTTGTAGCCCCGCCACCTTCAAGACCGTTCACAATCAACTCAAAATGGCATTCCCAGGTAGTTTTTACGTCTATGATGCTGACCTCGAGGACTACCTAGCTGACTACAATGAAGAATATGAAAGTGATGGTGAACTTCCAGACTACACCGCCTGTGATAGTGAATGTGGATACTGTGGAAAGTGTGACTACTAGCCCCTGGCACTAGATTGGACAGACTAAGGAGATAGAAATGTTCTGGAAAATATCAAAATCAACAACAGCTGATCAAAAGTTGTCAGCTGATTGATCACATGACTGTTTTATTTGATCACGTGACATATTTACTTTTAAACAAATAATAATATATAAATGAATAAACAACAACAACAAGAGATACCTTGGACACTTCAGAGGAAGATTGTTGAGATATTATTAAAGGATGAGGTGATGCCCTTACTATGGAGACTTAGTCTTGGTTGCGTCTCTCGTAGATACTTTCAATATGTTACCGAACTGGTTGACTTTCAACATGGATGTGATGATGTTGTACAGGCTATTATCAAACCAGGCAGCACTCTAGAGGACATGATCGAACATGTGAAGAGACCTCTATGTCCCGTGAAGAACATACATGTCAAGGTTACACCTTTTGGCAATTGGTGGCAGAGTGTCAACTGTGTACTCGACAACCTTCGAGAGTTGGTCATTGGACCAATGTTAGATATGTGGGAGGCTGATGATCAGAACATAAGGATAAAGGACATACCCGTGTTGGAGACCCTGCCATCATGGCTGCCTCCAACTTGCTCGCTCAGTCTGGTCGATAGCCTTGCCCCATTTAATCACCCTCTGATGTCAAGACTCAACATACTATCAATCTCCATCTCAGAGGTGCATCAGCTTACGATCTTGGATGAGCTGGCCACCGTCATCATGAGCACACCAATCAAACTTAGCATCGAGAGTGGTTTGAGGTCTGAGTTGCTGACCACAATCATCAAGCACCCGTCACTCGTGGCGAGGATGACTGAGCTCAAGATCAATGGCTATTGGCTTCCAAATAGCCACGGTCGATACAGTGAATGGGACCACCACTCCATGACAGCACTTGGCCGCTTACACAACCTTGAGAAGCTGTCAATCATTCAAGCCATCACAGATCACCATGAAGCATTTCACACATCACTCGAGTCGCTCGTATCCCTGACCTTCCTTCATTTTCACTTGGACAAGAGTCATCCGCCCATCGCAGAGCTGGTCGCATCAATGTCACGAAATCATCGCTTGCGCAGTGTCAGCACCAATCATTATGCTTTACAAGATGTCAAGACTCCATTGCACTTTGATTTGGATCACATGACTTTGATGGGATTCTCTAGATTTGGAAGTGATCATCAGCTGGCCCCATTAGCACCTCAGACACGTATCCATAACCTCACGCTCTATCAAGAGAACAACAAACTTTTTGATCGATACATTCGCGAATGTCAATCAATCGACATACTCAGAATGCAATCGATTGTATACTTGGACTTCAAACTCATCCAGTCCAACCAATGTATTCGCTCACTAATGGTTAGCATTGTTAAAGATATTATAATCGATCCTATCGGATGGTTGAAGGAGCTGGCCGCACACCCATCACTAGTCAACATTACATTCGACTATAGTCGACATGAAGACCTCAGCTATCTATTCAAGCTACATGTAGGCACAGTCTACCATACCTTTAGTCTAATCAAGAGAGACTTGTCCAAGTACGATGGTCATCCTCCAACATTATGTTTCATCAGATGTTGTCCAAGTGTCGACCGAAAGTGATATGGAATTATTCTGGAAATTTATGATCACATGATCAGATAATCTGATCAGATGACCAATCATGTGATCATTTTATTCAATTACAACCCTTGTAATAATATTTATATATATATACATACATATAAACATGGAGCTTCCATGGATGATACATAGACATATAATAGAGTTATTATTGGTCGATGATATCCTTCCTTTACTATGGCGACTAAGATTGGGTCTGGTGTGTCGCAGGTACCTCAACTATGTGGCCGAACGACTAGACTGGCGCAACATCGATTGTAATCACATGTTGATTGGAGATTTCGACAAACATATGAACGATCCCTTGTGTCCAATGACAAAGATGCATCTTGTGATAACAACATCACATCTTAAAGATGAAGAATGGCCTCTATTGGAGAGATCAAACATTCGCAACAACCTTCATTCACTCACAATCAGTCCCATATGGATGCATGAGGATATGCCCCAGACTCTACGTCCTGCCGCGCTCGTCAAGCTTCCAACCTGGCTGCCACCCACCTGCAGACTCAATCTCAACAATATTCTAGTCAATGTTGAGCATCCTATAATGTCAAGAGTCAACACATTCACAGTGGTCGTGCATCGCGAAGCCCAACTAGAGTACCTTCGAGGGTTGGCCACCTTCATCCATAACACATCTATCAGAAGATTGGTCTTCACAAGTTTCAATCAGGTCGCCACACTGGCTGTACTCGCTGAGCATGAGAGTCTACTCTCGCTCACTGTTGAACTCGAGATTGAATACGGACGGCGACCAGACCCAGTTGGATGGAACAGTAACTCGATGGCCACACTTGGACGACTCAAGAACATCGAGACACTCTATCTCAATCCAATGATCCGTAATTATCAAGATGTGTTCATGGCATCACTAATACAAATGGAGTCACTGACGACGTTACAGGTCTATCTGGTCGGGTCAAACCCGGCCATCACCAAGACCCTTGCGTCCATGTCGCGCGGCGCAAGTTTGCGCAACCTATACATCGATCACATGATGATGTGCAATGTTGATACACCATTGCACTTTGACCTCGACAATCTGGAGATCAACTGTTCATCTGTTGGTCCGAATGACAAGTTGACACCGCTCACGCGTGGATCTCGTATACATCATCTCAGACTGTATCGTGGCTCACGTAACTTGATCAATCGATATATAACAGATTGTGAGACGCTCCATTCATTAAGTATGTCATCATTGGAGGACATTGATGTCAATGCCATACTGGACAATGATAGTATACGAGCGTGTTCATTTGGTTCAGCCACCAATGACATATCAATGGATCCCTTGACACTTTTGGAATCATTATCACAACACAAGTCATTACTATCAATCAAGTTTGAAGATAGTGTTTCCAAGCTAATCAATCGACACAAACTTATTGTTGGACAACATTATCACTCATTCCAATTGATCAAGTCTGGTATTGATCATCAGGAAAGACGATATGAGATGATTTTCATACGTTCATCCTCGTCATCATCGGTTAACATGTCTTTGAGGAGTAGCAAGGCTGATGAATCATGGATGAGTCTATTTGAATGAATAAACTTGTTTAATGATATCGATCAGATACCAGTTGCCCACTCACCAATCAGGGACAGGACCATGCTCCTTGTGCGTGTGAACAATCAAAACAAGTTCGCGAAATTGAACGCAACTTCACAACACCTGACTTCACTTTCAATCAACCATTCATTCAATCATTCAACAACAACATACATACTTAGAGATAGAGATAGAGAGATAGAGAGATAGAGATAGAGATAGAATGAACAAACCATTAGTAGAGTGTGTACCCAACTTCTCAGAGGGCAGAGATAAGAATATTATTGATGCAATTAGCAAGGCTATTAGTGATACACCAGGCTGTACGCTGTTGGATGTTGACCCAGGAAAGTCGACAAATAGAACTGTGTACACGTTTGTTGGTGATCCCGTGGCCATTGTGAACGGCGCTCTCAATGCCACTCGCGTCGCATTCAAGTTGATCGATATGACCAAGCACACTGGCGAGCATCCCCGCATGGGCGCCCTCGACGTCTGTCCATTCGTGCCAGTGCGCGACGTCACAATGGCCCAGTGCGTGCAGTGCGCCAAGGAGTTTGGCAAACGCGCTTCCGAGGAGCTGGGCGTACCCATCTTCTTGTACGAGGAGGCCTCCGATCGTGACTACAGGAAGCAACTCAAGCAGATCAGACAGGGCGAGTACGAGGGTCTAGAGAAGAAGCTGCAGGATCCACAGTGGGCCCCAGACTTTGGTCCAGCCAAGTTCGTGCCCTCCTACGGAGGCTCGGTCACTGGTGCACGTAACTTCCTTATCGCCTACAATGTCAACATCCTCGGCACCAAGGAACAGGCACACAGGATCGCCCTCAACGTTCGTGAGGCAGGCCGCAGCGACAATGAGCCAGGCCGTCTCAAGTTCCTCAAGGGTATCGGATGGTACGTCGACGAGTACAACATGGCTCAGGTGTCGATGAACCTGGACAACTACCAGGTGACACCACCACACGTCGTCTACGAGGAGTGCTCAAAGGACGCTCGCGAGCTCAACCTTGCCGTGACTGGATCCGAGATCGTCGGACTCATCCCACTCGAGGCCATCCTCATGGCCGCCGACTTTTATATCAAGCGCGAGGGACTGTTCATCATTGACGAGGGACAGAAGGTGCGTTTAGCCATCGAGCGTCTGGGCCTCAGCTCATGCAGCTTCTTCGATCCAAAGAAGCGCATCATCGACTACATGGTCCAGGAGGACAAGAAGATCACCGAGCCCTTGGCATCCATGTCCGTGCGCTCCTTTGTCGAGCTGCTCGGCTCACGTACCCCAGCTCCAGGTGGTGGCAGTGCCTCCGCCCTCATCGCCTCAATGGGTGCTGGTCTCGGCGCCATGGTCGGCTGGATGACCTACGGCAAGAAGAAGTTCGAAGCTCTCGACTCTACAATGAGAGAGTTGATTCCACCCTTGGACAAGTATGTATTGGCTGGATGGTTGCGCGCGTACACATACTTACTCACTTTCAATCATACAACAGGGCTATGAAGGACTTGATCCCATTGATCGATGCTGATACACATGCCTTCAACGACTTTGTAAAGGCAATGGGAGTGAAGGGACCGGGGAAGGAGCAGGCCATGACCGATGCATTGAAGCAGGCGGTCAACGTGCCATTGGCCACGATGAGAGTGGCCAACACATGCTGGCCATCAATGATCAAGATGGCAGAGCACGGCAACATTGCCTCCAAGTCCGATTTGGAGGTTGGCGCCAAGGCATTGGAGACAGGAGCTTGGGGTGCCTTCCGCAACGTTAACATCAACCTTGTCGACATGAAGGACGAGCAATTCAAGGCGACTGCACTGAAGGAGGCCAACGACATCATGAGCAACACTGAAGCATGCTGCAAGCAAGTTTTGGACATCCTTGCCAAACGATCATCATAAGGTTAGTTTGTCGCTTGGAACCTTTGGTCCCATCCCCCGTTTGCCTGCTGTGAAAGGTCGCACCGCGCGGTCAGTCATCAGGCCTCAAATTATAAAAGACACTTGCTGCTCATCAAAAACAGATCAGTTCATTCAATCGCTCTCACCCACAATGCGATTTTGATCGAATCGACGCGTTACTGTATCGTTGGGGCAACGACCGCACGCTTTTGTGATTGTTTGCTTCTGATTGTAGATGGTCCAGGGTTGTTATTGGATGATTGATGGGCAACATCTTTATAAAACTTCAATAATCCCAAACAGTTTATTACACATATTACATCATCAACTACAAATACTGATCAGTATTCAATCGATCAACTTATTTATTTATTTATTAGACCAATCATGTACAACAACTATTCAATCATCGCCACACTATGTTGGTTGATGTTATTCTCATCCATTCATGGTATGTCCTTGTGGCCACACGTCCAACGACTCTATCCAATATCCACCTGATACTAATCAATCATTCAATCAATCAAACACTACTTAGTTGTCAACTCCACACCAACGATCACATCAATTATTTATGGATCATATACCGCAGAGTTCTCTGGAACAAATTTGCAACAATATCAATCGGTGTCTATCTGGTCTGGTGAGGTAGAAGAGCAACCATACTATGTAACAGTTGAGTATATATCCGAAACAACAATGGGTATCTACTTTGGCCATGATGTTCCACTTGGTGGACGTATTGTCTTTGATATGGGACTTCCAACTGAGTCCGTCTCTGTCTACTGGAACCCAATCTGCGTTACCACCGTCATCCCTGTTCCATCACAGGGTGGTATTGTCACTGTTCAAGGCGCAATGCTTAAGTATGGCAACGGTAACAAGTTGAACATCAGCACTGCCGACCAAGGTAACAAGATATACTCTGCACTGCCCTCCTCCACGGACACCGACAACTACTTCCAATTGTCCGACCTTCAACCCATTGGTCAAGGATACCAATCCGTCTTCTCCATGGTGCCCACCAATCCCTCTGGTACAAAGCAGTATCCCTTCACCTACCGCGTGTCCAGTATGTATTGCCCACTCAATCAATTCATTCAATCAATCAACTAACTTGACCTTGCAGCACCTTATGTTGATAATGTGATCATATCATCTCAACCTTGGATACAGATCAATGGTGGAAGTTTTGGAATGTCTGCTCCAATGATCATTGTATCACTTGATGGTTTAAAACTTGAAGTCCAACAACTTATCAATCATTATAATATCACGTTGAAGTACAGCAACAACAACACATATCCATTCATTGGAGACCACACATACTTCAACATCCCAGGTTACAAAGGATTCTCAATCAGTGTCAATGGAGCAGACATGCCCGAACCATACATCGTCACCGTCAGTGAGTATATCCACCACTAAATCAACCATTCAATCATTAACTAACAATCAATCAATCACTTTAGAGCCTGTTGTTACTGGGGTGAACTCAGTACCCTATGAGGGTGGACAGGTTACAGTGTCTGGTATTAAATTGGCGTCCAATCTGTGGAGTGGAGCATATGCTCAGACATCAGTTCTGATCGGTGGAGTAGAGTGTGTGTACGAGCAAGCTATTCATCCATCCACAGAGTTGGTATGTGATATGCCCAAGGCAACAGGACAGTCATCCAACTTGCCAGTGGTCGTAGCAATCAATGGCGTGTCCTCCACAGATTCGGTCAGCTTTACCTACGGTCCAATGGTCTCTGATGCATTCCAATTCGGCAATTCGATCATTGTCCAAGGCCAGCGATTGGGAAATCAGGCTTTGCTCAACCGCACGTCATTACTCCTCAGTGACGACAGCCAACGTGTGTTGACACCTTATGCGCTACAACCTGGTGCTGATCAATCCTCGGATCAGGTGATCTTTGTGACCATCCCCAAGAGTGCCCAACTTGGACAATTGATCAATGTGTCGGTACTCAATCTGGACTTCCTTGGAATGTGGGCCAACACCTCTACCGCCTTCACTCTGATCAACCCAATGACATTGACCCTCGTGTCTGACGTGCCCCCTGTCAGTGGTGGCAATGTGACGTTCCAGATAAACTCGCCAGTGGCCTTGTTCCCCGACCATGTCAGTGAGGCCGACCTATACATCCCTCAGTGTGTCAAGATTGCCACTGTGCCCCACTCATCCAACATAACTTGCACTTTGCAAGCAGGCTCTGGCAAGGACCTTTCACTCACCGTCAGCTTGATGAATGTCTCTAGTGCAGCCATCACAGGCACTTACAAATATCTTCCACCGACCGTCACAAGCGCAGGCAGTGTCGGAGTCAATGGTGGTCGCATCATTATCAAGGGTGACAACTTTGCCAACTCTACAGATCTCTCAGTTAAAATTGCCAACACTGTGACATGTCACAATGTCCTGGTGCTTGACCCTCAAACAATCCAATGTGATCTGCTCAAGGATGAGATACCAACTCCACTGCCAACTGGATTCCAACCACTCGAAGTCAAGGTGTCTGATCAATATGCAACTGGACTCATCTTCAAGTACACTCCAACTCCACCTCCAGTCACATCAACTTCGACTACTTCGACCTCAACAACATCACCATCATCGACCACAACTGATTCACCAACTTCAACTACAACTACAACATCAGCCACAACAAGCGGTACTCCATCGGATTCAACAACGACCACCACTTCAACTACAACTTCACATCCAAGTGGTGCATCCAAGTTGTTGTCTGGCATGCCAATCACTATTTTGGTATTGGTACTTTCCTTTATTATTTTTATTTAAATTAATTTATTATTGATGATGGTGAATTAATTGTGAGTTTAATTAATTGATATCAATAAATTTGTAAATATTTTTGTTTATATTGCTCAGTATGAGTAAATCAAATAATATACATTTTATACATATAGTTATAATAATAATATTAATAATAAGAATGAGAATGGGATTAATTATATTATTGGTTGGAGGAGCATTAGGTGCATTTGGAGGAATATATGTATATCGTGAAGAGATAGGCGAATTTGTGAAGAGAGGTTGTAAATCAGTAAAGAATAAATTTAATAGTTTTTATCATAAAAGGGATACTCAACAAACTCAACAAACTCAACAACCTGAACAAACTCAACAACCTGAACAAACTCAACCAAAAGAACAAAACCAACATTTAGGAGTGGTACATAAATCAAATGAATTAGTTGGTGAAGATCAACCTGAAGATGTAGACTTGGAAACAAGTGTGAAGATATTATCCTCACAGAATATTCCCCAACAACCTGTCTCTAATGATCAAAAACCTACCTTGGATGAATTAAATGATGATCCCCAAGCAATTGTTGATCATTCAGAACTAATCAATGACAATGATTCCAAAGTTCCTCAAATGTCTGAAGAACTTAACCAGGACCTAGCCCATGATCAAGATCAAGTCCAAGTCCAAGTTAAGTCACCACCAATCTTTGATCCCCAACCAAACATTGATCAATCCAATATAATGAAAATGGTTGGACAAAAACAGAATCATAATTTGAAGAGAGTGGAATCTTTAGAAGTTAACTATAAAAGAGAAATGAATAGGACTAAAGAGGATATTGCAAAAGAGATTGAAGAGATACATAGACAGAGGATGGCAGCTCGAGGTCAAAACAATTTTCCAAGACAAAGGAATATTAATAATAATAATAGAGTATCAATATCAATCCAACTAAATAATTTATAATAATAGTTAAATAATAAATAATTATTTGTTAGAGCTTGTTAGATTTCAATTATATGAATAGAGATCTAAATTTGATCAGATTGAGATTTACAGGAGTGTGTGACTTTGTGAATGATCACACCAGTTTTTCACTTCGACCAGGCTGATTATATATAATGTATGTATGGTTTATTTCGGATCTTCCAAATGATGTGTGTGAGTGAGCTGCGCGAGCGAGTGATCAAAAAGCTGCCGCCAGACAGCCTCCAATCTAGTTTATTTCATTTGGACTACCACCATATAAATATATAACTCGTTTACTTTAATAATGTCAAGATCAAGATCAAGAAACAAGAAGGATGGGGGGGATGTACAGAAGGAGAATGAACAGAAGGATGTACAGAAGGATGAACAGAAGGATGTACAAGAGGATGACGTTAACACCAAGTTCGAGAGGTTGTTTGGAATGTTGGGTGATATGCAACAGAGGATGAGAGCCTTCGAGAAGAGAGAAGGCAAGAAACCTGCGAGATCAAGTGAAGAGGATGAAGGTAGCAGTGGCAACAACGACAACGATAGCGACCGCGAAGACAGGAGCAACAGCAGCAGCAGTAAGATCGTCGATATAGAAAGTTACTATAAAATAAAAAAAAAAAAAAAAAAAAAAACAAAAAAAAAAAAAAAAAACCCAAAGAATAACAAAAAAGAAATAACCGCTCATTTCATGAGTGACAGGTTCTCTGAAGAGGCTATTGACTTCATAGACTCAAGGTCAGACTTATTCAATAGCCCAGATCGTGGAATGCGCACACTCAAGTGGGTGTCGAGCGCGGTCGGTCCCCCAGGGACTTCCCGAACAAGGCCA